CCTTAACACTCTCTACTGTAACCAAATGAGAAGAAGTCAGGCTTGGCTGCGACGCCCTCTACAGTCAATTACCCTGCAGACACTCATTGCCAAGGCTTAACAGCCACTGGGGCAGGAAAATGGAGCTTCTGAAGAACTGCACCCCAACACAGGAGGGTAAGAACCAGGAATAGTGTAATCATCCCAATAGGACACAATTGGAACAATAATTGGACACACCAATACTTTTAAAAAATAACCTTTTTTTGTAGTTACACTCTTTCTTGGGTTGAAGAGCAGGCAACACAACACATATCATGCTTGGATGAAATTGTCTCTTCACCGAGATTCGACACAAGAAACAGGAGTGTAAACTAAGGTAAAGCAGCTACAGTAATTACTGTCACATGTAGGTTTGGGATGCCCGAAACTCCTCTGAGAAACCAATATTAAGAAAAAAAAGCTGAAAACCCATGTAGGACTTATAATTTATCAAATAAAATTGCTCACACATCAGGGTCACAAATGTCAGTACTAGGAACTTGAAAGGAGCAAAGCATCTACCTGAAATGGGCCGCCACCTGCTGATAAAAGTTTAGAAATGCGTTAAAGAACACTGCAAATTTCACCCCAATATTTCTATCTAGCTTTTTTTTGACCTGGTGATGGTCATTGACTCATGGGAATAGGAATGCCATTCATAATAATGTAAATCTCTGTTAGTTTCCCTTCCCACCACCCAACCTCTCCTCTCCTTTGCCAACAAACACAGCTCCAACTTTACATTGAGTCCTTCTACCTAACTGCTGCCTTAACCGCTGTCCACAGGAATAAGCAAGGAACAACAACGAAACGTTCGCCCTGAATTGTTCTGTTTTCTCCCTAGGCCCTTTTCCAAAAATTAGTCAAAGTGTAAACTGCTATTGCTTTGATCAGAAAGGACCTTGTAAATTCTGTGCTAGATGCTGGTGGATTAAACTGGCCTACTGCTCGCTGCTTTGTACACAAAGCAAACCTACTTTGTGAGGCTCATAAAGCTGGCACTCAATCTTATCAAGCTTATGTTTTGTGAAGACATTTCGCAACCACTGTTTGCGGATTGGGTTTGTTTTGAGCTGTGGAGTTTAGGTTGAGTTTGGTGAACACAAAAATTAACCAATACAGAAGTCATCTCATTCTGAAAGATACACTTCTCCTCACGTCACTCTTGACGTACATTTGCGCATCTCTCTGACACACAAGCTACGCGTGACCTTCAGATGACATCTTCTGGCCTTTTTCCAGCGATTCTGCTCTTCTTTACTGTTGCTTGCCAAAGAGAATCAAAAACATATTTATTTCTTCAAGGATTAATGGTCAACTTTAAGGGCATCGATCAAAGATGGAAGCAACACAAGAAATGACACACTGATAACATGTCTCGGACATAATTTGGTGGATTGATTTTGAGCTCCTTGTCCTGACTTTCAAATAGCTTCATGATCATTCCCCACCCAATCTCAGCAATTGTCTCCATTCTTATTCTCCACTCTTCCTACTGCAGTCTACTGCTCATTCCCATCCCACTCTGCCTGGAATTTGATCTACACCCCCTCCCCCCAATCTTTCCACCTTGCTACCTCGCTCCCTGCTTGAAAACTCATCCCTTTGAATCTGCCTTAAGTCAACACCCTTGAATTCTCCTTCTAGTTCGGTGCTCCTGTTTTCTCTCCAAATTACTTCAAGACATTCATTGCATGTGGAAGGCGTTGTAAGTTCAAGGTAAAATTCCTTTCTCTTTTCAAATAGTGATAAGGATCTTTAACCCCCACCTCAACAGGCAGACCTCGATGCAACGTCTTATCAGAAGGATGATGATTCTTGACAAAAAGGTTATGTGACTGAGGAGTGAGTGTGTGTGTTTGTTAACACATACATGATTCAATGACAGGACATTAACCATTAAGCCATGTATAACTAACCATCTGATCAAAATAGGAGATAAACTTGAAACAGGAATTAGCATCATAGAAACATAGAATTGCACAACAGGAATTGTGCAACACAAAAGATGTGGACAATGGCTGTGTCCCAGGTATAGGAAATTTCCTCTTTATAACTGTGTAGAACTCCCATTTTACAGCACCTCTCAATCAAACTAATGCTGGGTGGGGGTAGGGTGAAGAGAGAGAGGATACTCGATCTATTTACACTTCAGAAGGACATGCATTGTTAGAATGGAATCCCTTGAGGGTCTTCATTTCAGTTCCTTCCACTTACTACCTGGTCAAACACTGACCGTTTAAAAGTGGGAACGAGTGACCTTTTGACTCAAGCAATACGCTCTGGTAGTATGTTGGGGCTGTCTCCAGCATTTTAAATAAAATCTCCAGAACAGCCCTCCAGATTCCTCATTGAGAAATCACCCCATTGTCGACCCTTGTACAGAGGAAAACGAAGGCGTAATTAAGTTAAAGGGCTCTGAAGGGAAGTAAATGAACTGAGTGATGCTTGAGCACTTTACAATGTCACCTGATGCCCAAGAATCTCCTCGTGGATATGACCACATGCTCAAACCTTTTCTTAAACTAACACTTAGCTCTGTTTACGGTTTCAGAGCTTTTCCATTTCAGATTGACTGGAGATTATATCTTGTATTAACCCTGTCCGCGCACTATTGGTATTGCTGTCATTGAACACGAGGTTTACTCAGGTGCCTGGAACAGATCTTGTTTACAATCCTTGATGTGGTTTGAATGGGTTCAGCTGCCTTTTTCTGGTTCCGAGCTGTGCCCATAAATTTATTTTCAAGGGGGAAATTGGCTGCTCTTCACCATTGATTGCTGGGGAACGTTTGATTCCGAGAAGTCAGAACCCAGTCAAAGAACTGCCATCTGAGCAGAGAAAAGATTCTAGAATACTGATGTGAGATACGTGCAGGATTCAGTACTGAGGAATCATATTTTAAATGCCATCGCTCAATCCCTGGGCTTGATAGGAATGCATCAGTTAACATTTAAACACAAGTTACACCCTGTAATTTTCGCCACCTTTGCTTCCCTCAGGCATCGCCCTGATGCTTGGCTTTGCTTGTTATAGGGTTAATTTTCTGGCTGTGTTGATACTAATAACATCTGCTCCAGTCCTGCAGGAATGCAGTAAATGACACTGGAAGGTTGTACCTCCTGCTGCGGGTGTTTTGCAATTAACTGTTGAACTTCTGTTTCCTTGCATTTTATTGAGCGGGTTGAGGAGAGGGAGGTCCACTTTGATCATATGGCTACGGTTACCCTTATGGTTCAGGTTAATACACATTTGATAGCATCAGTCACCCTCTTTTACGCATGGTAAATAAGGAAAGTTTACACTTGTACTGCAATGAGCCACGTGCAGGACACATTGAGTGCAAATGACACCTGTGTGAGGCTGGTTCTCTCTGGTTTTAAATGCCTATACTTTGAGTACCTTTCAGATCAGCTGGGCTCAGATGGGCATGCTCTCACCTTGGGAGAGAAGATAGCTGGTTCAAGCCCTATGCACTTGAACAACAAAGATTAACCTTTAATCTGGTGTGGGATTGTAGGAACACTGTTGTTGGAATGAGAAGTTATATTTTGGCCCGCTGTGCCTGTTCTTCAGATGGATTTTAAAATTGCCAAGACTATTGGAAAGGAGAAGGGAGTTTCTCCTGATGTCCTGGCCAACTGTCCTCCAGATTCACCTCACGGGTGTTTGTGGGACTTTTCCTGTGTGCAAAAACAGTGCTGCATTTACCCCTAAACAAACAAACAGTCACTATATGTGGTGGCAAATTAACACGAAGAGCCGATAGATATAGGCCCCATATTAAATGCAAGTTGTTATTGTTTGTTCTTGGTACTCGTATGCGGTACTGCTGATGTTGACTGTAAATGGCAAAAAGTAAACAAAGGGGGACTTCTGCTGCTGGAGGCAATGAACACACAAAGTGCACGGTTTTGAGTTGACAGCACCGGTGTTGTTGATGGTGGTGCCACCAGCATTGGTGCCTAAACTGCCAAGTACCTGAAGCAGTTCAACCCGTTCATCAAAGTGGCTTTCTTATCACTGACCTGTGAAGTGATGAGGGTAGAGAGTGGTACCGATGACCGTTGGTAACGTGAGGATCCTGTGCTGTTTTAACCCTTACACTTCCCCCAAAGAAATGAACAATTCACACAATGTACACCCCAAATAAGAACATGAGCCGACAGTAAGGTTAGATTACAAAATAATTCACTTTAACACAGCTTTGGTTTTCAGATACCAATAAATTTATAAAAATCAACAGACAATTTTTATTTTAAAAATGGAATACATACTTTCAAAATGTTTTCCTACAAAGTACCTGTTATCTTGTACTGAAACACAAGCGTTCACAACTATCCCTACCAGTTTTTCCTTCTGTTCAGGCTAATACCACCTTGGCAATCAAAAAGATCTGGTAGATTTCAGTAACATTTCCTTTTGTTGTCATTTTAATTGAGGCAACTGTTGTATGGCTTGGCTGAAAAATAAAGTGTAAAACAAAAGGTATTTAAATCTCATTGCTGAGCAAGTGCCTTACTTTTTATCCTTTAGCTAAGATAACAGGCTGGAGATTAGGCGATGGTATGTTTGGGGCAACTAAAAAAGACATCCTAAACACCCTAGACATCCCTTTAACATCTCAATCTTGTGGAGTCCTGTAGCTCAGTGGTTAGAGCACTCGCTTTGCAAGTGAGAGACCTGAGTTCATTTCCAGGCAGAGGGCGAAACCTTGGGCAAGTTTCCTTACTCCACACAGCCTAATAATAATCCCTCCAAAAAAACAAAACAATAATAAATTGGTCATTTTCAATCTACGACTGTTTGTGGGACATTGCTGTGCGCAATTGGCTGCCGCGTTCGCCCACAAATATACAGTCAATTCACTTTACAGTGTGACCTGTGAAGCGCTTTGGGACGTCCTCCCGACGTGAAAAGCGCTATATCAAATGCAAGGATTATTATTATTATTATTATTATTATTCTCCAATCTCACTCAATCATGTCCAAAAAACACAGCCAATGTGATAAATGGAAGTCATAACTACTGCTTCTACTAATCCTCGCACTTAATATAGCGCCGCATCATGTTGTTGAGCCATCTCAAAGTGCTTCAATTACAGTAGAGGGTGTTCATCCACAGTCAGGTGGCGAGGAATCTTAGCAGGTGATTATAGAAGGAACATTATTCTGCAGGGAACCTGGATGTCCTGACTTCCAATTTTGATATTGGTGGGTTCACAATGCTGAAAAATTGCAACAAAGACGAGAACTGTTCCCTTCGGATATATATTGTAGGTACTTACACCCCCGCCAATTGCATGGATTGAGCTTTAACCTTTAACCTTAATCTTCAGTGTTAACTTTTCAATTAACTGAATTAATTTTCAAAGCCACGATAAAAAAAGTTTTTCACAAAATCAAATTATGGAAGTACCGTATTTGTCATATTTACATTAGTAGTGCAGCATGAAATGCAATTCCCAGCATGGCAAAACCTTGAGCAAGTTTCCTTACTCCACTACCTTATAATAATCCCTCAAGAAAAAAACAAAACAATAATAAATTGGTCACTTCAATCCACGGCTGTTTGTGGGACACTGCTGTGTGCAATTGGCTGCCGCGTTTCGCCCACAAATACACAGTCAATTCATTTTACAGTTTATTCTGTGAAGCGCTTTGAGACGTCGAGAAGACGTGAAAAGCGCTATATCAAATGCAAGGATTATTATTATTATAAACAACAATTAAAACCAAAATCAATGCTCACTGCGTTTCATGCACAAACTATACAGTCAATTCACTTTACAGTGTATTCTCGAAGACATGATAAGGCGCTATATCAAATGCACGGATTATGATTATAACAATAAAAACTAGCTCCAGAATTCAATTATATAATAATCCTTGCATTTGATATAGCGCCTTAGTTTGTAGTTTGTGAGCAAAACGCGGCAGTCAATTGCGCGCAGCAGTGTCCCACAGACGTGGGTTGAGTGCCCGCATTTATTTTATTTATAATCAGCAATTTGTAGTTCAAAATTGAAAATGCTGACAATTTGAAGAGACTTCTCCATAGCATGTGTCACTCTGCTCTATATTTTTGCTGCACAAAATAAGAGCGTAAAAAAGCTTTTGTAAGGATCAGTTAACCTGAAGAAGGGGATTGAAACTTGTACAAGATTCTCAAAGCAAACATGAGATTGGAACACCAATTTTATATTTACAATGGTTGCTCAATGCATGGACTTACATCATAGCCACTAGATGGCAACCAGCTCACAGTAATCGTCCTCGAGTTCCCGGCATCCACTGAGATTCTAGTTGGATCAATATTGAATCCCTTTGCTTGAAGTCCTTGCAAGCTGTCAAAGTACAACTCAACGTTCTGCAGGAGAAATGACAATAAGCAGCTCTTTTAAAAGCGACACATTGCCGTAATGGACTGCACATTAGAATCTGAATAGATTCCTGGAGCATTATTTTATTGATTCTTTGAAATAAAAACTTTTGATTATGTATATAGGAACAGGAGTAGGCCATTCAGCCCCTCAAGCCTGTTCCGCCATTCTTAGATCAAGCTGATCTGTTCCTCAACTCCAATTATTAATTAATGATCAACGATTAATTCATGATTGCCTGTTTTGCCATGCTTATTCAGTTTGATAATTTTGTCACCTCGCAAAGCATTGAACAACAACAACTTGCACTTATATAGCGCCCTCCACACAGGATAGCGTCTCAGAGCGCTAAACAGTGGCAAACAGGGATTGAGGGAGAGTGTTCCAGAGTTCTGGGGCGTAGTGGCTGAATGCGCAACGTCCAATGGTGGAGCAGAGGGCGCAAGGGACAAGCAGGAGGCTGGTGCCAGTCTTAAAAGAGTCAAGCTTCCCGACCTTAACCACCACCCTTCCTGGTAACCCAGTTCCAGTCATGACTGTCCTCCGTGCAAAGAATTCTTCCTGGTTTCTGACCTAAAAAAATCTTTAAAGTTGAGTGATTATTTTCCAAGCTGGCACTGAAATGCTGGGATCGTAAGGTAGCAGATTCAAAAGCGAGCTTAAAAAAAGCATGCCTAATTGCACCATTAGGTCCATTTGTAAATGTCAAAAAGAAGTGAGAGAGAGCCTGTGATGCTATCCTGTTGAAAAAGTGGGGCTCTGGCTCGATCTGTATTACAGTATCACCAGTAGGCCCAGTACCAGAAGGAAGCAATCCCTGTGCAAAATTCAACGTGATCCCTTTAAAGAACTGTTTAAAATGGTTTCCGGTTCGAAGGCACGTTGAGATTATTTACCTTTTTAGTAGTGGATATGTTGGATCGGATACACCCGACCCGGAATTCCCGAACAGCTGTGGTGAACTTGTTATCACTCGGCACGCTCCTGAGGATCAGCAAGACTGGCTTTGTCTCCACTGGCTGCCCTGTGAACAAATAGCAGGGAGAGGAGATCACACCTACACAATGTGCCTCAGACTGACTCAATCCAGTACAGTACAGCCTTCTGCACCATTGCTCCATTTGTGCCTCCGCATACAACCCCTAATCTCTCAGACAGTCAGATGTTGCAGTTCACGCTGCACAGGTGTCAACCTGACTCAGTTGGTAGTATACTTGCCTCTGGGTCCCAATCCCCTGCTAGGGTCCAAATCCCTACTGTCCAGCGCCTTGGGACGTCCTCCCGACATGAAAGGTGCTATACAAATGTAATTTGTTGTTGTTGTTGGGTCAGAAGATTGTGGGTTCAAAGGCCCCCGTTAGAGCTTGAGCTCACAGCAACTCCAGTGCAATTCCCATATTGCCCTGGTATGCTAACCTTGATATTACAGATGGACTACAGCATTATGGCCATTGGTGGCCTATTTCAAGCGGAAAAGGAGAGGGAGTCTGGAAGGCAAGGCGATTGGGAGGCTTACAAGTGGCCTCAGATCCTAATCTATAATGAATGTTATAACTTCAACAATATTCAACTTTAAAATGTCCATAAACCCCATTGGTTTCCTCGCAGAAATACGTCTTTAGAGCTTTGGTATATAAAAAATACGCTCCCTCCTCAATGTCTGCAGAAAGTGGGTTCTGATGACTCAAAATGATTCTCTGTAGCACAGCTTTGTAGCACATTTAGTCGCATAGCTAGCTGTCTTACCTGATTCACCATATTTGGGTAGGATTGTTAGAGATTCAGATGAGATATCCACTGGGTCTCCTCCTTCAACATATGCCAGGCTGTCTCTTGCAGCTCCTTTGAGTTGTATCACGCGAGAAACCTACAACAGGATCAGTTTCATCAAGGGATGCTCATCCATCGAAGACCATTTGAAGGTGTCCCTTTCAAAGCAGTGATAGATTCCTAGAAGCTTACAGGCCAGAAGAAGGCCATTCACCCCATAGAGTCTGTGCTGAATAAATGGAAGTAAGGACAAAATTGGGTCAAACTGGAGCCTCCACGCTTTGCTGTGGGCTCTTCCTAACAACCTGAAGCAGATTTCATCAAGTGTTGGATTCATAGGGAACAAGAGCTGCATTTAGGCTGGCGAGAGATGGGCAGGATTTATCCCACTGATGCTGTATGTTGCAGCAGTAATCCTCAGCAAGGAGTCCTGTAGCTCAGTGGTTAGAGATCTTCGATTCCCAGGCAGGGCAAAACGTTGGGAAAATTTCCTTACTCCACACATCATTGAAAAAACTTGTCACCTAATCTCCCCCCGCCCCAAGGATAGTGTGGATAAGGGATGTGCTCTTACCGTACCAAACAGTTCCACACTTAGACCATCCGAGTAATGCAGACTTTCGTGGTCCGGGTAGAAAGTGACTTGAAATTCTTGACTCTGCTTAGCTTTTAAGCAACCGTTAACTGGAGACACACTGAAGACGCTTTGGGCACCATAGTTCTGAACACCTGTCCGGAACAATCAATAAAATATGATCAAATTGTGTTCTGTTTGGGTCTGTGTACATCTTTCCAGTTTTAATGCCCTCTCATTCCAACAATACAAAGCTGTCTAGTAATTTTATTTATTGGCAGAGCCATAGTTTTTAGCTGACAGAAATTCCACCTGGGTCTAGATTTACACTATTTTCTCAGTATTTGAAAGCTTCCAGAATTAGGCAAAATTGTTGAATTCAGTTTCAACTCCTGACGACCTTACACATGGTAAACCAACTTCATAATGAAGGCAGCATTTATGAATTTGCCAAATTCCTTGACACACTGAAATGCTGAGGCATCTAGACTCGGGTGGAATTTCTACCCCGAAATATAGTCATTTTGTACAATGATGTACAGTATGTTCCTGCAATGCTACGAAGCTATCAAAATCGGCTAGCAGGAACCGGTTAGGATCAGAATCAGGACGAAGTAACATCTGAACCCAGTGCTGCAGTGTATCAAGGCGTTGCATCCTTGAAAGTGCCAAGACGTAGGCTTACGCCTCCAATTTCCCACACGCTGGGTTTTTCATCTTGGCTGAGCCATCTGGAAGAGGTGGAGAGCATAGGCTACACAATTCAGCACAGGGAGGCAGGGAATAGCAGCAGATGAGTCATCTTGGCTTAGCCTCACTATTCTGAGAGTCAGAACGACAGAAGCTTTCAACTAGGTCACCTTCCCACCCGCGCGACTCAAGAACAGCGTGTTGGAGGAGGAGGTCGGGGGAAGATACTTAAGAGCAGAGAAAATAACCACAACATGTAAAACATGGGAGATTAAGTTTACAAAAAAACTTTAATGAAGCACCCAGCCTCCCTTCAAAGCTTGTGAAGAAAATCATCACAATTAAAATAAAATGCAAGCGCAAACAACAACAACTTGCATTTATACAGCGTCCCTCATGCAAGCTAGTGTCCCAGAGCGCTTGACCGTGGCGGAGCACGGTGCTGAGCTGAGGGGAGGTGACCGTAAACACGGTCGAAGAGGAAGGTCTTCAGGAGCAACCTGAATATGGGGAAGGAGGGGACAAGGTGGAGAGATAAAGGAAGAGTGTTCCAAACTAATGGGATACAGCAATCTGAACCTATCTACATCATTGCAGCATCCCTGTTGAAATGCCTTACCTATTAAAGTCGGGTTTTCTTTTAGCTCCAAGAAGGCTGGCAGCAATTGCTGTTCTTTGTGCTTGCCATAAGACAGACTGTCCAGCTTCATGACGAAATCCACGTCGAGGGTGGAGTCATTTTGCAGCTGTCAAAATAGCGGATTAATAAAAAGTCAAACAAAATTTCAAATTTCAAATCCACATGCAAAATACTTCCAAGACATTTTCTCGCTCAGCATGGGAGGGTTCCCACTTTGTTATTAAATAGTTTCATGGAGCGGATTCACTATTCTCTCTGCTCTCTTTACTGACAAGCCTAGAGGCTGCTTAGCTCCCTGGTGATACTGCCATCTCATCTGCACAATCCTAACGGTGTACCTCGCTCTCTCTTGCTACAGAGACACAGTGAAAGAAGCTTAGAACTAGGTCACTGTCCCACCATCGACTCACTGGGGGGAGGGGGGGGGAAGCAAAATACACTGTTTCATTGCAGATAATTAGCACATTGAATCTGTTAGGAAATGTCATTTAGTCAAATAACAGAAAGGAAGTTATTGAAAAATAATTTAAGTAATAAGAATTAATTCAATGGCACTGAATTCAATTCATTACTAATTCGTAAGACTTTGGATGATGGTCCGTTTGACCTCTAGAATACCCAACCTCTCATCCCTTGAATTGTTTTTTTTGAGTCTAGTAACCTGACTTTGACCACCTAACAAAATGGTCCTTACTTGTAGAATGGACTCCCTTCCACCCAATTTAAATCATACAATCTCTATTTTCAGTGCTGCTTACCTGAAAAGTTGCTGTTTTGATCTGATTCGTGACTGTATATCCTATGTTCATTACTCCTTCCACTGAGCACTTTATTGATGGTTTCACACCTGTCCCAGATAGGTTTATGGGAAGCGTTGCTTTTTCAGTGAGTATTTCCAGAGGCTCAAAGTACTGTGGATAGAAGATGAGTCAAGTCAGCTGTGTTATGCCAGTATGCACAGAGAATTTACTCCAACTTACGGACGCTATGATGATCAGCGCAGACAATAAAAAAGCATTAATCGATTCCAATATTTTAGTTACATTGAAATGTGGACAAGTGAAACTCATATGTCCAGGAGCTTAGTCTTTTTGTTGTATTAAGTGCAACTTGCTATAAATACACATTTCCTACGCTTGACAGCAGTTACCTGTGAGATTTTCTGAGACGTTTTGTACTATGTTGTCTTCAGTTACACACCTACAAACCCATCTGACAATAACACTGTTTGATCACCAAACATTGACCCTCAAAGCAACAACAAAATTATATTTGTATAATGCCTTTCATGTTGGGACGACCTCCCGAGCGCAATAATGAAAGTAAACTTGAAACGTATGTTGTTGCTGTCAATGTACAGTGTATCTCACGTAGGACAAAGAAACCAAACACAATTGTGCCATTTGGTTACCACTCTGCTCTCTGTTGGTGAGAAGGCGATAATGAGTGTGTGGGTATTTCCTGGCTGAAGAGGTCGAAGAGCATTCAACACTAAGAAAGGTCCATTAGGGTCCAGAGTTGATGATTTCAACTGAAATAATCTTAGTCAAGGATTCATTTGGTATGAATTTGCTCTGCATTTCATCCACAAAATATAGTCAATTCACTTTACAATATATTATTCTGTGAAGTGCTTTGAGACAGCTCGGAGACATGATAAGGCGCTATATCAAATGCAAGGATTATTATTATGATGAATGAAAAACAACAATATTATGTGGGTGAAGCCATTTTACAAACCATGAAACTACATAGCAATAAACGACTTCCCGAAAACTATATCCTGAAGGTGCATTGACCAGTAGAAAAGGATACTTCCAGATAGTCTTCGGAAATATTCTGAATCTTGACCTGTTTGACCATTCTCTGCCCTGGAATAAGATTTTATTCAAATAAACCATGTAAACATAAAGCCAATGATAGGTCAATATTGAACATCATCATTAGAGAGAAATTCTACTGCGGTCTAGACTGATTCTATTTTGGACGTCCATTAGAGGAATGCACATGTGGCTGCTATTTTGAATAAGGCTAACTAACCCTAGTCAGGAATGGGAGATAAATGTGTTCCATTATTAGTGAACAAGAAGAAGAAATTGTATTTATATAGTGCCTTGCAAGTCAGTTGTCCCAAGGCGCTGGATAGTTCAGGGTTTGTACCCGAGCTCAGATTGGAATCAAGAGGGGTGGAGGACAATGGGTTAGGAGTGGGAGGATGACTCAGTTAAAGAAGAAGGTCTTGAGATCAGGCCGTGAAGCAGGGAATGGAGGGGGGGGGCGAGATGAAGCGACTCCAGGATGGAATCCAGTTATGGACTTGGGCAACATTGCGGAGGTGGAGACAGGCAGAACGAGTCATGGCATAGATGTGGGGTTTAAAGGACATTTGAGGGTTGAACAAGTCATCAAGGTTCCAAACTTGCTCAGTGAGGTGGAGAGTGCATTCATGAAGAGTGATGCTGTCAGTGCTTGAGGTGGGGATGTGCTCACAGGAGCCAAGACTCCGTCTTGTCAACATTCAACTTGAGAATGTTGGCTCTCATCCAGGACTTGTTGTCTGACAGACAATCTGTCATGACAGCAGTAGCCCTGGAGTTGAGGGTGGAGGCAGAGAAATAAGAGTTGAGCAAACTATTAAACCACAAGCGATCAAGCTGTGCCAGCTTTCAAACGTTTGATCATATATGTATTTCTGTTCTTTTTGAAGCATTTCTAATATTCACAATTAGNTTTTGGTTATCTGACATTATGTAATTGTACAAAAAAAAGCCGAAGGCTTTCCTCACCAAATGCAACATCTCCAAACACGACTGCATTTTGCTTGTTGCCAGAAATGAGAACCAGTGGTGGGGCTACTCGCGGGCAATGCACCTCCAGATACAGAGTGTTGTGGATGCTGCAAAGATATTACCACAGAGTTGGTCAGAAAATTGGTGCAGACAAAAGCATTGTTCAGGTGGATGGACGCCTACTCAGGTGGACGTTGAAGATTCCATAAATAGGAGGGAGTTCCTCCTAGTGCTGTGGGGTCAGCAATCTTTCAAATATAAATTAGCCGTTCACTTCATGGGATATCACTGAACGGACTTTGGCTGCTGCTTTCACCTACTAATATACAGACACTACACTCGACAGGAAAACTGTAAAGCACTTTGAGACGGTTCGACTTGATTGGGATTACATCAAGTGCAATTATTATTATAAGAAGTTTTCGCGGCAGTATTGGAATGTCAGATGTCTCCCCACTTCAACACTGTTCCTATTCACCAAGAAAGTTGAATGTGTCATTACTCTGCTGCTATTCCACCCCTCACAAAATCATTTCCTCTTAATGGCAATCATTTTCAGTGGCCCCGGACACTGAGAGAGGTCAATATTCATATATATGGGCAGATTATTAGTAATTAATGGTGGTACAGCCCAAAGTGGCTGGTCTGGAATTTTTCGAAGCTGGTGTCGACTCTTAAGCGATATCATACCTTATGTGATGCATCTTCTTTGTGAAATGTTTTTACAGATCACATCGTAATTGAGGACAGATGGCAGTGTAGAAAACAAGTCTTACAGTGATGTGTCCAGAAGGCTTGAAACATGGGAAGTTGCCATAGAAAACGAATAGCAACAACTCACATTTGCCATTTTACATAATATGCTACAAACAGAATGCACAATGAGATACTGTAGGTTGTCACTCATATCTATGAAGACAAGATGCCTAAATTAGAACNTTTTTTCCACTTCAGAGGAGATATGATAGAAATGTTTAAGATTAAGATCCTGACAGGGCACAACAAGGTAAATGGTGGAAACTGGAATTAATAAAAGTATGATTTTAAATATATTATAGGTGACAAAGATACAGACAGAGATACTGAATGTATTTGTGTTCCTATGTGTTTCTGGTGTAGAACAGAACAAACTTGCGACTTTGTTGTTTGCAAGTTATCTACTTATGAGAAATAAATTATAATAATAACCCTTACATTTGATAAGTGGCGTATCACGTTTTGAGATGTCTCAAAGCTCTTCACAAAATACACTGTAGAATGAATTGAGGTTGTATCTTGTGGGCAAAATGGAGTCTAAACCATGTCCCAGGATTTTCACTGTGCCGCTCCTAATGAAAGACTTTACTGTGACATTATCCATTGTTTCGGAGACATGGCCGGACAATCTAATGGCAGAAGAATTCCATTGCTATCAATAATGAATGTTCCCAATGAACCAGGACTACTATATGTCTCAAAAGTCGAGCCGTGAAGTGTGAATGTCATCACGTGTGAACCGTGCAGAATGGCATTAGCATCTACATGGGTGGCTGATGCTAATCTACACTGGATAGAAACACCGCATAAAGAAGGAAGGTGAGCAGATAGACTTTACCCAGGGAGCAGTGACTGTGTGGAATAGACCACATAGGCATCCAAGGTAAGCAGATTGTGTCAGACTAATTCAAAAGAGAATTCAATTGACTGTATTGACAAACAGTCATAAATTGAGTGATTGCATTTTTTTAAGGGAATATTACCTCCAAAAAGGATCCACCAATCGACTCACAACCAGGTTCTTACTGCTAGGTGAACAGAGGTGTGTGGAGTAAGGAAGCAGCACACAAGACAATAACATGTAATGGTGTTGATATTTTACCTGTAAGGGAGGTAACCTGGGTCTTTGTGCTCTGTTGTTTGACCATATGCAACAAAGCAAGGAATGGTAAAACTATTGAGCTGGCTGTTGAAATTCCTCACTAATGAAACGTAACCTGAAGCATATTCCGGAGAACTGAAACAATAGAGCAAACGAGAAAGCACTTCTCATCTTCTAAAGCTTGGACTTGTTAAATTAGGTGTCGGCAAACAAGCACAAATGTTATAAGAACATACATCACATAATACACAGCACATTCCTCTTTCACCGTGCATTCAGTCATCTTTCCTCTTCACACCACTCTCAGCTCCTATCCCCAAACTGTGGACCCATTTGAAATTAAGAGTTTTGAGACATCCTCCCAAAGTGAAAGGTGCTGTATAAATGTGTATTGTACTTACTCTTCATTAATACTTTCTGATTTGGGAGCCTTATACATTGCAGATTTGCTCTTCGGCTCTCTGACGTGTGTTTTTGTGGAGATGGGGCTATTGTCTTTCAAACTCTTTTGTCCTGATTTGCTCTGCAGACAAAACCAGAGGTCATCAAAATACAGCAAATGCCATTAATTAACGTATTCCTTTACTATTCATTCTTTCTGACTCTGAGTATTCCAATGGATCAGACGTCAAAAGACAACTTAATCTTGATCTTTAAATGCTTTCATGACTTTGCTGCTCTCAACCTCGGCAATTTTATCCTTATTCTCCCATTCTTCTGGTTCTGGAGTGCTTCTGGTTCCTCAGTCCCTCCGTCCCACAATTAATAGTCATGCTTTTAGGCACAATGCCTCAGCTCTCTGAAACTTTGTCCCAAAATTCCTTCACCCTGTTCCCTCTATCTCCACTTTCAAAAACTCTTAAAAATTTATTTTTCTGACAATAACTTTGGTCATCACCGTCAAATTCCTGTTCCTTTCCCCACTCTGTTCCTCCCGCCGCCACTTTGCTCAAACTCTCTGCACCTCTCTTCTGAAATCCCTTTGCCTTGCTTCCACCCTCTCCAAAAACCAAAAAGTAGGTAAAATAACAGCCTGCGCTTACCTGGGTGTCTGACTCTGTGGCTTGGATGGCACTGGATACACCTCTATTCTGGAACCCTCTGAGCTCTGCTATTTGGTACAGCAGTTGTACAGCTTCCTGTTGGATCTCCCATGGTGTCAATACAGGTCTAAAGAGCACTTGCACCATGCATTTCTGTGGGTTATGGGCAAAAAAACGACATTTTAATGCAATTATTATGAACTGCCCTGGAAAAGGTAACAGAAATATACACTGGTCTGAGTCGGTCCATTAAGAGTATGTGATCCCTTTATTCTTCACATTCAGGTGGGATTCCACATGATTTACTTGTCAAATTGCTACTTAAAAAGGGGCATTCGGAGCTTCACTGTAAATCTAGTTATCAAAAATGAGTTTGGATAAAAAAGGCCCTTTGGCCCACCTGATCTCATGCTTTCAGAACTCCCATTCTCCCATCACTGTTATAATGCAGTTAATGTACTCCTTTTGAACACATTACAAAACAGTTTGCAGCCAGCAGTTAGTAAAGACTCTACTCAGCACCTCTGAGGGTAATGAATGGGAGAGGGCAATTGGCGCTGAATCGCTATTCTACTCGAGGCAATGCTGTGTTATTTACAGCGGTGCATAAGAGGCATGGGTATCGTGTAAAGATTTTCTTTTTATTAATATCAACGACAACATATGTGTAATAGCGCCTTTCATGTCAGGAGGACATCCAAAGGCGCTGGACAGTCAGGGATTTGGAGCAGAGCAGGTTGTTGGGATGGGAGAGGTGGAGGGCAGAGGCATTGTAATCGGCTGCTGGGAGCTGAGCCGATGTCCAGGGGCTGTACCAGATTTCTCTCCCTGGCTTGGTGACGAAAGGCTTGGCTCCGAATCTCCTTACACACAGCTGGGATTACGCATTTTTGTTCCGCTAAATACGCTGATAATTATAATCCGTTGAATTGTTACAATAAACGTACAGATGGCTTTGCAGTGGCATCAAGTGCCCTTTTTTTGCAAAATACATTGCAATTGTGGAGCTCCTGTTCAGATAACGTGGAAATAAATCCAGACAAGGATAGTTTTAGATACGTACACCTGACGTTTAATCATTCAACTTGTGGCTGTTTGTGAAATGTAGCTGTGCACAAAACAGCAGCCTTTTGCCTACAAAAGAGTCATCCTTGCATTTGACATAACGCCTTATCACATTGTTGAGATGTGTTAAAGCGCTTCAAGGATTAACTGTATACTTTGTGGGCGAAAAGCGGCAGCCAATTGCTCACATCCGTGTCTCACATACAGTGGTGAGTTGAATGACCAAATTATTTGGTTATATGGCTTTGGGCAAACACTGACCTTTCCTGGCAGTACTGTTCCAACGGAAGGCGTGATGGTCAAATTGGAATCCTTTGGAACAATGAACTCAAATGATGTGGGTCCAACCGGAGCTATTTTTCCTCTTCCTATCCTGGGCACAGGGTGGGTAAACTCGTTTTGGCTGGTATGGTTATTCATCACGTACAAAACCGCTGTCGATGAATCGTTCAAAGCTGTAGCGGCAAAGTTAATCACTGAATGGGACAGCTCCAAGGGAGGATAGGTACCAATAGCCTTGCAGGAAATCTTGAAGTCTCTTAAATAAGAAACAAAAAGCTGGTTGGGCAAGTTGAGACCATCAGAAACTGAGGGGCACAATATAAGCTGGATCTAGTTGCACTTACGCTCTGAAAACGGATCAAGTTGGAGCAGGTGAATCAGAGGCATGAGGTAACTTCAACAATTACTGCAAACCAAAGCCCTTAGAAATGTAAGCCATTGTGTCTGTAATGTGCTAGCTTCCCCACTGTACTCTTTATATCTTCTTCCGCCGAGTGTTTGTCTCATTCCTTAAGTTACACTTGAACGAGCGAAATGCAACCATCCTAATGCAGAATTATTTTATCAGATGAGTCTACATTCATAGATTCATAGAATGTTACGGCACAGAAGGAGGCCATTCGGCCCATCGAGTCTGTGCGGCTCTTTGACAGAGCAAGTCACTTTCACTAACCTCAATCACCAGCTTTCTCCCCATAACCCTGCAAACCCGTCTTCCCCAGATACCTATCCAGTTCTCTCTTAAAAGTTGTTAATGAATCGGACTTCACTACCCTTTTGGGCAGATCATTCCAAATTCGAACAACTCGCTGAGTGAAAAAATTTCTTCTAACCTCCCCTCTGCTTCTTTTGGTAGATATCTTAAGACTGTGACCGTGGGTCACAGACCTACCAGCGGAAACAGCTTTTCCTTATCTCTCCTGTCGAAATCTTTCATGATCTTGAAGACCTCTATCAGGTCCCTGTGTAACCTTCTTTGTTCTAATGGGAAAATTCCTAACTTCTCCAGTCTGTCCTCATAGCTAAGGTTCCCCATTCCTGGTATCATTCTCGTGAATCTCCTCTGCACCCTTTCCAGTGCCTTAATGTCCTTCCTGAAGTAAGGTGCACAGAACTGGAAGCAGTACTCCAGCTGAGGCCTAACCAGTGTTTTGTATAGATTAAGCATACCCTCCCTACTCTTATACTCTATGCCCCTACTAATAAAGCTCAGTACACCAAATGCCTTTTTTACTGCCTTATCTACCTGCCCCACTACCTTCAATGATTCGCTTACTTGAACACCCAGATCTCTCTGTACATTCACCCCCCCTTAAGATTGAGCTACCAAGTCTATATTGCCTCCTATCATTTTTCCTACCTAAGTGTATCACCTCACACTTATCCACATTGAAATCCATCTGCCACGTGTCAGCCCATTCCACCATTCTGTGTATGTCTGCTTGCAGTTGGTTACAGTCCTCCTCACTATTTACTACCCTACCTAACTTTGTATCATCTGCAAACTTGGAAATAGTGCTCTCTATGCCCAAGTCCAGATCATTAATATATATTAGAAAGAGCAGTGGTCCCAATAATGACCGCTGCACACCTCCTTCCATTTCGAGAAACACCCATTAACCACCACCCTTTGCTTTCTGTCACTCAGCCAATTCTTAATCCAAAAACTGCCACTGTCCCCTTAATACCGTGGGCCTCTAATTTTTGTATTAATCTCTTATGCGGTACTGTGTCAAAAGCCTTTTTGAAATCCATGTAAATAACGTCCACCGCATTTCCCTCATCAACCTCTTCAAAAAATTCTATTAGATTTGTTAGGCAAGATTTGCCTTTAACAAATCCATGTTGGCTGTCTCTAATTACCTCATGTTCCTCTAAGTAGAGATTTATTCTGTCCTGGATTATGGTCTCCAGTAGTTTTCCTATTACCGAAGTTAGGTTGACTGGCCTGTAATTTCCGGGTTTGTCTTTCTGCCCCTTTTTGTAGAGGGGGGTAACATTAGCCACTCTCCAGTCTCTTGGCACCACTCCTGTGTCCAATGAAGATTGAAATATAATGGCCAAAGCCTCCGCTATTTAACCCGTATCTCCCACAGCAACTGGGGGTGAAACCCATCTGATCCTGGTGACTTATCAATTTTGAGCCCAGTCAATCTTTTCAGAACTTCCTCTCTGTCTATAGTAATCTGATCTATTTCCTCTACCCTCTCATCCAATACTGCAGCATTAGGGGCATCCATTTCCGTTGTGAAGACAGATGCAAAGTACTCGTTCTGTAGATCAGCCATGGCCTCTGCCTCTACAACAAGATTGCCGTCATTGTCTTTGATTGGCCCCACCCTATCTACGTGCTTGTAAAATATTTTAGGATTCCCCTTTATGTTACCCGCTAACCTCTTCTCATGCGATCTTTTAGCCTGTCTTATCACTCTTTTAAGATCACTCCTGCATTCTCTATAATGCGCTTTGCTATCCTCAGTATCTTGCGTCTTCCAATGGTCGTACGCCGTCTTCTTCTTTTTCATCCTAGACAGAATATCCCTGGTCATCCAGGCTGGCTTGGTTCTCGCACATTTCCCTTTTGTGGGAATACATCTATTTAGACCTTGAGCTATCATATCATTGAAGATCTCCCACTGCTCATGAGTCATTTTACCTGCTCGTCTTACTTGCCAGTCCACCAACTCTAGGTCCCTTTTTAGCCCATCAAAATTAGCCCTTTTCCAGTCAAGCATTTTCACCCTTGACTGTACTTTATCCCTGTTCATGAGTAATCTAAATCTAATAATCTTATGGTCACTGTTACCTAGATGTTCCCTTACCGAAACCTGTTCAACCTGACCTATTTCATTCCCCAGGACTTGATCCAGCAATGCTTCCTTCCTCGTAGGACTGGAGACATACTGCTCAAGAAAATTTTCCTGTACACAGTCTATGAATCTTTCTCCTGCCTTGCCCTTAGCGCTGCTATTTTGCCAGTCTATATTGGGATAATTGAAATCCCCCATTATCACAACTCTGTTCGCCTTACATCTATCTGCGATCTGGTTGCAGATCTGCTACTCTATCTCCTTTTCGCTGTCTGGTGGTCTATAGTAAACCCCTATCAGTGTAACCACTCCTTTCTTATTTTTTATCTCTAACCAGATGGATTCTGTTGTCGGGCCCTCCAGAGCCTCGTTCCTTTCTACAGCTATAATTGTATCCTTAACTAATATTGCCACCCCTCCTCCTTTTCTTCCTTCTCTATCCATCCTGAACACATTATATCCTGGAATATTTAACTCCCATTCCTGTCCTGGCTTGAGTCATGTCTCGGTTACTGCCACCACATCGTAACTCCCTACGGCCAAGTTGAACCTGCAGCTCATCAACCTTATTCCCTAAGCTACGTGCATTTAGATACATGCATTTGAGAGAGCTTACATTAGGAGAGCTCTATTTCCCACCACTGATTGTAGTGTGAAGATGTGATGGCAAAGCGTCAGGCCGAAGGCTATTTCTGATCAGATGTCCTGGGTCAAAAAGCCCTCCAGATTATAAATCCGATCACAGGCCGATTAAATGCACGCAGGATTCCAGTGGTCCTCTTAGCTCAAGTGGCGGCTCAGTCTTAAAAGAACACTCTCCACTGTGTCAGTTTTCATTTTCATTCCTGGTTTTTAACCCCTGCAGACTTTTTCAGACCAACGCATTTGTATCTTTTAATACAAAAACAGAAGTCGCTGGGAATACTCATCAGGTCAGGTAGCATCTATCGCGAAAGGAAAATGAGTCAACGTTTCGGGGCCAGAACACAAAGGGTCGAAGGGTTTGACCCAACGATTCAGGTTGTGGACCCGAAACATTGACTCACTTTCCTTTCTGCATAGCTGCTGCCTGACCTGCTGAGTGTTCCCAAGGAATTCTGTTTTTGTTTCAGATTTCCAGCATCTGCAGTATTTTGATTTTGTATCTTTTAATGACCGTCAGAGTGGCTTTCGGTCATGCGTTCCAGGAATAGATTTTTTACTCGAGAACACTTGACAGTGAAAATTTATGCAAAGCCCTTTAGATGCCAGGTGAAGTCAGGGAGAGAGATGGATAACCTGAACCAAGGATATTTAAAGCACAGGCTCTCATCAACTCCTTCCATCTGATGCTGTTTTGGGCCTGGATGATACAAGGCAGGCATCACTGAAAAAAAAACCATCAACAACAGGATGACAATCTCTAATTGTTGGGTGCAAAATGCAGAGCACAGCACAAAATAAAACTAACACTGAAAATCCAGATGACACAAGAAAAAGTGTGACATGTGCAGAAAATAACAATGGAAAAACAAATTATTAATAAGTAAATCTGCCAACAAGGTGTTGCCCTTTCTAAAAAGTCAGAAGAGAATCCTGAAAGCAACATCATGATAAACAAGACCCTTGCTTCGACAACGCAACCTAATTGCAACGGAAAGATTTCACTCCATGAAAAACCAGCAACAAAATTCAGCTCTGAATAACAGATGATCACAAATTTATATGCACATGATTGTCTTTCCCCTAACTAAACATAATGCAAAATCCACAGACAATTATAGAGCTGGGCAAGAGATTAGGCTGTCAAGGGAGTTATTGGTAAAGGGATGTGTAGCAGCAAATGCAAAACATTATTGCTGCCCAATAAAATCATAACAGCAAAGGTGGGGTGGTCAGAGAGGAAGTTAAACCCTGAGGGTCTGCGTGGGAAATGATGACAAACAGGAGAGGATCAATATATTTAATGACTAGTGACCTTCTCAGAGTTTTTTTTCCCAACTGAGAAAGCGCTTCCTGGGAGAGTAGCAGCATTATACTGTGGGATTTAAACCTCATTTTCTTCAGCGAGCAAGCTTCCTTTCCACAGATTAGGGACAAGCCAAAGCCCGACTATTTCTTGTGAATGTTAAATATCTGTTTTACAAGGAACGCAAGCTGACAAAAAGGCAAGGAATGGAGGCATGTTTGCAAGTCTGCAACTGCTCAATCTGACAGCAGGTTCAGTGGGTTTGGACCTTGCTCTGCCTTTCTATAGGCTTGGGTCGAGCCAAGCTGGTTACACTCATCAATGTAACATATTAGCATCACCAGAGATGCCGAGCCTTTCATGTGTAAACTTCTGTGTGAAAACGGTGACCTAATTCTTCTCGACTACGCGCTTTGTCCAGGAAATAATAGCCTTCAGATTTTAAACCTGACAGCATTCACGTGGAGGGCTATTAGCATTTAAAAATATCCAGCTCTTATTAAGAGCGGAAACGCCGAAAGTCTCACGTAAGCACATGTGAGAGAGTGAGGATTGTGCTTCCAACCATCTACCCAACAAAGCATGACGTGTACCAGAAAGTATTGTTCGGTTTACCTTCTGTACCCTGTCAAGCATTTCAAATACAAAATCGCCCATGAGATGTCCCTTCTCAAGTTCTCATGGTGATTCCTCATAGCTCATCCCTGTAACATTGGGGATCAGTTTCGTTGCTCCAGACGGTCAGGGGCCAAAAATTCCTCATGGCTTCCCGTTAAGACCATTAACGTTAAGGCAATGGTCTTAACGGGAAGCATTGTTCACAATTTTAGAAAAATTCTTCAATTCAGCCTCAATTTGGAAGCTGGTTATCTGAAGTTCCTGAGGCTAAGAGCATTTGGAGAAATGTTGAGTCTGTTTTTCACTCCTTTTTACACTAATCAGTACCCATATTAAGCACTACAAATGTACAAAGTTTAGATTGCAGTCAAGATTTCAAAGAGCCCTAAATGCTACAAAAATATTTAAAAACTACAAAGAACCGTGAAGGTAATCTGACACTGTGGGCAAAGACATTTAAGTGTTTGAAGTTTAAGTGATGCTTAAGTGTTTCTCCCTCTGTACTGATGCTATTGATCTGAAGCAACTTCACACATGATTTTGTTTTTTGTTGTTGCTGATAAAACATTCAGGGAAGAAATTGCATCTGCAAAGAATAAACTACTTCATCATAGAGAAATAACCCTGAAGAGAAATTTGCGACTAAGCTGCTGTTATTAAATCTCACGACTATCTAAGTACAAACAAAATTATTCCTGCGGTGCGACTATATATTTCAAGATAAAACTTGATGCATCTTGCATTTGTTAAAATAAATTGTGTTATTCTGTAGGCTTGATAAGCAATTTCACTGCTGAGAAGATTGATATCCACAAACTGCAGATTATCCAGAATTCCACAGCTGCATTATCTCCATGACACCATCATTCCCATCTGTGCTGGGCTTCACTGGTTCCCTATCCCCCACTAGATTGAATTCAAGATGCTTGTCCTCACCTTCAAATGCCCCAACAGCCTCGCTCCACTCTATCTCTGCTCTCCTGTGACCATATTCCGCTGGTCACTCCCTCTACTCAGGCTGCTTCAATCTCCCTGTCCATTCCATCCCAGCCACTTCCCCCTCCCCCAACTCAGGCTTCCACCCATTTTTTATAAAGTGCTTTGAAACATCCTCCCTCTGTGAAAGGTGCTACACTGTATAAAGGTAATTTGCTGTTACTGATGTGTGCGAAACCCAGAAATGATCATTTGTGGGTGTGAAATAAGATGTAATGACCGTAAAAGGCTGGGGAGTTCTCAAATTCATTTCAAGGTGGGTTCAGGATTCTGCTACAGGGGTTGGAAGACACAGGCGTATGGGTTAGATCAACGGGAATTCTGATTGGCGATGGCAATATCCTGATGTTGTTTCACTCATGCGAGAGAACATCATAACTCACCCCTGCTCGTAGCGCTCATGAATTATGAGTCTTTCATACTTGCGAAGAGATTGCTATAACTCAGTGACACTGATGAAATATTCTGTTAGGGTAGGTTACAGGATTTGATGGTGAAAGGTTGTTCCTAAAATGATCAGCTTTAACACTTTGAGAACTACATCAGCAAAGACAGGTACTGTCACGAGTTGAAAGTCTGGGGCTTATACGTTTTTTCTTCTTTGAAGTTGAAGGGGGCCTTAAATGTTCCAAACCTCACAAAGGTGTGAAGACCTCAACTAGTAAATGGGCTCTGAGGATAGCACATCTTCTATAGGATCATGTGTGAAATAATTAGACCATGATAATAATAGTAATAATCCTTGCATTTGATATAGTGCCTTATCACGTATGTGAAACGTCACAAAAGGCTTCACAGAAAATACTATAAAGTGAATGGAAAGTATATTGTGGGCAGTGTCCCACAAAGAGTTGCGGATTGAGTGACCAAATTATTATTATTATTTTATTATATTTTTTTTGAAGGGTTTATTACCCCCGGAAAAGCGATCCGCCAATTGACTGACAACTAGGTTCCTACTTACTGCTAGGTTAACAGAGGTTTGTGGAGTAAGGAAACTTGTCTAACGTTTAGTAGAGTATCGGAAGGTTACTTCTATGGGAGTAATTTCTCCTTCGATTTTACAACCAGGTAAAGTTTGGGAGGTATGGAGAAACATATATATCTCTCACCCCACATCTCACAGGATTCATTGCACTTTAATATGTTTTTAATAGTCTTTCACCCCTTGTAACAGTCACAAAAGAATAGAGAATTATTTCTTCAATAATAAAGAAATAATCCTTGCATTTTGCATATAGTCTTATCAGGTCAAAATGTCTCAATAATGCTCCTCACACAACTAATTGTTCTTGATAGAAAAATATGGCAGCTAACGAAGCCAACAATGGCCCACAAACAGCATTGCTGAATAATCAATTAATGTATTTGGTAACTATGGAAGGAGGTGACTTTCAAGTGAGTGGTGTAGCATCACCTTGCAGGTCAGCTTCTCATGAAAACGAAAGGCACCGCCAAATCTTGTGTGACGGAGCAAATTAACCCATCAGTGATTACCAAGGGCTTAAAACAAACAGCCTCTTTTTAATGAGTTGGGACCTGAGGGTCTTCAAAATGAATCCAGGTGTTTTATGAATTAGTTTCTTAATGGAAATGTGTTGCAGGTAATACATTCAAAAAGGTTCTTGATGAGATCATTATTCATCATAATAATGCACAATGCAATTACTTCTATCAGATTATGAAAAGCGGATTTCACAAAACAGGCACTTTGGAAACCATAGCTCCAGATTGTTGTGCCTTTTTAAAAAATATGATGTGACACAGCAATCCACTGTGGCGCATTCATAAATAGTAAATAAAATTCAAGTTACCTTCATTCATTTCACTGTATTACAAAATTTCATATGATACATCAAGATAAGTTGGAGAGCATCTCAGCATAATTGAGCTCCACTGCAGAACTTGGATATGGTGTTGGTGAGGTTCCAGTCCAGGGTGTGTGTGAGTGCGTTCGTGTTTTTTTGTATATGCGCGTGTGTGTATATGATTTTCAGCACTAGTATTTTTGATCTGCAAATCCTAACAACATTGAGCTCTCTGTCTGTCAAATGCACGTCAGTTTTTTATCTGTGATATACAAGGCAAACAACCCAAAAAAATGCCTGCAGTTAGTCGCATCCTACATCCAAGCACATATGTTAGCAGACGTAAATGTTGAGTGCTTCACTGGGAAATATAGCTAAATTTGTGATTTTTTTAACTGTCACAAAAGATAATCGTTCAATGTCTGAATTAAAAATAATCAAAATGACAGTATTCCAAAACATATTCTGTCCCATAATTAAGGAACAAAGTTAGAATCGATTTAGAAATCTCACTTGACCAATTTTGGAATTTGGAAGCTGGTTCTTTTTGAGAAATACGCAGAACCAGCTTTCAAATTAAGACTGAGTTGAGGAATTCATTACAATTCTGCATGAGCTTAAATATTAAGACATATTAAGTCTTACATGCTAAAATTAGGTGGGATTCTGAGCCTAAAATTTTAGCTCACAAATATTTTATTCCAGTGACTTCTGCTGTTTTGGTTACCTGTTGATTTCGGACTTGCAGATCAGTTCAAATTTGTACTCTTTAGCTTGCTTAGCGTTGAATATGATGTTCATGTTCATTGTCTCCAGAGGTAAGATTGTTCCAAAACCATCGTTTGGCTGCACATCTATGTACTGGAACATACAAGAAAAATATAACGAACAAACTTCAGAAAGACCAAACCAGTTGACGTTATAATAATATATATTGTGCCTGGTATATCTAAATTTCTCAAAGAATTTCACAGGGAGTCAATGGCAAGAGTATTTCTAGATAAATGTGGTCGCCAATTTTGCACACATATCTGAAAAATAGTTAATGATCAAATTATCTCCCTTCTCTTTTTGAACAGTATCACAAAATCTTTAATGTCTTCCTGACATGAATAGACTGACGCTCAGTTTAATGTCATAAGTGGACCCTCAACCACTCCGCCACCACCCTCTGGAACTCCATCCCGCAGTCCCTCCGCCACGTCCCCTCACTTGCCTCCTTTAAGACCAATTTCAAGACCCTCCTCTTCGATCATGCTTTCAATCACCCTCTTTCCCCCACTGCCTTCCACCCTCCCCAATCCCGACCCCTGGCTCGGGTCCGAAACACTGACTGTCCAGTGCCTTTGGATGTCGTCTCGACATGACAGGCGCTATATAAATATAATTTATCCAAAGGACTACACCTCCAACAACATGACTTGGTCTGAAGATTTCAATGTTGCTATTATTTGGCCAACAACCACCCATTCTGACTTTGGCGGCGTGTAACACAATCAAAAGCTACATTTGATAACAATAGTGGCAATAATGGAAATCTTCAGGCTTAACCGCTGTGCCAATATCGAGGGGAGCCATTTTCACATCGCACCTGTGGATCGATCATCTGTGAATCATGGGGTGGGAAGAAATCTCAGTCTTTAGTTACTGACTGGAAATTGCAAAGTTTCTTAACGGATTCAATGTGTTCTTAATGCACCGCAATCTGCACCCCATCATCTCTGCAGAAGTAAAATCACCGAGGCCTTTCTTACCTGTGGAATATCAATGAATCCAAATTGCTGGGGCAAGATGGATTTGTTTTGAAGCAGGACAGTGGTCCACACAGACTCGTGGATTGAACAGATGCCAAAGTCAATCTCGTTCTGATTGAACTCTAAGTCCGAGTTGGTGACAATAGCATGAACAGTAAACGGAACAGGCATGATCTAAAAGAAAGCAACCATCTGGCGTTAGGTCTTGAATAGAAGTTTTCAACAAGTCTTTCAAACTTTCAAACATTTTCATTCCAGATTTTGCGTGAGGAACGGATACAAAATGGTTTCTAAATTTGAATTCCGAGCAATCCTTTTGCAGTTCAATGCGGTTTCCCCTGATGAGGTGGCTCAAGTGCAGAAAAACTCCAGCAAAGTTGACGGTCATTTCTCAGCAGTAACAACCCGCAAAATACACAGTCACTATTCTTTACAGTAAACTCTGTGAAGCGCTTTGAGACATCCACCAGACATGGAAGGCTCTATATCAAATCAAGGATTATTAATCATTGTTATAATAATAATAATAATCCTTGCATTTGATATAGCGCTTTTCACGTCGGGAGGACGTCCCAAAGCGCTTCACAGAACACACTGTAAAGTGAATTGACTGTATATTTGTGGGCGAACGCGGTAGCCAATTGCGCACAGCAATGTCCCACAAACAGTCGTAGATTGAAAATGACCAATTTATTATTGTTTGGTTTTGGAGGGATTATTATTAGGCTCTGTGTGGAGTAAGGAAACTTGCCCAAGGTTTCACCCTCTGCCTGGAATTGAACTCAGGTCTCTCGCTTGCAAAGCGAGTGCTCTAACCACTGAGCCACAGGACTCAGTTATAACACAAAGGAGCGACAGTGCAAAAAAGATTATAAAAATAAATCCATTACGTTCTACGAGAGAAAAAAAATCACTTCTGGGGTGGCAGTGTTTTAATGAGAGCATTTGCAAGAGGGTAAAGAATTCACAGATGATTAAGAGTGTTTCACAATGGTAATTGGGGGAAGGGAGTGAGAGTGAAAAAAATCAAATTGCGGGTCTCCATTAAATTAATATGGTTTTTGACGAACTCCAAACAGAATTTTACAGCTTTGTTTCATGAAAACCCCTAACTTTATTTTTGAAATTTATCAACTTGCTAAATTACCTACTTTGTTACATTATATATAAAAAAATGAACAAACCTGATTTGCCACCCAAATGGTCATGGGTGCCTCCAGCACTCTGGTCTCCTTGTCAAAGTAATTTTTTGCATCTTCTGCTAAAGTTTGCCTGAAATAATTTTTAAAAAATTCAAAGTATTGGATACGCTTTGCGGTTTTCGTGAACATGCAATACTTTGCTACAAATCTCTAAGACCGCAAGAACATTTAAGAGGAAATTGGACTAATCCTACATGCCTGGAGTGTAGCATCTATTCGTCTCAGGAGGCAAAGAGAAGGAGGGATCAGACCCTATAAACGAGACTTGAATGAGCAGCTGCTGATCACGGCGGACATGCAGCACAAGCCAAGATGATGGTAGATGTGATACCAGAGATCTGATAGACTCAGCTGTCAAGCCAGCATGACTGCTAAGAAGACTGTAGAGTGAGTGATTGACTGTCTCGAGTGCGTGTGTGCGTAGTTCAGAAAATGGCAAGAGAGGAAAGGCTGGAACAGAAAGGAACTGAGAGGTAAAGCACAGAGGATCGTAAGACTTAGCATTTCTATCATCATTATGTGTGTGACACGCACCTTGAATGAGAAAATGCACAGTAACGGATTAGGGAGACCAGAACTTGTGCTTTATGTTTATTTGGCCTGTTTCAGCTAAGAGCACGGCCATCAATTTTCTCGGCAGCATTATGAAATTTTCTCTACAGCATCATAAACAATAGCATCTTGACAATAGGTTATTAAGATGTCGAATAGTTTTTCACCTAGTGCCTTCCTTGTAAAATAGTTCATCCTCTGACTTTGGTCACTAATGGATATAGAATAAAGACGCTAGACCAAGTGTAAGGATTACTATAAATCTCCACTTGTGGATTTGATCTGCACCAGGTAGATGATCAAATTTGGGGCCAGTTATTAAAGGCCGTCTTTGACTTCTCCTAATCAATCAAATCAGGCTCACTTTGATTAGCTCCAGTAAATTAATAGTCGTTTAAACTTTATTTAAATTACAAATTCAAACTCCGCTTCCCCACAGATGAAGCCTCGATCGATGCTTTGATGTTGAAGGATTTTTAGCTCGGAATGAAATGTTTAATCTGTATTCTGAAATTCACATAGTTCTTAATTTCTAGCATAGTGTCGGGGAGGTGGGGGCGTGGGGGGAGGGCTGGGATATGGGCAATGCGTTGTGATAATTATCATGTCATACAATCCCCCTCCCCCCAGTCATTGAAAGAGAGTTTTCAATCAAGAAATAACAGTGAGCTATTGTAGTTGGAGTTGTAATAAGAATTAATAATACTTGCATTTGATATAGCGCCTTATCGCATCTTCGAGCTGTCTCAAAGCGCTTCACAGAATATACTGTAAAGTGGAACAAAAATAAAGGTCACTGGGAACACTCAGCAGGTCAGGCAGCATCTATGGAGAAAGGAAAGTGAGTCAATGTTTCGGATCCACGACCCTTCGTCAGAACTGAATTCTAACAAAGGATCGTGGACACGAAATGTTGACTCACTTTCCTTTCTCCGTAGATGCTGCTTGACCTGCTGAGTGGTCCCAGCGACTTCTGTTTTTGTTTCAGGTTTCCAGCATTTGCAGTATTTTATGTTTTGTTTATATCTAATGTGGATTGACTGAATACTTTGTGGGCCAAACACAGCAGCCATTTGAATACAGCAGTGCCCCACAAACAGTCGTGAGAGTAGAGAAGATATCCTCATTTTCCAATAGCACAAACTCTACCACCCTCTTACACTGGTACAATTACTAGGGTGGATTTTATATTCCCAATGTGTTACCTAATACATTGGAGTAACCTGTGTTGCTAAGTTTATTGTGTGGTGCAAAAATGAGCAGAACTTACCTAGGTTTGAACTTGAGTTGAAAACTAAAGCTGGATTGTGCTTGGATGTAACCTGTTTTGGGTAGGAGTTCTATGTGATTTCTCAATTCTTTACACACTTCGACTGTTAACTGCAGTGCTGTGGTTGCCCTGATAACAAGCAAAGAGGAAGTAAATCCACAACTAAGTCGAATGAATCCAACGAAGTAAATATTAATCCCTGTTCAATAAATCCTTGGTGACACAATGCCACAGAACATTAGGATGCAGCTACACACCAGTCACCATAGATATGCTACAAGGAAAGGTGGCAATCAGAGGCTCAGGAGAAAGGGGAAATAATTACATGCACACAGCAGTGTCCCACAAACAGTCGTGGATTGAGGGACTAAGTTATTATTTCTTTTGAAGGGATTAAAAGGGAATCAGTTGCTCAGTTTGCTTCACAGAATGATCCACAAAGTAGAGAAGAACAAACATTTTTACATAGTGCACATCCAGTCTCTTCTACATCAAACACACCACATTTACTACTTTCTTTCCCTTTGAGCTTACCTGTTGTGAGTAAGAATGGAGTCTTGATAAAGCCGGTCGTACATACAGATCTTCAGATCTACGTTAGGTTTTATCACTGATACTGGGACATCTATGGCCTTTGCTTGAACCTTAATGGGGATCTATTCTTAGAAAGGAAAATAATTGAAACCATCAGTGTCTCTTCTGCATATCTGCGTTTAATTAAAAATCTGCAACAATTCCAAGAATATTATTGTTTTGTAATTGAAGAGAACGGGACCTGGGAAAGCTCATGTCATTGTACCATGGAAATAAAATGACAGAACGTTATCAGGATATACAAAGCCACATTTTAAGAGCCGTTTTACGCTCTCATTCTCTGACAATATATGGATTGCCTATTGACCTCAATGCATCTTGTACATCTTGTGACAACTGAATCTGGAAAGGTATTAAAACTGCAAACACAGCCACGTTACCAACTCACCCAGCTCGAGGCAAATGGGCACAAAGGCGAGTGACCTGTAAAGGACATTTAAAACTGCTTTGGGAAAGAATTCAACATAAATCACTGGTGACTGACTCCCGAGTCCAACACCATTTAAGGGGCAAATGGAATAAATTCAGGGAGAACAAAAATTAAAAGATGGAGCTCATACAAGCAGAGACACAATAGCTGAATGGCCTCCTCCTGTGCCGTATGCGTTGTTTGTTTCTATTCCCCTACTTGCAACTAAGTACTTGTCACAGTACTTGTTATTCCCTCTGTAAATATGGTTTACATGTGGTGCAAAATAGTGTTTACACATAGCTTACAGATGTGCAAAATAGACCTCAAGATGTCTCTGAAATAAATAAATGAAAGTAAGCAAGTTACATCTGCTTATTGGGAACTTTGCTTACTAAGTATATGAGAATGGAACTGAAGTCTTAGCGTATTGTTGGAATATTAGTGTTTGTAAAAATGTGAACGGTACATTTTCAAACCCAAATTTTGCGTGTGAAAACCTGAAGCGTAATAGTCTTCAGAACATCTTAATGAACTTTGATACTTTAAGTCAGGGTAGTCCAACTGGCGGCTCACATGCCTCCCCCACTCACTCCATTTCATCTGGTCCACCCGCTCCCTCCATAACCTGTAAATGTTGTTTTATTATGTTTCTGGAAGGGAAACCTAAAAGTATTGCTTATGCAGCTCACGGACGCTTCTCAAATAGCATTTCCAGCCTTCAGCAGTCAAAAGGTTGGACTGCCCTGTTTTAAGTGGCTGTAATGACTCGGACTAGAAAACCCATTGAAGATAACACTGACACTCACGCTCTTAGATTGTGTATCAGAGAAACTGATCTCAAAGTCTGTCTGCACTTCACCAGGGATAGCTGGCAAGAAAAGGATCTGCAGCTTGACTGATGTAAATGGTCTGATATCACCTTCAGAGACCTTAAAAGAAGGAAACATTTCAGCAAACTCGGAAGGCACAGTGCAACATTAGGCAATAGAACACAGACATCGGAACAAATAATAATAATAATAATCCTTGCATTTGATATAGCACTTTTCACGTCGGGAGGACGTCCCAAAGCGCTTCACAGAACACACTGTAAAGTGAATTGACTGTATATTTGTGGGCGAACGCGGCAGCCAATTGCGCACAGCAATGTCCCACAAACAGTCGTAGATTGAAAATGACCAATTTATTATTGTTTTTGGTTTTGGAGGGATTATTATTAGGCTCTGTGTGGAGTAAGGAAACTTGCCCAAGGTTTCGCCCTCTGCCTGGAATTGAACTCAGGTCTCTCGCTTGCAAAGCGAGTGCTCTAACCACTGAGCTACAGGACTCCACAAATAGATTGCAAGTATCCATGTTCTGGGATAACCAGAGCATGACACAGCGAACCGAACTCAACAGATTTGGCGATTGCCGGCCAGCATCCTGTTTGTTTTGTTTAGTGCTGCCTCCCACTGTTTGGACTTGGTGAGCGACAAACTCAAATATGTGGTGCTATGTTTAGATTTCAAAGGAGGGAAACTAACAAAAAGTGATTGTCGCTTCTAACGACTGAGACTTGTCACGTTCTTGTCAAGTGTCTCCCTAGCTGCCAAACCTACAGTGCAGAGCATACACAACACAGTCGCAAAGGTAACTTTGCACACTAGAGGTACTCTAAAGAATTTGCAGCACTATCATTCACACACGGTGCAGTTTTCCCCAATGAAAGACACATCACCATCACCTGGGGGCAGAAGGGAGAAATCTACGGGTACACGTGGCTTCATACTCAACTAGAAAAGCACAATAGGCATTTACCTTAGATGAGGCTGTTCAAAAGGAATATCTCAAGTAATTTAAGATTTGCGATACGTATAAATTATTAAAAATTTAACAAAAATTAATTCTTTAAAATATTAAAATAATCCCCTGTGAGCGCCAAGTAATGTTGTCATGGAAACAAGCTCTTCTGCGACAAGTTGCAATATTATTGGACTGTGAAACCATCAGAAAAGTTAAAAGGGCAAGCAAGAGGACCTGGGTTTCATTCCCGGGTAGGAAGAATCTCATTGAATCTCATCATTGAATCTCACCTGGCCAATTCTGATCTCAGTCTCCTGCTCTTCGGGATCATGCAATTCGGGAGAGTTTCCTGGAACTTCAGTCACTTCTCCACTTGTTGGACTCGCGATGACAGCGACTGACCCCTGATGGCTAAAAAGTTCTTGAACCGAATCTACTTCCATTCCATTTGTCAGCAGGGTAGTGTAAAAGGAATAAGGAAACAAAGAAAATAAGGGCAATAATCTTTCTCTATTCTAAGTCGGGGTGGGGGAAGGGTCCAACAGGTTATGGAGGGAGTGGGTGAGTCAGATTAAATAATGGCGGGGGGGATTAAATCGGCCCTCAGGCCGCCTGTTGGACAACCCTGCTCTAAGTAGTAATTCTAAATATTGCAAAAACCTAGGAAGATGACATTCCTTTATTTAACACCCAAATTATTCATCTTCCAATAGCCAAGGCCTGACATATTTTCAGCTTTCAACAACAACAACGTACATGTGTGCATAGCCTTTCATGTTGGGAGGATAATGGTCTTTACTAACCTGTGTCCTTCTGTTCGCTTAGAACTGACTTTGTCTCGGACCTTGGGGAAAGTGGCTGTTGATATGAAGTTGATGACTGATAGGCGGTCTTTGAAGATTTAGCATCGGAATCTGGTGAACTTTTTTTTGCTGAATAAGCAGAATTACTCAATTCTACTGTTATCTATAGGCATGAAAAAGCCATTAATGTGGCATTTCATGGTTAAGTTATAAAATAATATTATTATTATTAAGTTATAAAAGGGGTTTCAATGTGTTCATCTTGAAATACCAGTTAACAGGAGTCATGCACAAATACCCCTCCAGTCAATGGTTCTGATCATACCTTGGGATTCGCCTTGGGAAGATCTAACTTTGCAAACTGAAAGTGTGTGCCCAGAGCTCCTCGGTTGGTCAGTGTTATAGAACGTGTAACTGTCTCGCCAACAACATAAGTTCCGAAATCAATGAAGTTATTATCCACAAAGAGCTAGACAGACCCCAAAAAAGGGATTAATATTAGTCACAGTCGATCAATTGTTTTTCAAATGAACAAAAACTTAATTGGACCTTAAAACATAAACATCACAAAGGTACTCTGGTTTGGGGTTAAGACTTACATCACATTTTTTAGTTGCACATTTAAGAAGCACAGAAAAGGGGCCAGTCTGAGCCAGAAACATCACTTCCCCTTCCAGGTCTTCAGTAATCTAAATGAAAAGACAAAAAAAAGTTCGTGGATTTTGAGTTCACAAAAGGGCAAAAAGAAATCTCTTAATAATTGCCATTTCTTTGATAAAACAAAGCAGCTCTAAAAATGATCATTTCACCTGCCTTTATTGTTCTCAAGACCCTGCTCTTCGACCGCGTCTTCAGTCACCCTCCTACCCTTACCCTCCCTTCCCTCCTGATCCCAACCCCCTGCTTGGGTCCAAATCGCTGACTGTCCAGAACCTTTGGATATCTTTCTGACTTGAAAGACACTATACAAATGTAATTTTTTTGTTACTGATTTTTCTTCACAGTGGTATGTTTTAACAAAGGCCCATGATGGAGTACTTAGTTGGGCAGGAGCAATAGGGAAAGTGATGATGGATCACTTAACTGTACAACATTGTTGCATTCCTCAAATATTTGTCCAATGGACGATTGCTACTTTGCAGTTTGGATTACTTTGCACTTCGACTTACCATAGGTTTGAAAGTCACTAACATTTTACAAGTCATGCCGGCTGATATCTGACCTGGAGGCTTGAATCTAGGATAAATACAGAAAAAAAACAGCTTGATGGTCAAGTCTAAACATTTCAGGTTACTGGAGGAGTATGCTTTGTATTTTATTTGGCTGCTGCTTTTCGCTCACAAAACTATACAGTTAATTAACTTTATAGTATATTCTGTGAAGCACTTTGAGACGTCTCAACGACATGATAAGGTGCGATATCAAAGGCAAAAATTATTATTATGGAAGTCAGCTTGGTATTGAGATCCGAAATAATCATTCGGATCTCAATACCAAGGTGACTTCCATAATAATAATTGATCTAGATTCTGACGTTTCTTAACAGATTTGCTGCGATGATTATCACTAATGTTATGAACCATCATACTTTTTCAGTTATATTTTGATGGGATTTATTCTCTTATCAAAATTAAACATTTAACGTGTATTAAATGAAAACAAGATATTTGCATTATTTTCTTCTTCTGCATCCTCTAGATACTCAAACTTCAATTTATAGTCACAAGACAGTCTCCTGGTTGTCACACTGTGCACTCACTCAACACTGATGAAGTCTTTCAGGTTGTCACTGATGTCAACCAGCCTGCAAAAAGTCATGCTGTATGAAACATTCATCAGCAACACTTCCATCTTGTACGTTTCTCCTATGTCAAAGTTCTGAAATCATAAAACAGATGGATAGATGTATGTTATTAAAAATAGGTATGGGGTGGGATGGGGAGGGGGCAGGGAGGAGGTACCTGGAAACGTGGGTGGATATACTAACATCAGAATTTGACCTCATAGCCTTTCCAGTGTAGAACTGGGGGAGCTGTCCTTCTGTTGAGAAGTTAAATCAAAGTCCATACCTGCCTGTTCAAGTGACATTAAAAACCCTATGAGACTATTTTAGGGAGTTTCTAAGCTGTGACTTCCTGTGGAAATGGAAATTGAGAACGGGAGCCAGGTGAACAAAGCAATGGACGTACTTTAAGACAGTCTACCTTCTCATGAGACTCCTTCTGCATCCTCCTTGAGCAAAAATGCTCTGTAGCCTTGTTGCCTTTTGATGAGAGATAGATAATGTAACAACAGCCATAAGGGGCCCCTTTAATAATAATAATAATAATCCTTGCATTTGATATAGCGCTTTTCACGTCGGGAGGACGTCCCAAAACGCTTCACAGAACACACTGTAAAGTGAATTGACTGTATATTTGTGGGCGAACGCGGCAGCCAATTGCGCACAGCAATGTCCCACAAACAGTCGTAGATTGAAAATGACCAATTTATTATTGTTTTTGGTTTTGGAGGGATTATTATTAGGCTCTGTGTGGAGTAAGGAAACTTGCCCAAGGTTTCGCCCTCTGCCTGGATTTGAACTCCGGTCTCTCACTTGCAAAGCGAGTGCTCTAACCACTGAGCTACAGGACTCCACTCCTTTGACACTTAACTGCACACTTAAGTGTGCAGGTTCCTGCATATTGTTTCTTCAGGAAATAATGAAAAATATTAGAAAAATACAAAGCAATCAATTAACATGCGTGGTCCGAGCCGGGAAGAGGTAAAGTTGCCCTTGCACTAGAGAGGGAATGAGTCTTTTGTATAACACAGGAAAGAAAGTAATGGCATCAACTTGTCTTAAAAGGGAATCAGCTGCTCAGTTTGCTTCATTGATAAACCTGGATTTTGCTAGAGGTACATTTAACGATCCATGTCTCATTGCTGGGTTGGGATTCATTCCACAGTCCCTTCACTTCGCTTCCTCCCTTGCTCCTTCAAGGCCTATATCAAAACCCTCCTCCTCAACTGCGTTTTTGGTCACCCTCTTAGCTCTACCCTCCCTGCTCTCCACCCCTCCTGATCCCAAACTCATTTCTCGGATCCAAATCCTTGGCTGTCCAGCACCTTAGGACATCCCTCTGATGTGAAAGGCGCTATACAAATGTAATTTATTCTTGTTGATAACATGTAGTTTTAGAACACTGACCTTGAATTGAATAATATCAGGTTTGCTGTAGAAGGGGGAGCCTTTGAACTCTCGCCCAGCCACTACTTGTTTATGTATGATGCTCCTTCTTTGCTTTTCCAGCTTACGTTTGATGATGTCTCGTTCCATTTTGCTGGTGCCTGGATATTTGCTGCTGCCATCATCTTTAACCTGATGCAGAAAACAAAAATGCAATAGAAATTATAGTCAGGAAAGTTTTATTTTACAAAAAAAAGCAATAGCTTCTCAAACAAATTATCATATTTAAGTGGAGTTTTAAAACGGGAGAGCAACAAATTATATCGATATAGTGCGATCAAAGAGGAAGGTCTTGAGACTTGCCTTGAAGGAGCAAGGCAGAGAGCGAGGTGAAGGAACTGGGAATAGAGTTCCAAAGGGAGAAATTACAGGACGTAAAACAAAGAATTCTATTTGCGATTTACTCAGACTTGTTTCACACTGACTAAAAATTACTGTTTAATAAGTGTAATACTTCCCAAACTTTCAAAAGTTTATACCCAAGGTGTAGACAACCTAATCCAAGTGAAATGTTGCACATATTTGTGCCTAACATTTACTGGGAATGCATTCAACCAATAGTAAATGATGAAGAATAAATCCAAACTTTTACTCAACTGGNAAAATAAACACTGGAACTGGTGCCTTTTTTCTACCCCATCAAGTTACATCAGAACTCTGGGACATAGCACCGTACAGTACAACGATTATTGTGGCAGTTCCCTGAATTCTGCTGGAATCAGAGATGGTTTAAATTGGACACACGGAGCCAGAGGGTTGCCTCTCACAAAGGCTCCGTTTGAAAAGAAAATCCAATTTAAAATTTGCTGTCAAAATTATTTTTGCCACTGTACTGGGAGTCTTTCTATAGAGGGGAAAATGCTGAACCCAACCTTCAAGGCTGCAGACCTTTCAGAACAGAGTTGACTTCAGATTACGGCTAGTATTATTAAATTAATCATTGAGGGAACTCAACTGGATTCTACGGATGGTACAATAACAGCTATAGATAAAATTAAGACAAGCTTCATCATGTAAATCATGTGCACTACAGAAGGACACTATTCGACCCATGTACTGGTGTTGACTCCTCAACTGAATCTTTCTGTTGTAACTTCATTTCCTGTGTCCTTGAGTAGAAAATATCTCTTTCTGTAGATACTTCCTTTACCAATATTATGGAGCCAACGTGAAATAATTAAATGGGAAAACTAACTTTAATTTGGGCTTCCTTGATGTTTTTGAAGCAAAGTACGTTTGATTAAATTTGCAGTGGAGTTTGGTGACTGTAAAAGACTTGTGTCCTCCCGACGTAAAAGGCGATATATAATACAAATGTTGTTGTGGATGAGGAATTTCAGGTCACTAATATCTTCAGTACAAACGTGTAGAGATCAGGTACTGGGCATTTTCATGCATGATTTTTTTGGATTGTAATCACAAATAATAGACATTAATTTAAACATTTATAGTTGTAAATTGACATGGGTTATTGGTGTGGCTCTAAAAGTCACAGGTTATAATGCTGTGACTGCAATTTAGAAAAAAAACAGCTGTTTGAACAAAACGTTGCCATCTGACAAGCTTTTCCTGCTGATTATTGTCAAATCTTCTATAACATACTAAACCCTAAAATACCCTGCTCATTGTAGTTAGTAAATTTGACACAGAAAGCTGGCACACTTCTGTTATAGGTCATGTAGAGGCTTGAAAGCCACCAACATTGAGCATTCTTGTTCGAGTCCCAGGTAGATTTTATACATGGTTTGTATTGCTACATTTTCCCATCTTTATTCAAGTGGAATTCAGCGCTGGTTCTGCATTCTCCAATAAAGTACTTTGTTTGCATCATCACAGTACTAGCTAACAACACAGGCCTGTACATTAGATACCCATACTATTATTAGTTTAAACTTAACCATTGTATAATGCTGCTTGCTTGGGCAGCTCCAATACATCTTTACCATTCTTCATTGACACGCCTTTGCTCTTTACCTGGTGTGATTTCAGTTCCTGTTCCCAAAGTCCCAGATATTCAGGCTGTTCAATAGTCTCTTCATCCTCGTACTCAACAGATTCTGGTGTGAAAGCATCAGGTCTCTGTGGCGTGCTCGCTGCTTCAGACAGAGGTGATGGAAATCGCCAATGTTTCTGTACAAAGAATGAACAATTGTGTGAATATAATTGGAACTATTGCTGGCATCCTAGCAGATGTCAATGAAACACCCACGGCACCACCTGAACAATCCAGTACTTAAAAAAAAGCGCAGTTTCCAACGCAGTAGTGAATTGCTTAATCTGTCTCAAAATTACTAATTATTGAGAAAAATGCACAGAACCAAATTAAGATTAGCTGTCGTGTGTCACCTACAAAATACACACTTAACCAACATTACAATGCATTTTGTGAAGCACCTTGAGACGTCTCGACAGAGTGATGAGGTGCTGTATCAAATGCAAGGATTATTATTGTTAAAACTGCAGTTAAAGATGAATTGTTTTTGACATGAGCAGAAGTACTGGGTTTGCGTGAGTGATTTTTTTGTGATCATGAGAGAAAGTCTTAACAAAGGTTAAGATCATGAAAAATAGAGACTGGTGTACATAAATATGTGTATATATATATATATTCTATATGTGTGAATGTAACAAATATATATTTAGTTGAAATATATCAATATATAAATATATATTTATATATATATATATATATATATATATATATATGGAGTCCTGTAGCTCAGTGGTTAGAGCACTCGCTTTGCAAGTGAGAGACCTGAGTTCAATTCCAGGCAGAGGGCGAAACCTTGGGCAAGTTTCCTTACTCCACACACCTAATAATAATCCCTCCAAAAAAAAACCAATAATAAATTGGTCATTTTCAATCCATGACTGTTTGTGGGACATTGCTGTGCGCAATTGGCTGCCGCGTTCGCCCACAAATATACAGTCAATTCACTTTACAGTATATTCTGTGAAGCGTTTTGAGACATCTAGAAGACGTAAAAAGCGCTATATCAAATGCAAGGATTATTATTATTATTATTATTATTATTATTTGTTAGTCATTTCACTCACTTCACTAGTACTTGGTGGCGCATCATCTCCATACATTTTCTCTAAGTACTTCATCAGTTTTCTCTGCGACTTCCATTCGTAGAACTTCGTATCCTCACTCTTCAAAGTCTGTGAGAAGATCTGAGGTGTGACCTTTTTCTTTTCTGCGTTGGATTCTTCCTTTAGAAGTTTAGTGATAATCTCCAACTTCCCCGCTTTCTGATAGTCGACAAATGCCCTTTTAAAATCATCATAAAAGATACAAAATATCAATAACCAGCAGCGAATTAATTTATATCCTGTCATATCATTTTAATTACTTTTAAGAGTGTCTATTACTCTACTGCCCCTGTTCGCTCATTAGATTAGCATTAAGAAATAATTCTGTCTCTATGTTTTGCACTGAGGCAAGTCTCATTTGCGTAGTTCTTATCCAAATGGATATCATGAGAGGCTTGGTATTATAACTAGATTTGAGCAATTGAGTTGCTAGAACTTATTTTTACGTTCTTGTACCTAAGATCAGTAAATCTCTGCACGTCGAGATTACATATTAAATTCTGACCTTATTATTGGAATCTTTGCAGACTATGTTTATAGTTGCCTTTTATTGTAACAACTTCATGACTTCATTCACAGCTGAGCACAGACATGTGCCAAACACTAGGGTCGATTGCTAAATATAGCCATTTTTCAGGTGCTTGTTTATAATCGAAAGCCCCATTATATCCCATAACAAAGAGATTGCTATTTCTGGTGATCAGCACATGAAGGGCCACTGTGCCCATACGTCAAGCCCAGCATGTGTGCAAGTGGTGCTTTGGTTCAATTTCAAAGAGCAGTCAGAATAAGCAGCAGACAGGGCAAAGTGGATGGATAGATCAGTGACGTGGATTGGATTTGACTGCGAGTGTACCCTCCACACATCTGAACTGGTGGCAGCATATAATCTACCCTCAGGTAGGTTAGGTCTATTTAAAACCAGCTCAGCTTGACAATGGATTGAGGAGGAGAAAGCTATGTTTAAGAATGGGCTAAATTCTAGACAGCCAAAAATGCTAAGATGATAAGAGTAAATCTAGACCAGGGTGAAATTTCTACCTTATGCGTTTGCTAGCTCAGAAACACAGGTTCACCCAAAACAAGCACTATAACATGCCTACTGAATTGTATGTACAATTATTCTATTCTTTACAGCATAACCAACTGTGAGTTACTAAATTGGCCAGGCTGACACCTGAGATAAGAGGGAGAACCCATAATTTTAGTTCATGGTAGCCATGTACTCACTGTTTCTTTTTCTCCAAATACTTCATCTTTTTAAGGTCATGCAAATATTGTATCACATTTCCACCCTCTAATATCACAGCTTCTTTCATCCTGTCCTCACGTGCTTTTTCTTCTGCTTCCATGGATTTATTTCGGGCTTCTATTGCTCGTAAATTTTCCTATTGAGAAAGTTTAAAATGTGTCATTTCAGATGATTTACAAAATCTGCACCAGCCCAGAAGGATCAAGCATCTAAAATGAAAGGTCTTTAACAAAATGCAAATTTCACCAACTCTGACTTTGTTTTTAAAAAAAAGGATTAAATAGATTAAAAATGGCTGAAAGCATCCATCTATTTAGTGGTGTCTAAAATGCGATATTCTCAAATTGCATTTTGTATGGTAACTCCCAATTTGCAATAAATGATTTTGACATTCAGTTTAAAAAAAAATTCCATCCCCTGCCACATTTTTTCTGAGAACACAGTTAAAAATAAAGCAGGCAGCTCCCAATAGTTGGAAATGTACCAACTACATTCGAATCAATGCCAAGCACCAGACATGTTCCAAGATTCCTTTGGCTGTTATTATTACAGTTCATCTGCTTCACTTTCCTCAGCAACAGAATGCACTTGTACTGGCGAATGCAAAAGAGACTTCAGAACGCCAATTTTTTCCCCAGCTAAATGGATGTCGTACCAAGAACCCTGCATGTGAGCAAAGCACTGGTCCATCCTCATGCCAGGTAACAAGGGAGTTTCTGCCTGTAGGACATTTACTGGCAAGCTCACTCCAGAGCCAGGGAAAAGGGAGTCTAACAGGGTACTAGTACAAGATCTTCAGCAGAATTGATTCAATCTGATTTAAATATGTTGCAGAACTGCTAGGAATTGTCCACATTGCTCTCAAGGACTGTATACAGTATATATATATACCACTGAATATTGGCTAACAAGTGCTTAGAAAAAAAATTACAGTTTTACACAACAGTTAAAATTAATGTATATATAACTGTGGGATACTGCTGTGCGCAGTTGCCTGCTGCATTTTACCCACAAAATAAACAGTCAATTCACTTTACAGTATATTCTGTGAGCTATCTCGAAGACTGTGATAAGCCGCTATATCAAATGCAAGGTTTATTATTATTATATATTAAACAAACGGTTTGTGTGACCAAGTCAACTGGAAAATTTACTCGGTTTGCTGAAATGCTTTTCTTTAACGACAAGACTGCTTGTATTCTCTTCTGCAGGTTTTCTCTCATCAGGAGTTCCTTTTCTGCTTCTTCTTTACGCACTCTGTGATTGAGAAACATTACGGTGAGCGTAAGCATTATCATTCAGTGCAGTTCATATCTATCAAGCCAACCAACAAACAATGCATTTGAGCTCTGAAATTCCACCATGGCTAACTCTCTACTTTTTGCAGAATCTTACATTTTAAGGCAAAAACGACCTTTAGGCTGAGATTTCATGGAATTTTGGGCTTCATATTCAAAGAATAGTGATGGCACAAGAAAGAGGTGGAAAAAAGCACATTAAAATCCGTATCTTGTAACAATATCTACACGAAGGTTGGGTAAGTCTAACCCAGCCTTTTTAATTCCTCTTCTCTGCCAATTTTCTTCTGTTTTAACTCCATTCTATCTGTTCTAGTAATTCAGGCGGGTGTTAAAGATCTCATGGTATTACTTTGGAGATAAGGCAACTATTACAGTAATATTTCTTCCTCATCCAAATACATAAAACATAAAAAGACTGACTGGCCACTCATTAGGGGAGAAATTCGTTTAAGAACGACATAAGCCTGGTTTTACAATGAAGACACTCTGTTTCGCTAGACAAACCTCAATACCATCTTTTAGACCATTTCATCATCACAAGATATAATTCCTCATGATATTTTTTATTTGCATCAATTACTTAGCCATAGATTGCTTCAGAAACTGTATCGCTTTTTGATTATTCTTCTTTGCTTCTTCAATAGCCTTTCTGTGTTTCAGCTCCCGCTCTTCCACATCCTTCATCGTTTTCCTGCTCGGGACCAGAAATGGAACATAAATCAATCTTTCCACCTTTGCAATCAATGCTTTGCTCCATCAAGTTTATTGACATTGTCAATAAGTGTTCCATTACTTTAAGTCACAATGTGTGTGTGCGCAGTGATTTCTAACAAGGAATCCGAGTTGTGCAAATAGGTAAACCATTCAATTTAGTTTCCTGGTTATATAAAGGAGATAATCAAATAATTTTATTTATGAATGTGTTCAAATCAAAAGGCGAGAAACGGTGTACCATCCTAGTTACAGTAGTTTCCCTATAAACAATATAAAATTTACACCAGTTTCAGATTGATGTCCTCTCTATATTACAGACTGCATTTACTGTTATCAGGAATATCTTGCACTGAATGTAGTCTTGTAGGTTTATTTACAATGCTGGTTAGAATGGGTTTGTGCGCCACCAGTATTAAATTGCCAGTCCAGCACATGCACTGAGATTTCGTTATCTACTGAAAACACCTGGAGAACCACACCAGATATCTATTTTAACTTGATATAAATCTGTATTGAATGCTGCAGCAATGAACCATTGTGAAACTATGTCTATTAGAATACGTTTGTGGAGACTGGAACAGCATGCTGGAGCATTCATATCACATTCCTCAGTTTTCACATCCTCCTAGAATCTTTTACAACCCACATTTGACATCAACTAGCTATTTCTGATTCGTCTTGTCTTTTTCCCTCTCTTCATAAACTTGGTGGCAGCAGCTTACACTACTGACCTTGGTCCTTCTCTTACATGTTTCCTTTCATCACTCAGACAATATCCTACATGAAGGGCAATATGTAAATGCAAGTTGTTGTAAAAAAAATACATTCCATCAATGTGGTGCGGATTACTACAGTGAGTCACCTCAGACTACTCAGTTAGTAGTCCTGGGGTACCTGGAAGGTTGAATAGTTGTCAGATTCTCCGCTTTGATATCAGATGGAATAGATTGCCTGCTTGAACCTTACTAAGCACCTTATGGAGGCAATCTGTCTCATGCCAGACCCCTGATTAGACACAGGGAATGGCTCCAACACACAGCATCATTAATCCACTTTCTTCCTCTAGCATACAGCAGTTCGGACGTTCTCCCAATTGTTGTATTTTAGTCAAAAAATTGTTCTGTACTAATCAACCTTGAGGATGGAACAAATCATTCTATTTCTATAAGATAGTGTAAGCATTATGCACTCCATGCCAGGTAAAGATAGCATAGAAAGCTCTGCAACAGAAAGCTCTGCCTGGTCTAGATAATGCTACAAGATAAAGGGGGGAATATTAGGTAATCATAAAACTTAGGTATCATCTCCTCACTAAGTTACAGCGTAAGATGTCCCCAAGAGCAGCTTCCAAGAGATACAAATCTTCAACTCGCTCGAAACTGTAATTGAGTACCAAACTGTGTTATTTTCATGACTGAAAGGTGAGTCTAATAGAGAATATGGTTAGTTTCCAAAATGGAGTATAACAACCCAATTTCATGGCTCTGCCCACCCACTTCTCCACTCCAGCAATTCCAAAGTTCTCAAGTCCTGCCTGAAGCAAATACGTGGATAAAAGAGCAGAGAAAAAGATATTACGAGAAAATTCATCCCCTCAGCGAGTTTGGTGTTCTATTCTATCTCCCATATGATGGAATGCTGTTCTCTATTCTACGCTGCCCTCTAAAGCATCAGGCAGATGCAACTAGGCTGTTAATTCTTCTACAAGGTCGTTGGAGTGCCACAAGGGGCACCAGCACTGATGCCAGTTCTCTATATTTATACCAGGAACACAGAGCTGCCGCAGCTGAACTCAGCATGCTGTATCAATCCAAAATGTCTGTACAATATCCCAGCATGAAACTTCCTTCACACGTGGAGCCGTTCAAATAGAGAATTAACAAATGCTTACTGAACCAGGGTTGTTGGATCATTTATTAAGTTATAGAAAATCTGTGAAATATCCATCGGTGACCCTGTAATATTCCCTCGGTAGTACTATTCTCCCAGCCACCATCAGGGTCAAACGTGTAAGACATCTGTTGTTATAAATGGTTCCAGCTGCATTGCTCTCTTTTGGCATCTAACATTAACCAAAAAAGAACAATCTCTGAACTCGCAGCCCCGGATCCCTCTACAGTCAGCACATGAGTATTTACTTCAAAATGCAGTGGAAGATGTAAAATTGCTGCATTCTTAGCACAGTCTCCATTCACTGCTGGAGGTTGGCCTTAGATCCAGATTGATTGTTGGGATGAAGAATATTTTTCTTCCATGTGTACATGAAGGGAAGTTGAAGCAATGTTAAGTTGCTTCCTGGTGAATCCGACTTCACATTGTGAAACTGTCCATAATTTGACACGACTTGGTTGTGGTATCGAGAAGGACCACAAGGATAGCTTGTGTGCAACTTTGCAGACTAAATTTAATGAACAAGTTCAAGTTGAGCAGCAAAGAACAACTTTGATCAAGCTTCTTCTTTGTAAGGCCAGGGAACACAGATCTGCTGGAGCAGGGGAACAGAGAAAGTTATACGATTGCTTGAGGCAAGATATTCTTAAATTGCAACACTGCGGCAGATTGTTCCCAAGGGATTGCAGTTTATGTTGTGTTGTACATAGGATCTGAACTGATAATGAAGAACGAAAAACAGTGAATGGTCTTCTGAGTTTGAGGTTAGGCCGCTTTATTGGGGCAGAGTGAAAAGCACATTGCTGTGACCTGAAATGGAGCTGCTAAGATATTGACGTAAAGCAAAAGGGAGAAATGCTCTAAACCTCAGAACGAGCATTTTCTATCCGAACCAAGTTCAAGAAAAAAAAATCTGAATTCAGTAAAGCGTAGCCTGAATAAATAATTAATACATGTCACATAATTAATATTCGATTGCAAAGCGAGGTTTGGCCTTATGTTCACAAATTTGCAGCTGAACTATAAACAGTTTAGAAAACCTCTCATGAATACATCTGGAGATCAGCAACGTTCTGTATACTGTGTTGACGTCTAAATTGCTGGGTTAAAGTGTGACTTACATTTTGATGATGTTTCTCTGCTTTTCGTCATTCCTAGCCATGCTCACTTCACGTTCAGCTTTGTGTTCAGCTTCCAAAATGCGCTGCTCATGGAATACCTCAAGATCCCTTGGAAATTCCTGATTCAGGCGAGCGAATGCTGCCTGCTCCAGCTCTACCTGCAGCATTTGGCGTCTGGTAAGCAAAGAAGGAGAAAAACAATTGATATTCAGAAACAAATACATGTGGTAGATGCAAGATCCCAAACTTCAAACTCTCATCCACGAGACCATTTTGTCTTCGCCCACAAAATACACAGTCAATTCACTGTACAGCATATTCTGTGAAGCTCTTTGAGGCGTCCCAATGACGTGATAAGTCTAAATCAAATAGAAGGATAATTATTATATTATTGTTTTTTAAAATCCTGCAGGGTAGTGAAAAATTCTCAAATTTAGTCTTAATCTGGTTTTCAGAAAATGTTTTAAGAAGCTAAGATAGGTGGAATTTCAGGTCTATCATCTGCCATAGGTAAATTAACATGTAAAATTCAGGCATGCCACAGCATATGGAAAATGCAGATCCACATGGGCCTACTATGCATACAGAAACACTGTCCATCTACTGAAAATATAGTTATAAAATTCTTTACCCTCTGCACCAACTAAGAAAAGCAAAACCTCACTATGAAATGAAGTACATTTGTACCTCAAATGTATCAGTCTATTCTCTGCAAGGACACTTTCTTGTGCTCAGCAAAGAGTTAACAAAGTACAATCTATTTCTGGGACATCAAAGGGGCTGGTCCAAGCACATATGTTTGAGCTTCAATTTAAAACTCACTCTTTCTCTACCAATGTCAAAGCAATTTCCGACTGAAGGTCTTCTTGCCCTCGAAGCTCCTCGCATATCCGTCTGTGCTTTGCCCGAAGGCGAAACAGAGCAGCACTGAAAAAACATTGGGGAAAAAAAACGGAAAATGATGAATATTAATACCAAGTGAAATGAGAGCCAAATCTGATCTCTAGAAGTTAAAAAAAAATTCCCTTTATCACATGTATTCTTCCCACCATATAGATGCCATCGGACAGTCATGTAACCTTGTCTGTAAGACGTTCAAACTTTGACAATTTTGAGTGACAATTTAAGAATACTGTTAGCCATTTAAAATCCCCAAATCTGGATGACAAAATATACCTGACACTAGACTGTATTAATTAACCATCAATAAACTAAAAATATTTGTGCATTGTTGGGGAAAATTTTCACTTGGTTCTTGATTTACTCTATTTTAGTGTCTAGGTTTTTGGCAAACTCCTAAATACAGAAATTCTTAATAGAGAAAAACAGCTTCCAAATTAAGAATGAATCCAATAATTTACCAAATTACCATAATTTGCTTAAAATGCTACATAAATTTCAGGTGGAATTCCTCTCAATGTTATTCCAGCAAAATAATAATAATCCTTAAAAGAAAATCCTTAAAAGGCCAATATTCCAAACCAATTAACTGAGCATTGTGTTCAATTAAGTATTTTTTAAAAAATATGCATAATTCTTTTGCAATTGAAAAGAGGAAAAAAAAGACGTGTTTTTCTGCCTATCTAATTAAAAAATATCACGATCATTTCCATTTGCAATCGAACCAAATAAAATCCCCTGTGAATCTCAGTTTTAATGATAATGGGCTTCTTTGAACTATTGTAATTCATTGAATAAGCTTTGGTATGGTTTGGCTTATCACCAATTGAAAAGTGTGGCCTCAATTTTTCATGGAATCTGCCACAAACGAGCCCCTCCGCCACAAACCTGTAACAATACAGTGTGCTCGGTTCCCGGGCCTCTAAGTGCCACAACACTGTTGACCAAAAGACTAAACTTTGGACTTCAAAAAACATTGAATATTACATTATTTTGTTTTAGAGAACAGTGTGGGTAGCAGTGGGTGGAATTTTTGCCCATATTATGCATGCAGCCAAGGTGATCTAATGTGAAGCTGAAACTTAAATTAGTAGCCAATTTGCAATTGAATTAAGCAAAAGAATTAGATGAATAGTTTTTTTTTGCTTGTGCAAAATTATTTTAGAGAGTTCAGGGAACGGATCGGTAATTTAAAAAAAAAAGCGCTTCAGCATTCACTGGATGCTGGCCGAAATGCATAATTACAAGCAGGTATGATGGAATAAAGCAGACACGCGCTGAATGTATGATCACACACTTGTTTTTCACTGCTTCCTGCTCCTGAATTTCTTCTTCCACATCATCTTTCTCGTTCTTCAGAGCTTCGATCCTCCTTCGGCATTCTCTCTCTTCTTCTCTGGAAATTCAGTAAAAGTGCTCATGAGTAATATGATAAGCACTCTACAAAGTTGAATGATAACTGCCGGATTTGACACCTGACCATCATTCTAAAATATTCTAATTAACCAGCTCGTCTCTGTGTTCCACAAACAGCAAGAAATTACCTTACAACAACGATGTTGAATTTGGATATGTGTGACTTACTCTATTAACGTAGCATTTCAGAATGTGTAGAATTTGACAAATTGTTAAATTAAATTTTTAACTTTGAAACAACTTTTCTATAGTTCTTAAAGAATATGGAGTCCTGTAGCTTAGTGTTTAGAGAACTTGCCTCGCAAGCGAGAGGACCTGGGTTCGATTCCTGGGCAGGGCGAAACATTGGGCAAGTTTCCTTACTCCATACGCCTCTGTTTACCCAACAGTAAATAGGAACCAGGTTGTTAGTCGATTGACAGATCGCTTTTCCAGGGATAATAATTATAATAATATAGTCACTCAATCCACAACTGTTTGTGGGACACTGCTGTGGGTAATTGGCTGTCGTATTTCGCCCATAAAGTATACAATATACACTTTACAGTATTATCCGTGAAGCGCTTTGAGACGTTTCGTAGACGTGATAAGGTGGTATATCAAATGAAAGAATTAATATTATAATGTACAAACGGCTTCAAAATTAAAGACTATTTCAAAATCTGACAAGTTCTGGACACTTTGAAGTATGTTGATGAGTAAATTTAATAGTCAGGTGCGATTTCTACACAGTGCTAATTTGGACTTCTGAGGTTACAGAACCTAACAAGTACCCATCTTCCCAACTATTGTACTGGCTGTTAGGTGCACTAATACTAAGGTGTGGAATTGACATGACACAGATCAAATTCGGAATCACCGTGTCACCCCCCGTCATTACACTGAGCTACTTTCTCTACCGGGGAACTTTTGTGGATTTCAATGGATTCAAAGAAGTCAAATTTGAAGATGTGGCTTTGAACTATAACTTTCATGGCACGTGTACACCTTAACACATATAAATTGAGTATGAAAAAATAAAAGCATTGTGCAAAAGTGAACTATAAATATCTGTAGGCCCACTGTTTTTGAACACCCACTGTTAAATTAACATGAACTTTCAAGCTGTCACTAATAATAATAATCCTTGCATTTGATCTAGCGCTTTTCACGTCTTCTAGATGTCTCAAAGCACTTCACAGAATATATTGTAAAGAGAATTGACTGTGTATTTTGTGGGCGAAATACGGCAGCCAGTTGCGCACAGCAGTGTCCCACAAACAATCGTGGCTTGAAGGGACCAATTTATTATTGTTTTTTCCCTTGAGGGATTATTATTGGGTGTGTGGAGTAAGGAAACTTCCCCAAGGTTTCGCCCTGCTGGGAATCGAACCCAGGTCTATCGCTTGCCAGGCGAATGCTCTAACCACTGAGCTACAGGACTCCTAAAAGTATTAATGACAATATATGTAATAAGCACAAGGCTAATGAAGTTCCCTCATTTATAGCTTAAATTTATAAAGCCATGCTTTCCCTACAAGCAAGAATAGGCCTGGAAGAACAGGGTTTATTTGCCCTCGCATTAACACGACAATATGATCTGAAATATAAATCTCAAAACAGACAATCAACTAAGCTACATACTGTAGGGTTTTACCATTAATTTCAAACTGAAATATACATTAGATCAACCCTACAGACATAATCAGCTTCGTAATTACCAAAATCTTTGAACTGTAATGGGAATTACCATCCCCTATTATGTAAACATATTAATATAGCCCAGAGCAGGTACTCCAGCTATGAAGTTTACAAATCTGCATTGATGCTGTCAAAATCGTTCTGCATCCAAATCTCTGGGCAATACGTTCGCCACTTATCAATCATTTCTTGTAAAATTAAATATTCCAACAGTTGGTACATGCATTTATTATAATAAAGTTACACCATGCAAACGCATAGAAAACTAAAAAAAACACACACGGTTGTCCATTTTCCATTTTTGGCTGTAAGGAATCCAAAGCCCGTGGATTGTGTTGACTGTGTTATAATAATAATCCTTGCATTTGATATAAGGCTTTTCACGTCTTCTAGGCATCTCAAAGTGCTTCGCAGAATAGAATATAAAGTTAATTGACTGTACATTTGTGGGCGAAATGCAGCAGCCAATTGCGCACAGCAGCGTCCCACAAACAGTCGTGGATTGAAATTACCAATTTATTATTGTTTTTTGCGGTATTATTATCAGGCGTGTAGAGTAAGGAAACTTACCCAAGGTTTCACTCTACCGGGAATCGAACCTAAGTCTCTCGCTTGCAAAGCGAGTGCTCTAACCATTGAGCTACAGGACTCCTCTAATTTGTTATAGTTGTGCATTAGTGTTGAGCCGAAAAATAATTTTATACATTATTTTCCAAGAAGTAGGACCCAAGTTAACTATGTTTGCTCTCCCAGATTTTGACATTGTCCAGTCTCTGAGACCAGAAATGTTTGTATGTGACCCATAGGTAAACCGGGGTAGAAATTCTGTAATATTTAGCAGCTGCGTCAATTAGGATGTGTGACATAATTTAGAGAATGAACTGGAATGGTGATTGCTAAAGTCCTGCCAACGTGATGTTCCGTGCTCTTCCTTCACATCATGCGCAAAAAAGGTTAGTTTTTTTAATGTATATAAAGAGGAGACAAGGAGGTTGAGCGAAGGAATTTTAAATGAGCACAGATCATACAAAAATCTTAATCTGCAGTCAGGTATGAATTGTAGGCCTACAGGTACTGTACTGCCAAGGTATTTTGTGCTTTGATCCACTCTTCATCACTCATTCACTTGCAGCTTCAAGGGACCCTTATGCACATCTGTAATTCATATAAATCTATCATTATTTGATGTTGTGGATATAATGTACTGTTACATGACTATCAATTGTCCAACGCATCACAATGAGTTGATTGTGTAAATCGAGGAAGCTAATGTAAAGTGGGTGTAATTATTCGTGCAACTGATGTTTTAAGTCAGAGACAATAGAACGCAAGAAACCATTTACATAATAATCCTTGCATTTGATATAAAGTTTGTCACATCTAGACATCTCAAAGCGCTTCACAGAATATACTGTAAAGTGAATTGACTGTTTATTTGTGGGCAAAACACAGCAGCCAATTGCACACAGCAGTGTCCCACAAACAGTTGTGGATTGAGTGACCAAATTATTATTATTTTATTTTGTTTTCTTGAGGGATTATTATCAGGCATATGGAGCAAGGAAGCTTGCCCAAGGTTTCGTCCTGCCGGGAATCAAACCCAGGACGCTCGCTTGCGAGGTGAGTGCTCTAACCACTGAACTACTGGACAATATATCAATAGCTCCACAATACATAGCTTAACATCAGAACCCACAGTCTATGGAAATATAATTGCCAGAACAAAACCGGAGAATTAAGCACTTTGGACACATTGTTAAAGCATAAACTTGAACCCATTCAGCAAAAGACTACCCCAAATGAAAAAAAAACTTGCCATTTGATCTGATACAGAAATACAATTAATAAATAACTGAAAAATACATTTTCACATATATTTGGATCTAGTTTATGTATCAAGACATAAAGGTCTTATGCTCTTTAATGTATTTAGAAATGAGGACATCAGTATTAGCTTGAGATCTACCCATAGCTAGAAAACTCCTTAGTTTAATGTGAACAGCTGAACAGTCAATGAGGCAGTAAAGTGTCAGAATTCCTCAGTGATATGTTCTAATCATTGACATAGATCATTCCTAGCCTCACAACATGTCATGTGCAAATTAGGTGCCTTGCTGCAAGACATTGCGTATAATGCAAAGGATTTCATTTTGAAGCCGATAAGATTCTGCTACGACCACTTCTGTTTGAATCAGCCACTTCCATTTGTTTCTAAAGCATTATGGTATTAGTGCAGAAAATGACCATGTTCAGACCCAAAATGCAGGCCATCTACAATACGAGGTGGCTCATCAAATCATTTGTAATGACAGCTTATTTTTACCCAATAAAAACACTGGTGATGATACTATGGGCCATGGCTCTCTCACTTTGCTCCATCTGCACATCAATGACCTTCTCCACTCCTAGGCTCAAGATTCCAATCTACTTTGATCAATTTCATTCAGGAGAAATGTTGACAGTGAACAAAACCTTAACTTCTCTCAGTGGGACAGCTGAATCATTAAACTTCAAGCTGTTGCACTCCCTTCCCTTCAATAGGGTAATGATAAACGTGGTTACGGTTGCAAGAGACAATGAGAAACAGCTGCAACCTCTTACTTTCAATCGCTCCGCTCTTATCTCCTGAGCTTTTATGCCTCGGTATCTCATACGAGAAGTTCGGAAGAACAAGGTCCTTTGACCCATTTGATCCCATCATTCCAAAACGCATGTACCCTCAGAGCTTTCTTCATTTCCGTGCTTTAATCCCCAAATTAGAAAAAAAATAAACCAATGTAATATTTAGATCATTTTCTTATATCTACATCAAGGTGGTCCAATTGGTGGGTTGTGATTGCTTTCCAAGAACCCACTTGGTGACAATGAAAATAGTTTGATACCTTGCTTTTTGAACATTCAGTTCTTTCTCTTGAAAGAGTAAATTCATCTGATTCAAAACTCTCTGCTGCGTTCGTACATGTGCTTTTTCAACATAGTTCATTTTCTTTTGGTCTTGCAAATGAGTAGACTTTTCATTTTCCAACCTTTAAAACAAATTAAAATATTAAAACAGATTCCCGCTTTTAATTATCCTTCATATAAAGAAATACTTCCTGGTGCCCATCTTAAAATTTGTTCAGTCGTTAAAGAAAGAAGGTAAGAACATTTAAATGCCACTTAATAAACACTGATATTTAAAATACATGTATTTGGTTTTACATTCTTTTGAAAGTTGATTGAAACTTCAATTTATGTATTTTTGAAAAAGGATAAAATGAATCTTCTTATCTGCCTCGATTGTTAAAGTAGTGTTATTTCGTCTCACTAAAGTAGCATGCCCCATTTCTTATTTTAGAAGCTTGGAATGTAGCTTTGGTGAATCACAAGTGGGCAACAGAAATAAACATTCCCGTATCCCTCTACTATCTCTCAATCTCACTCAGAGTAGTTATAATAAGGAACATCATTGTTTGTGATCACATGCTGGTTAAACAACTGTATTTTTATTGGGGAACAGAATTATTTCACATTTTAGTCTGTTTATATGTAAGTAGAAACACTGATATAGTGGCTACTTGCATTCTTAATAAAGGAACAACGTGTGATTATGTTGCAATTTGTCCCTTATCAAGATACCACCGTTCACTGTTTACACCTGCATATCCTGCCACTGATAAAATTAACATCCTCCTGGTCACACTTTCATCCTATCTCAAGGTCACAAGAGGGGTGTGGATGAAGAAGGCTCTTTGGCTCTCATCCTTCACAATATTAGTCATTATCTTCAATGTCAAAAGCAGATGTTTGGTAAACACATCCCAAGTCCTGGCTCCACCAACCCTCCCCGATAACCCATTCCAACGACTGATTTACTATCTGTGTAAAGAAATGCTTCCTGGCTGCTCTAAAATTGCGCGTGGAATCTCGCTCAACGTTTACCTTTCTTTTCCANTTTTTTTGCTCATGCCATTCGTACAGGGAAACCCCATTATAATACAATGTTTCAGATGCACACTTCAAAATCATGAGCTCACAGGAGAGCCTGATTATAAAAGCAAGCTCACAATCGTGTAGTAAGAAATAGTAATGGTAAGAATAGGTCAATAACTTACTGCTCAATGTCAGAGTCCTCATCATCCAAAATACCATCACCACCTTCTGCCCCGAACTGATGAGACTGACATAGCATTTCCTCCATTCCTTCAAATAGTAAACACAGATGACTGAATGAAAGGCATTAAGTGGCTGCAATATCTTTTAACTTTCATAACACTTCATGAGACCTTCAGAATTACTAGGACCCATGGAACAAGTCATTCACATTTATGTTTTGGTATACGAGTGCCTGTCGACAGTCAATATTTGCACAATAATGACAGTCAGCAAGAAAGGATGCATCTTTATAGTGCCTTATTACATCCAACAGTCCAAACGCTCTTTACAGTAATTACTATCACAAGTATAGTGACTGTTTTTAAAAGCAGTTAGATTTCCAAATAAAGCATAGTAGTCAGATTATTGGAAAAAAAGTTAGTTATAGTTAAACTCAGGAATGAGTGCAAGAGGCAGTTTTATATTTTTGATTATTGGGCTTATGATACAAATGGAGGTTTAAGCCATCTTATAGTGAAGCTTCATTGCTTTTCGGAACAAGGATACGACTGCTATTTGATGATATCACACCCAGCAGATTTATATAACGTTGCTATGCTTCAAAGCAAATTACCATGTAGCAAAACAACTCTCTCAAATTGTATTTGTGGACTGTTCACAATCCAACAGGCTGTGTTCCATTCTCATAGCAACCCTTCTTTGTTTAAAAAAAACTGGAGAAGGATCCACTACCATCCCCTAAGCTCTTGTGGAATAATACATTTACATACCTAATTTAGTTTGTGCAGTAAATTGTTCTTAAAAGCCTATTTAGTGAATAGTTTGTTGAATAATCTCAATTAAATGCTGCAATTAAATGATTTATAAAATGCTACAAAGCTTTATGTGGCATTTACCTCTGTGACTTCGCAAAGCTTCTTCCTACAGGCTAGCAGTGTGAGGTATCAGATCCCCCACACGGGAGATAATCAAGCAGGGGCAATCTGTACCTGTAGTCAGATCTCGGAGTATCAGTGCAACATTAAACTGTGTTGCTAAGCATACGAAGGAATGAGTGCATTGATGCATCAATGATACCAAAAAGAACATAAAATAATATGTATGATAACACAGAGAATTGTTGTCAAGTGTGTGGTTGTGTAATTATAGGCATATAATAACAGTATATGCAGGTGTAGTAATTTCCCTGTAACAGCCAGCAAAATAATACCCAAAATTTTTTCAGCGGTTCTGAGAACAAATGCTTTTTGACATCTATTATGACGCCTAATAGTAATAATCCTTGCATTTGATGTAGCGTTTTTCACATCTTCTAGACGTCTTAAAGCGCTTCACAGAATATACTGTAAAGTGAATTGACTGTATATTTGTGGGCGAACGCGGCAGCCAATTGCGCACAGCAGCGTCCCACCAACAGTCGTGGATTGAAAATGACCAATTTATTATTGTTTTTTGAAGGGATTATTATTAGGCTCTGTGTGGAGTAAGGAAACTTGCCCAAGGTTTCGTCCTGCCTGGAATTGAACCCAGGTATCTCGCTTGCAAGGCGAGTGCTCTAACCACTGAGCTATAGGACTCCAATGCAAGCAAGCCCAAAACAGAATATCGCCTAGAATATTCTGAATATGATATGTTTGAATAATACTTGCATTTGATATAGCACCTTATCACGTCTTCAAGACGTTCTCTTTGACCGAGCCTTCAGCTCCCCTCTCGACTCTCTTCCTCCTCCTCGCTCCCTCCCTTCCCTCCCCTCACCCTGACCATTTCCCCCCTCCTCTCTCCCTCCCTTCCCTCCCCTCACCCTGACCATTTCCCCCCTGCTCGGGTCATGACCCAACTGTGCAGCGCCTTGGGACGTCCTCCTGACGTGAAAGGCGCTCTATAAATGGAATCTTGTTGTTGTTGTTGTTGTTGTTGTCTCAAAGCGCCTCACAGAATATACTGTAGAGTGAATTGACTGTATATATTTTGTGGGCGAAATGCAGCAGCCAATTGTGCACACCTGAACAAAACCAGTTACTTATCAAGCTTTGCTCTTGTTGTTTGTGGTACCGCCTGGACCGAAGATAACATGGAACACGCTGTGTATAACAAGAGGTATTGAATTCATGGGGCTTCAGCAAATAGATAAAAACTCTTTTCAAACCTTCAGGCTCTTCTGCGTTCAGATCTACGAAATCCGGCAAATCCTCTTCCAAGCCTTTGTTCTCTTCTTCTCCCTCCTTCTCTTGGATGACTTGATGAGCACTGGCCTCTTCCTCCACAGTGCCTTCCTCCACAGTGCCTTCCTCCACATTGCCTTCCTCCACATTGCCTTCCTCCACATTGCCTTCCTCGTTAGAGCCTTTCTCCATAGTGGCCGAAATCTTCCTGATACCTGGTAGAAAATCAAGTTTTATGCCACACCTGTCATTTCTACCAAGAAAGATTTTTTTGGAAAAAAAACCCAAGCCTCTGTGTTCAAAACGGCAACCCGTAAACTGCCGATAGCGATAAAACTACTTGGTTCTGTATTTTTGACTTACATTTTTATCAAATATGTATCCAACATTACGCCTGTAACACCGGTATATTTCAAGGCACTTTACAGGGAATTCCACCGCCCAAAACTTCTCCCGTTTCCTCTCCCATAGGCAACGATTGATGCTAATCCTAACCCCCTCCTCTTCACTGAAGTACACCACCTCAATTCCTTGAGGAAGCCCCCTCACCTCAACCCCCCCATCCCCAAACCCCCTCATCCCCAAAACCCTCTCCAACACCCCTCCTTGGCCCAACCCCTCCACAACACCCCCCTTCCCCTCAGCCCCAACACCCCACTCTTCCTCATCCCCAACACCCCCTCCAACACCCTTCACCCCCAACTCCCTTCTCCTCTCATTCCAACCCCCTTCTCCCCTCATTCCTACCCCCTCCTCCCCTCATTCCTACCCCCTCCTCCCCTCATTCCTACCCCCTCCTCCCCTCATTCCTAACTCCATCCCCCAAGCCTCCCGCCCCTCATCCCCAACACCCGCTCCCCCCAACCCCCTTCCAAACTCCCTCCCCTTTCACCCAAACCCCCTTCAGCCCCCCCAACCCCCCCTCCAAACTCCCTCCCCTTCCACCCAACCGCCCCTTCAGCCCCCCTCATCCCCAACACCCCCTCATCCCCAACACCCCCTCATCCCCAACACCCCCTCATCCCCAACACCCCTCATCCCCAACACCCCCTCATCCCCAACACCCCCTCATCCCCAACACCCCCTCATCCCCAACACCCCCTCATCCCCAACACCCACCACACCCCTCATCCCCAACACCCCCTCATCCCCAACACCCCCTCATCCCCAACAGCCCCCCCCCACCATTCTCTTGACACAGAACCCCATCCTCTCAACTCAAACCCCCAATTCTCCATCCCAACCCCATGTTGTACTGTACTATAATGTATTCCCTCACCCGCCCCCCACCCCCCCGTCCACCCTGTGCTCAAAGGCGCCTCCTCGGGCGGCCTCTCTGCCGTGGCCTCACCTGAGCTGGGGGGTGGGGAGGGGGAGGGGAGCGGGGGTGTTGACGCCTGAGGCGGGGGCACCAGTGGGTGGGGTGGGGGGGGGGGGCAGCGAGCGAGGCCGCGGGTTCGGCGGACGGACAACAACCGCCCCTCAGGCCGAGGCTCGAGCCGCCAACGGACGCCTCACTCCCGGTCGCCATGGCAACGGGGACTGGACCATTGCCCACTCTCATCACAGAGAAGGAAAGGTTGGGGGGGGGGTTGCGGGGTGGAAGCAACTCTCCAAGTATTTCTTTCTCCCCCAAACCTCTAAATAACGGAATCGGCTCTGCGTACTGATTCTATGCGTTGCTTTGCAGTCGCGTCCAGAGTTCGAGCGCCGTACTCGTACGAGAAAAGGGCAATTTGCACCTTCTCTCCCCCCCCCTCCAGCCACTACCGCAAGGAAGTAATGGACGAGCCCAACGCCAGGTGGGCACGTGACCCGACCCTACATAAGCGCCGTCCACACTGCGGCTGAAGCGCATTGAGTGGCCACAGGTGGAGGTGTATGTAATGGAGGTGTATGTGATGTGATGGAGGAGTATGTGATGGAGGTGTATGTGATGTGATGGGGGTGTATGTGATGGGATGGAGGTGTATGTGATGGAGGTGTATGTGATGGGATGGAGGAGTATGTGATGGAGGTGTATGTGATGTGATGGGGGGGTATGTGATGGGATGGAGGTGTATGTGATGGAGGTGTATGTGATGGGATGGAGGGGTATGTGATGGGATGGAGGGGTATGTGATGGGATGGAGGGGTATGTGATGGGATGGAGGGGTATGTGATGGGATGGAGGGGTATGTGATGGGATGGGGGTATGTGATGGAGGTGTATGTGATGTGATGGAGGTGTATGTGATGGGATGGAGGGGTATGTGATGGGATGGAGGTGTATGTGATGGGATGGAGGGGTATGTGATGGGATGGAGGGGTATGTGATGGGATGTGATGGCCAAGTGCTGTTCACCTGTTCAGTGGCTTCGCCCACAAAACTACACAGTCCTTCCACTCTGCAGCGTATTCTGCGCAGCGCTTTGAGACGCTGCGAAGACGCGATGAGGCGCTGTGTCAAAATGCAAGGATTTTATTATAACACCCACCCCCGCCCCCCGAAGAAGTTGGGGTGGGGGGGAGTTGACAAGACCCCACTTGTAACTGCGCCCTGCAAAGGGTGGCTGAACCCCCCCCCCCCTCCAGTCGGGGAAGTCTGTCTCCCTCCACCAAAGTGGAGTGCCCAGAGGCATCCATTCCCCTACCCCCTACCCCCGCTCCCCCAAGCCACAAAGGTCTGTTGCATCTTGTAATGAGAAAAGAGACGTCTAGAAGACATGAAAAGCGCTATATCAAATGCAAGCATTATTATTATTATTATTAACGTGTTGCGTATCTTTTTCTCCCCCTGTGATGGGTTTTGGTTCTTTCCGAGATGAGTGTAAATGTATATATATATATCTACCAATAAACATATACTTTGCAAATAAAACAAAAGAACACAAATTCTTAACAACAACAACTTGCATTTATATAGCGCCGTTCACGCAGGCGAGCGGCTTAACAGTGGAGGGACCTGATGCCGATCCAGGGGTAGGGGGGAGGTGACTAAGCACGGTTGAATAGGAAGGTCTGTTAGTGAAGATCAGAACCATTGCCCCCCACCCCGCACTTTAAGATACTCTTCCTGCAATAATAGGATGGCTGCGAGAAGGAGGGTGGGATTACGAGGCGGCTTGCTCAAAATATGTGGGATTTGCCTTTAGAAACATTGAATCACTCACTCATTCAATTAAGATTGTGGAGGTTCTAGCTCGCGGCTTGCTGAGAGAGACAGTCTGGGCAAAAGGAACTTGTTGCTTAATTATAAACTGGAAGGAGTCATTAGCCACAGCATACGATAAGGCAAAATTATTTCCCAGTGGTGCCAGCACACCTTGTACAAACTTGAGCATTTTGTCTTCCATTTGCACCGCACCATTAGCTAGCTCTACCAAGCACTGAATGTAAATCATTTCAGAGACTTGGGAGTCTTTCTTTTTTCCCCCAGTGGAGATTTTTTATTTTGTGAGAGGCAACAATTTGAGTCATAGACCAAATTACAATATGTCACACATCATAAGAACAGGAGAAGATAAGAATTGCTAGACGAAAGAGACCAAGATCCATCCATTGCGCCTTCCACCATCCTGGCAGTCACATGCACATGTCATACCCCAAACTATAATGATATTATTTCCCAATGGAAATCTATCTAATTTGCTTTTGAAAGAAACAACACTTTCTGCTTCCACCATCTCCTTCAATCAAATTGCGAACAGATTAGCTTTTTCCCTCCCACCCCTCACATCAGCCTGACAGTGCCAGGGATTCTTGCAGTTTGCATTTATATTGCTTTCAGACCGGATTCCCTTGGAAATCAAGAATTTCCTTAAAATGGAATAGTTGCGCAGTTGTACGGATTTGAAGACAAGGAAATGATGCACAGAATATGTGATCCATAATAATCCTTGCATTTTGATACACCGCCTTCTTTACCTCTAGAAGACTTGAAAAGCGCCATATCAAATGCAAGGATTATTATTATCTTTGAGATGTCTCAAAGTATTTCACAGAATATACTGTAAAGTGAATTGACTGTTTATTTTGTGGTTGAAATGCTTTGTGATGCATCGTATTTGCAAAGATAAATCACTGAAAGCTTTACCGAGGTTTATTTCTTACTAAAACATTTCTGCATCGGGAACTGTTACTCACAATTATACATTCACATCAAATAAACGATTGCGCTGAAGATTAATTGCTGCCTCTTCAGTTCGCACAAGCAAGATGACAAGAGGATATTAGATACAACAGGCTTTGAGATGCTCATATTAAGTCTGACTGCAAATTCATTTGCTGTAGCCTACTCCGTGGTGACTTTGCAGGACCTGCTAAAAAGCTTTTTCATTAAACTTTCTGGAAATATCACCATGTACTACCATTTCTCATTAAGTTACCGGCAAAGCTCCTAATAAACAGCCCATTGAATTGCTATCTGCTTTGTTAATTCGAATCCTCAAAAATCTTGCGTAATTGGTAGCATTAAAAATAAAACCCTCTCGCTAGGTGCTTCCCTCGGAATGGAATTTGATTTGCAAAGATAATTGTTTTTCGTGCCGTTATTGAGCATTGATAGAGATCAATGCACCCTCCTCCCCCACCTGTTCCTTTTTACTAGAGAACATAGACAACAGCAACAGCTTCCATTTACATAGTGCTCTTCAAAATAATAAACATAATAATCCTTGCATTTGGTACAGCACCTTGCCATGTCATTGAGACATCTCAAAGCATTTCACAGAATATTGTAAAGTCGATTTGACTGTAGTTTTGTGAGCGAAATGTGGCAGTCAATGGCACACAGCAATGTCCCATAAAGGGTCTATATAAGCAAACTATCTATCCAGGATAGGATATATAAATGCTGCTCTAACGCGACTGGTTTTATCTTCTGAGATAGTTAGAAATTCAGCTCATGCCTGGAGATGTAGAGATGTAAAGAAAGTGTTGAGGAGTCTTAAACAGAAGTAGAGAAGAAAATATTGAAACCTGGAGGCCAGTGGAAGGAAAAAGTTCAACCATTTAATGAGCTCCTCAAATGATCTGAATGAATGACCACCATCTAATTGAATAACACAGAGGCCATTAGTTTTAGTGGGTGCTTAAAATAATCAAGCTCAATTATCTGTTAACTTGGGAACCCGTGATGCATTTCGCTTTGAGGTAGGAAAGTGATTAGTGGGTTTCGTTTTCGAAAATAAAATGCCAAGCTGATCAGCAAAAAAGTGGAAAGGATGAAATCAAACCCAACCACAGCACATCCTGGAGTCCTGCAGTGTGGTGGTTAGAGCGCTCGCCTCACAAGCGAAAGGACCCATGTTTTTTTCTCCTGATTGGGACGAAATCTTAGGCAAGTTTCCTCACTCCACACACCTCTGTTTATCTAGCAGTAAGTAGGAACCCGGTTGTCGGTCGATTGGTGGATTGCTTTCCGGGGGCAATGATCCCTCCAAAAATAAATAGTAGTAATAATTTGGTCACTCAATTCATGATTATTTGCGGGACATTGCTCTGCACAATTGACTGCCGAATTTCACCCACAAATTATAAAATCACTACTCTGTACAATATTTTTGAAGGGCTTTGAAACGTCCCAACAACGTGATAAGGCGCTATATCAAATGCAAGGATTATTATTATTGTCCAAAAAGTGAAAAACGTGGACTTATTTCGCTGTGAGCAACTTCTGTTCCATTCGTTCGACTCCAATAAATGAAGAACAGCTGACCAACAACTTACATTTATACAGCATCCTTCACACAGGGTAGTGTCTCAGAGTGTAATTATTTGATTAGTCGCTGTTTTCTCAACTGAACAGATGCTATTGTTGAGCTCATTAAACTAACGCGATACAAAAAAATCCTGCCTTCCATGGAGAGGAGGGAAGCGAAGGAAGCTCTCAATGTCTTGGTTCTTGCGATGCTTTGCTTAATATTATTATTAATTTATTATCTTATCACGTCTTCGAGACGTCTGAAACGCTTCACCGAATGTAATGTAAAGTATATTCTGTGAATATAAAGATATATATAAATATATAATATATATATTATATGAATAGAAATGTGTTTATATATAAAGCTTCCACTCGGATTAGATCACCCCGGCCATTTGTCACTCACCAAGGCAGTGGGGTCAATCTCAGCTAACACGTCCATTCCAACTGCCTAAGAAATCTCATTAACACACTCAAACGTCTCTGAATGTGATGCATCTTATCTACGCAGACACCTGTCAAAGTTTATTGATTTTCCGCTCCGTACTCAGTGGAAATATTAACAAGTCTGTTAGTAACACAGCATGCCAGGCAGAATGGTCTATTATATTGCAGTGGGGTGAGTAAGGGAATGAGGGATTTATTCATAAACAAGAGACGTCTGGGTAAAAAAGGCATTTGAGCCCTTTTGATCTAATTCTTCCAAGGCTCCTTCCTTAAAGGCCCAACTCAAGACTCTCCTCTTCGACCGTGGCTTCGGTCACCCTCCTACCCCTATCCTCCCTGCCCTCCACCCTTCCTGATCCCAACCCTCATCTCGGGTCCAATTCCCTGACAGTCCAGGGAGGCCTTGGGACCTCCTCCAGATGTGAAAGGCGCTGTGTAAATGTAATTTGTTGTTGTTGATTACCCACCCTATTGTGTCCAAATTACAGAACTAAGCTATATCTTAAATGCATCCATTCTGTCTCAGTTGCCTCTTTACATCCCCCCTCAGATTCCTACCCCTTCGAATGCACCTATGGCCACCTCCCGCGCTCTCCCTCCCTCTATTTTATTCAACATCTAACCCCCATTCCTGTAAAACACTCCAAGGTATTACCCTCAGCGAAGGAAGCTGTACAACTCAAGTCATTGTTGTTTTACCGCCCAAGACTAGGTTAAACGTCAGGCCTTAGATGGTTCCACAGGCCTCTTACCTCAGGCTCTCTTCAATCCCTTCATCTCTTGTGGGCTCAATCTCTCATAACTAAGACTGTGACCAGAGCACACCTGAGCGCACCTTCAGTATTTAGCTGCCACTGATAATTGGTACCTTTTAGTTTAGTTTTTTTTTCAACTCTGAATTTAATTGATTCTGGAATTAAGACGTTCAAGCTTCGCAATTCCAATTACCTTCAAAGCACAAATAATCTCTGCTAATCTCCTGTTTCTTTAGAGCCTGAGAAACCCGCAGCTCTGGATTTGTCACAGAGTCACCGTCCTCATCACCCTGAATATAGGCAGAAGATTAAGAAGGTTCGCTGGTTCAATATCAATGTTGTGTATAACAGGATCACTAACTCACATCACTAACACTCAATCTATTGAGTTCTCAATCTCAGCCGCGTTGTGAAAGGGAAGCACAATCATGATAATAACAGACCTTGCATTGATATAAGCTGAAGAGACCTACTACAACAACAACAATTTGCATTTATATAGTGCCTCTCACGTGCGTCATGGATCGTTTATCAGTGAGGACGAGCCGGGGGGAAGGAGGAGGTGACCATAGGCATGGTCGAAGAGGAAGCTCTTCAGTCGTGAACTAAAAGAGGGGAAGCAAGGGGCAAGGTGGCGGCGGGATTGAGGGAGTTCCAAAGACTGGGGGGAAATCGGCTTTGCTGTTCTTTTTTGAGGTGCGTGTGATTGCACAAGACAAGGGAATAATAGCAGGAGCGGACAGAAATCTTAAGGTCAAGAGGAAAGCAGCTTGCAGCCCAACCAAGTCAAGGCTGAAGTCCAAGGAACCCAACAGAAACAGGTGGAGAAAGAGCAGGCAAGGGCAGGATGCCAGCACCCACATGGCAAGTAACTTGGCATTGGTACATTTAGAAATGTCAACAGTGTAAAGTCTAACTCTGCCCACCATGCAATCCCAGAATTTACTGCATTAAATCCCGTACAAATTCAATCGCACACACTGAGCATTCACAGGTTCTGGAGCCCCGAAATTCCACTCAGTATTTGCCTGTGACACTGTTTCAACTAAATAATTTCGGGTTGTACAGAATTGTGCAAAATTCTGAAATCCAGTCTGAATTATGAAGCTCTAACCATCATCCCTTCCACCCCCCACCCCCTCCCCACCACCCCATTGCTAAGGAAGCATTCAGTCACTTGCTCCCACTCCCTGTAACTCTTTCTCTAAAGCCTTCCTCTCTCCCTCCCTCCTTCCCTCCCTCTCTGCTTCCAAATGCTAAAACATTATCTGATTGACTACACCTTTGGCTGCTTCCCCTTCCCATCTCCCACTCCATCTCTGTGAAGTGCTTTGGGATGTTCTCCTAAAGCACATGCCTCTGGGTCACAAGTCTGCAGCAGACAGTTGGAGCTCTTAGATTAGGTTAACATTCAGTGCAATATTGGGCATTATTGGTGAAGCTGTCCTTCGGAAAGAGACTGAGATCTTGTGTGCACAGGCAGTTTAAATAACCCATGGCATTATTTGAAAAAAGGGATTTTCTGTCTCCCGGTGTCCTGACCAACATTCTCCCAAATAAAATTCATCACCTCATTTCACGGTTGTTTGTGTCAATTCGCTTGACAGTATATTCTGTGAAGCGCTTTGAGACGTCTCGGAGATGTGATAAGGTGCTATATCAAATGCAAAGATTATCATTATTAAAAATCTCTGTGAAGCGCTTTGCGACGTTTCAAAGTGATAAGGCGCTACATTAAATGCAAGGGTTATTTATGACATAAGGGCACGTTTTTGTTGCTGTCAGTTGGTGTTGTGGTTGATTATTCGCCAAACGCTTTGCAGGTACGTTCAACCCTGCATTAAACGCAAGGTATACTGCTAAGCGCGACGATGCACGAAACGTGGAGCTCAGAAATACATCCCAATAAGAAAAACGAAACAAGAATGGAGAAGGATTTCATTAGCACATCCATTTTAGGCAAGAGTAAAATTATTTTTGATGGGGGCGGGGGAAAAAAAAACACATGCAGGGGGGAAATGGAGCTTTAAATCCTGCTGGTGAATTCCAGGAGGTCTCACTGTCTCTTTAAATAGATTTAGTTTAATGCTAGGACATGATGAAGTAAGGAGAGTGGGTTGTACTAAACTGTACCTGTACTGTACTGATGCTCAGCTACTGGAGCAGCACAGAACAGGGAGGGCAAGGAGAGGAAAAGGCTGCACAATGGGGAACATGCAACCCTACCCAGGTCTTCAATGTGGACAGCTCCTCCTGTGAAGAAACAGGGGAGGAATCAGGGGAATCAGTGCCTGCAAGAAACAACCTGCATTGGTGGTTTGGGGGAATAGTGCAAGAGAGACAAAGAGAGAGAGAGAGAGAGGAAAGAGAAGAGGAGAGGAATATACAATGGAATTGAGGACTCTCCTATTCACATCCCAGATCTTTCTCTGCACTCACCATTACCAGCTCATCAGGTAAGGAAGTCACCACCAGATTTGACCAAGTTAGATCTTGTTAGGGTTAAAATGCACTTGTAACTTTCCCCCTGTCTGTCTGTCTGTCTGTCTGTGTATTTATTGTGTGTGTTTATTGTGGGTCACTGTTTTGTGGAGAGACTAAAATCTGTCCATTGCCATAAGGTCACTTGGCTCAGTCAGCATTTCACACCGTTTGGTAACCAGGTGAAATAAATAATAATAATAATAATAACAATAAAAATAATAAATAAACACACGTTAGTTAGTGACTTGGTTTGTTTACCCCTGAAACTGGACAGATATTGGACTGTCAGTCAGTGTTACAATGAAAATAATGCACATTTTGCAAAAAAAAATAACAAATGACTTCAGTTTAACTTCTTGCAGCCCTATGCTTGTCTCAAACGCTTTAACATTGTGTTAAACTAATCAATTAAATAGACCACAAGAAATTGAGTTACTCAGATCGACTTAAACACCCAGTAAGGTTTTAGGAATAATTTTGGTGCACTGTATTTGTTGGACATCATCCATGTGTTTTTCTGTGGGGCACGATTAAAATGCCAATTAATTTAAACTAAAGTCCCATTGGTAATTCGCCAAGAGATTTTAAACCTTTATCTCTTCTTTTTTTAATTGAACTTTTCTTTTTTTAAAAAAGTGTAAAAAATCATTGAAAGGACTTTTACTCACTTAAATGAGTAAAGGGAGAAATAAACGTCTGCCTGGATAGTTTCTCACAAAAACACACACATACCCAGACTATTATCTGGCAGAATTCAGAATAACCTAAATAAAATATGAATCTACTCAGAGGTGTAATATCTGACAAACCTGGGCTGGTGCAACTTGCCAGCTATCAAATATTTCTTTCAGTGTTGCTTGTTTGTGTTTCCTTTTAATAAATCGTGATTTAAAAATATACATATTTGTTTCAAATGCTTTAATATTTAGCGGATGTCTAACCAATTAAAAAGACCACAAGATAAGGAGTTTCTCAGATCGACTTAAATATGCAGTAAGATTTTAGATATGTATTATAATAATAATAATAGTTGCCTTTCATACAGCACCTCTTACGTTGAAACGTCTCAAAGCACTTCACAGGGAATTGCTGTCAAGTGTAGTGACTGTGTACTGTGCATTCAGCCGATTCCCAATTAATCTGGAGGATTGTTGGCCAGGGCATTGGCAGAGAGAAACTCCCTTCTCTTTTTCAAATAATGCAATGGGATCTTTAACGTCCGCCTAAAGTGGCAGAAAGGACCTTGGTTTAAGGTCTCCTCTGGATGGCATCACTGACAAAACAACCCTCCTCAAGGACTGTGCTGGAGAGTTAGCCTGGACTGTGAGCTCAAACCTGGCTCGAATACACAATCTTCTAACCCAGAGGTCCTTGACATGTGAACCAAGTCCTGATAACAGAATAATCACTGTGTAGTTTGGTGTTTGACAAAGGTCGCAATGATATGAGCAGAAGCATGAATCACAGAATCTCACAGCACAGAAGGAGGCCATTCGGCCCATCGTGCCTGTGCCTGCTCTTTCAAAAAGCTACCAACTAGTCCCACTCCCCGGCTCTTACCCCTGCAATTTTTTTCCATTTCAAACACCTATCCAATTCCCTTTTGAAAGCTACTCTCCAAGTTGAAGTTTGACCTTAAATGAATATAAAGTGGAATTACAATTGGAAATTTCCTCTCCTCCCGTCTCCGTCTCCCCCCCCCCCCCCCCACCACCAATCAGGAATGAATCCTGAAAAGCTTTGCCATAACCGCGTGACTCGATCCGCTGGCAAACAGCAAACTGCCTTGGCGTCCGGGAGAGACTTATGATCTTAAGTGAAACAGACGGGATTGTTTGATGCTGTTCTGGAGTAAACAAATGCTGATTGACGTGCCTGACTCACTCACATCATCACGGGCAGAGCTACGCGAGCCGAGCTCAACAGAAACTGGCGTGTGGGAGGTAAAAATCCTAATCCCCGCTGGCACAATATTGAAACTCAAGACAGCTTTTTATAAGAACATAAGAATTGCTAGACGAAAGAAGACCAAGGTCCATCTAGTTCGCCTTCCACCATCCTGGCAGTCACTTGACACGTCATGTCATGTCTCAAACTCTATCCCTGAGATACTGTTTCCCTAACAGAAATCTATCTCGTTTGTTCTTGAAATTGTTAATTTGTTTTCCCTCCCTCTTTCCCCTGTGTTCCTCCAACACCAGGAAATATCATTAAAGCCTCCACTCTCTCCCTTCCCCATTGTCAAGTTATTTGTTATTCAGTCAAAAGTTGTTGTGCAGCCGGATATCTGGGGCTGCTGCATTCGTGTAGTTCTGGGTGGGGTGGGGGTGGGGGCTGGGGTCGGCTGCATTGTCGGAGGTCTCGTCCTTCAGGTGAGATGGGTGATAAATATCCTGTGACGTTATTCAAAAAGTGAAGGGAGTTTCCCTGGCCACCTAATCACCCCAAACATAACTTGCTCATTCACATCATGGCTGTGTGCAAGGTTTTGCTGTGTACTATTTCACTGCAACGATTGACTACAAATTCACAGTCCTCGCTCTTGCCAGCAGTTCCGCTTTGAGACATTGATGTCAAAGGTGAAATACTGAATGCCAGAATTATTATTATTAGTATTGAAATCTATATAAAAAAAACAGGCAATGAAATATCTACTCATGTGTTCGGATGCTATTTCCTCAAAGGAAAAAAGGATCGAAATGGAAAAATAAACGGAATTAATGGGTTCTATGGGTATTTTTGACTTTTAATTATAGCGTTCGAGATAGGATTGCAAAAATAGGCTGGAAGCACAAAGGTATGACTTGCAATCAACTGTAATGTGGTACAAATAGACAATAATAGGCGTTTGATGCTAAGAGTGGAAGTTAGTTTCCAATCAGTTCTGCTTAACACAATGCACATAGTGTGTACTTAGCTGTAGGAAATTTAAAGTAGCTTATAATTCCCTACAGCGGAGAGGAGTTAGGGGTTTGTGGGGAGGGGAGGGGTGGGGGGAGCTGTAATCATTATGACATTTGACGGCTGTGAAAGCTACAGTATACAATGAGCTATACTATCCCAAAGCCCACCTTCAAGTAAAACTGTTTCTTTCGCCCTTTAGCACATGCCAACAGCAGCCGGACATCACTTTACAAGAGTTCTCTTCCTTTATTTTAAACTGGTGAGAAATACAGAAATGATCTGCCCTTCCCGCATAATCCTTGATACCCTGAACTAACAGAAATCTATCCTCTAAGTCTTGAAAATCTGAATGGATCCGGCATCCACAGCCTTATGGGGGAGAGCGTTCCAGATTTCCACTACCCTTCGTGTGAAAAAATGCTTCCTGATTTCACTCCTAAATCTTTAAGCTTTCTGGTTAGCCAGATGCCTTTAGCAAGATCCCAACAACCGTCATCCCTGGCAACGAGAATCACTGGAGGAGAAAAGCATCTCAGGCAAATCAGAAGTTGCGAAAATTTTAGTCTCTTTTTAAAATGTTTACTTAGTGTTTTCCATCTTCTCCCTGTTGTCACCTGTCACTGTTCCTCGTCTCCAGCTTGACTTTTAACATTAAAGCCTTCAACGTGAAGTAGGAAAAAAAAACACCTGCATATTTTTACGTGGAAGATAATTTCCAAATGAAATGAGCCATGCGGGTCTGTACTACTCCAGGGCGCTGCTGATGATAGTACAGCCCAGCCCATCGGCAGGACCTGGAAGGGCAGACCAGTCACTAGGGGCAGGGAATCCTCCCACTCAGCTTCTGTTACCCCTGCAAGCCAAAGCCCTAAAGGGAAGCTGGACAAGCAGAGGGAAAGCTTGCCAGACAGCGGTATCAGTGGCAATCTATGTAGTTTTAGCTGGTTAAATGGCAGCCAGTACCGCAACACACACTCTAGGGTCCCAAAAAAGCTTTGGCTGGTGCTAACCTGTGTCAAATACTGTGCCTGACCCATAGGCCAGAGAGTGCCACTGACTGAGCCAGGCTGACACTTGAGATGAACTCCTGAGATGAACTGCTTTACAATCGTTGTAAGTTTCTTTGACAAGTTGTGACTTGACAGCCACATTAATGCCATATTTGCATCTAAATGTCTGTGATCTCTTAACGCACGTCCCTGCTTTTGAGTGTAAATTGACACAGTAAACCTAAAGCATCTTCATTTCCCCCTTCCCCCCCACCGCTAAACAGAGCAATGAACGATCTTGGGGATTACATAGCCACCAACATAGAAATCTCCTGGTTGCCAAACCTGGACGATTTGATGAAGGGTTACGCTCGCAACTTTCGACCCGGAATTGGAGGTAAGTTGATGACTCAACAGAACCAAGGTTTGTCGAGCAATCTAACATTACAGTCCGCAACTGTGAAAGACTTTCTCTCCCCCACCCCCTGCCCCCCAAAAACAGTGTGTCCTTAGCTGCAGGTAGGCAGGAGAATTGATATAATGGTGTTGATTTTGTGCTATTTCTTAAAGGATTTCTTAAATAAGGAAGGACTTTACTCCAAACTATGTTGCATTACAGTTCAAGTCTGCACTGTTTATTGTCCACACCCAGTCTAACACTGCTCTCTCCGTTCCCTAAACCCCCGTAACAGCTCTCCTTCCTACTCGTCTATTCACAATTCCCTGTTAAGGCGATTTGTGGAGTCAGCTGTGGATTTTTTTGGTGGAGAATTCTATCCATTTCCAAACCAACTAAAACATGTGAGTGAAGGTTCAGGGTGCGTGTGAATAATGGCCAGGTCAATACTACACATTTTACAGTTAAATAGTTTGACTCTAACTTCATGAAATAATAATAATTTGGCCACTCAATCCACGACTGTTGGTGGGACGCTGCTGTGCGCAATTAGCTGCCGCGTATCGCCCACAAAATATAGAGTCAATCCACTTTGTAGTTATTCTGTGAAGCGCTTGGAGACGTCTCAACACGTTGGAAGGCACTATATCAAATGCAAAGATTATTATCATAATTCTAATTATTATTACAATGAACGTTTCTTCCTTCACTGTATGCTATTTACTCTTTGTGCTTTGAATTACACAGGACCACCTCTGAACGTAGCTTTGGCTATAGAAGTGGCCAGTATTGACCACATATCGGAAGCTAATATGGTACAGTCCTGTTGTCTATTTCCTGATTTACTCACTTGCAATGTGTTATACTGTGTGTGTTGGCCCTGATTTCTGGCTGATGCATCATTCCACGTAATATGGAACATAAGAGTTCGGTGGCGTACTGAGACCTCCAACTTGTCTCTGAGAGGACACTGGGTTCTCCGTGGACACGGATAAGCCCCCAAGTAATGTCACCTGGAATAGAATTGACCCATACGTTTCCAACTCTCCCCCCTCCCATCCAACACACGCACACACACACACCTTTGCTTGCTTTGCTGCCTACAACTTTATTTTTATTGTATCACACAGAAACCCATCATGACTGTGCTTAAGAGTACACAAAACCACCAGCACATATAAATTTCCCTGTGTCTGGGATGAAATGCGCACTCTCTCCCTCTCTCCCTCTCTCTCTGGAGAGTCAATACAGTCAATTCACTTTACAGTCACTCCTGTGGAGCGCTTTGAGACGACTCAAAGACGTAATAAGGCGCTCGATCAAATGCAAGGATTATTATTGTTATTATTATCATTATTAATAAAATATTCCTCCTGCCCCTTTGTCAGGAGTACACGATGACATTGTTTTTACGCCAGATCTGGAGGGACTACAGGCTGTCTTACAATCACACCAACAAGACCCTGGGGCTGGACAGTCGCTTTGTGGACAAGCTCTGGCTCCCGGACACCTTCATCGTCAACGCCAAGTCAGCCTGGTTTCATGACGTTACAGTGGAGAACAAACTCATCAGACTTCAGCCAGATGGAGTCATTCTCTACAGCATCAGGTTGGCCAATGCTTCTTAGGAACATAGGAACAGCCATTCTACTGGATCATGGCTGATCTGTATCTCAACTCCATTTACCCGCCTTTGCTTCGCCCACAAAATATACAGTCACAGTATTTTCTGTGAAGCGCTTTGAGGCGCCTTGAAGACGTGATAAGGCGCTGGAGCAAAATGCAAGGATTATTATGATATTATTATTATTTGCTCCATGTCCCTTGTCGATCGTAGCTAATTGGCGTCTTGCTCAATAAAAACAAGCGGAAGGAGGGATATTTACCGCCGTTTATATTTTTATTCCGAGACGCATGAAATACTTTGCGAACCTGGCTTCCTTTTCAATTGGATTCAATAACTAAGTGGTTAGGTCACTCCTTCCTCTTGTCTTTGTGATCATGTGCGAGTGAGAGAGAGCGCAGCCTAATGGCGATCGACTGGTTGGAGAGCCATTGCCACAGAGGGTCATCATTGCACAGTTACTTCAGGTCCCTGAGACTGAGAGAGAGACACAAATGACAGGTTGGATTTGGCTGATGCTACCTCGACTGAGAGTTTGTGTCGGAGGCTTCCGAGCTTCGGTGAAAGACATCTCCCGATTGATTGTGTAATCCACGAGAGGGAATTTATTTTAGAATTTGAAAGTAAAACTGATAAAAGGGAATTAAAAACCCAGAGGATGGTCTAATGAGGTTGCCTATGAGATAGAAATATTTATCACCCTCCTTTTAAGTGGCAGCTTTAAGCTCCCTTCCCTGCAGTGTTCAAAATACGGTTCAACTGCATTCAGGAACACAACTTCCAGTTAGTTGCAACCCTTTATGGCGTAGTATACACTCAAGCTGAGGTCTGTCAATTTACGCAGTGATCTTACTGTGCATTTAACAGCACAGCGTTTCAGTAATAACTCTTTTTGGGGGGTCAGCAGGGTGTCTGACACATGCGGAAACCCATCACTGTTGCTTAAGAGTCTCCAAACCAAGCTGAGGATTCCATGCATCCCACCTACAACAAGATAACAACATTTCATTTATACACCTACACATGGAAATCCCAGAGATAGATTTTTGGAATGGAATGCACTCTCTCTCTCTCCCTCTCTCTCTCTCTCCCTGGAGGGATGCATCCTGCTTACCTAATTCCAGAAAGTATTAAGCACAGGTTGTGGCTTGGGGACAAGGCTTGGGGACACTAGTGTGTCCGTGAATAACTCAAACTAGAAAGAAAGAATTAGCATTATAACTCGATGAATGCCCCACAGTCACTGTTGCCAGTGACTGTGTGTTTGCAGACAATCGCAGCAATCATTTGCACACAGAGAGGCCACACAAACAGCCGTTTACCTGGGGGATTGTTGACAGTGAGAGAAACTATCCAGTAAAGCTTTGTCATCAGCATGTGACGACACAACACAACGCAACACGGGGACTTCCACTTTTCGACAGAATCAGGGAACCTCCAAACGCAAACGCACCACTGGAGGCTGGAAATTGTGCTAATTAACACATCCTTGAACATTGCACCATGTTGGGGGACATCAATTACTGACTAAGTCAACCCACGCGCCTCAGTTTACCAAGCAGTAAGTAGGAACCCGGTTGTTAGTTGATTGGTGCGTCGTTTTTCCGGGGCTATTAATCCACAAAATATACAGTCCATTCACTTTACGGTATATGCTGTAAAGCGCTTTGAGACGTCTCAATAAGGAGTGATAAGGCGCTGTGTCAAATGCAAGGATTATTATTAATCATCATGCTTGTCTATTGCCAGGATCACATCCACTGTGGCTTGTGACATGGATCTGACAAAATACCCCATGGATGAACAAGAATGCATGTTCGACCTCGAGAGCTGTGAGTTGCTTATCTTTTGCTGTTAAACAAATGACCTCCATCTGGCACTTGTTACTAAGAGCTGTGGGACACTACCCTGGGTGAGGGGCGCTATATAAATGTGAGTTGTTGTTGGGGAGAAACCCAACCCTCGTCAGTTATTCCGATTTCAGAGCATTTCGGAATTCGGCACCTCATGGAATCCCGTCTTAACTTTAAAGTCATTTTTTCTGTAGACTTCCAAGGAATCTCACACGCACACACGCGCACAAAAAAAAGCTCTTCAAAATTAAGGATGTGTTTGAGAAGTTATCAGACTCTGGACACTCTCTGCTACATGAATAATGCCTATTCTTTTCCTTGGTTCTCTCAGACGCCTACTCGGCAGAAGACATTGTGTATCACTGGTCGGACAATCAGGATCAGATACATGGGCTGGACAATATCCAGTTGGCTCAGTTCACCATCACTAACTATCACTTTGTCACCGAGATGATGAATTTTAAATCAGGCGAGTAACCAGATTGAGCGATAGGGTCGAAGGCTTTTCTCAGAGTTACAATAGTGAGGCCTAATGTGTGGGATTCCTTCATAAGGAACCCGGGGTACATGCTTTAAGTATTTTTGATATAAGACGCTGTAAAAATGCAAGTTTCCTTCCTTCCTTCCTTCCTTCCTTCCTTCCTTCCTTCCTTCCTTCCTTCCTTCCTTCCTTCTTCTTACTCTCTCTTTCACACCTTCTTCTTTCTCTTTCTCTCTCTCCCCCTTTCTAATTTATTCTCATTCCCTTTCTCTCTCACTTCCTTTCAAATTAATTCTCTGTCTCTTCCTCTCATTCTCTAATTAATTCTCTCACTCTCTCTCTCTCTCCCGCAGCTGGTAGATTTCCGCGGCTGAGCCTACGGTTCCAGTTACGGAGGAACCGTGGTGTGTACATCATGCAGTCCTACATGCCATCCATCCTGCTGGTGGCCATGTCCTGGGTGTCCTTCTGGATCAGCCAGTCTGCGGTGCCCGCCCGAGTCTCCCTAGGTAACGGACGAAATTTCCCTCGTTCCCGATTTCTGACACGGCCGATAATTAATCACCTCACCACATCGACGCACTCGTTTGTTTCATTCTTTGAAAGCCTCCTCTTGAGGTCTGAATTCAGACCATGTGAACCATCAGAGGCTTAACCAGAGGGTTGGGACCTGCTCACCGGCCTCCACAAATCTCATCCAACTCTGAAGTTCCTACCCTGAATGGCCTACTCCTGTTCCTATGTAGTTTAGGGACTTAGGAACAGGAGTAGGCTTTTCAGCCCCTCTCTAGCCTGTTCCGCCATTCTACCAGATCATGGCTGATCTGTACCTCAACTCCAAATATCCGCCTTTGCTCCATATCCCTGAATACCCTGACCTAACAACAATTTCCACTGACCCTTTGTGTGAAAAAGTGCTTCCTGATTTAATTCCTAAATGGCCTAGTTCTAATTTAAGATTATGCTTCCTGGTTCTGGATTCTCCCAACAGAGGAAATAGTTTCTCTGCAATCTCTTTATCAGTGGAGCCAATACTCTGTATCATCAGAGAACAGGGTTCACAGAGCATTGAATTCTGCAGCGCAGGGTGTTGCTGCTGCGTTTCGCCCACAAAATACACAGTCACTACACTTTACAATATATCCTGTGAAGCGCTTTGAGACGTCTCAAAAGACCCGACAAGGCGCGATATCGAACGCAAGGATTATTATATATTATTATTGTGTTTGAGCACGTTGTGTCCCCCTGGTGTGTGCACGCTGCAGGAATCACCACCGTGCTGACCATGACCACCCTGATGGTCAGCGCCAGGTCCTCCCTGCCTAGGGCCTCGGCCATCAAAGCCCTGGACGTTTACTTCTGGATCTGCTACGTCTTTGTGTTTGCGGCCCTGGTGGAGTACGCCTTCGCCCACTTCAACGCCGACTACATGAGGAAGCAGAGGGCCAAGATGAAGACCAATAAGCTGTGCGCGGAGGTGAGTGAGACCGTTGAGTTAACTCGGAGTCAAGCGAAGGGTAAGCTTCATGCATCAGCTTAGACTTGTGATTCCAAGACCCGATGTGTGGGGGGGGGGCTTGAAACCACAACCTTCTCACTCGGAGGCAAGAGCGCGACTGACTGAGTCAGGCTGACACAGTACAGACAAAATCCCAAGTGGCTGAACTTTAATGCCAGACTGACACACAAAGAGTCTTAAGCCTAAGAACACAAGAAATTTGCAACAACTTACATTTCAAGGCAGCAGTGGTCCCAACAGGCTACGATTGGCCGCAAAAATCAAGCCTCTAATTTCAGCGTTTACATGTTACTTGAGCCCCACATAGTCTAAGACGACACACCAATACAGCACTGGGGGGGCTGTTGCATTGTCGGAGGTGCTGTCCTTCGGAGGAGATGTTAATCCTGAGGTCCTGTCTATCTGTTCAGGTGGATGTCAGAGATCCCATGAGTGATTAAAAAAGAGAAGGGAGTTTCTCTTTCCCGGTTCCTGGCCAGCAATCCCCCAAAATAAAATTGTCACTCACTCCGTGGATGTTTGTGGGACACTGCTGTGCTCAAACTGAATGCCACATTTCACCCACAAAATACACAGTCACTGAGCTTTATAATACAACCTGTTAAGATCGCGGTGACACCTCGATGACATGATAAAGCACTGGATCAAATGCAAGGATTATCATTATGGTCTTAAAATGTAATATCGGAGAAACGTTTAGAAAGCGGCTTAAGCTTGATCTCAATTTGGAAGCTGTCTTTTTTTTGGAGGCACTAAATTCACTTGCAAATCGAGCCCCCAATGTAGGTGTTGCCTTTCGCTGTGTGACCGTGAGCTTTGGCTGTTTGTGGGCAGACGGTAGTGAAGACGGGGAAACACGCCATGGTCCTCTTCTCCCTCTCAGCCACTGGCGTCCAACAGGGGCTGGTCGTGTCTAACAGACTGCAGCGGAGAAACCCCCCAGGCGACGAGGTGGAGAACGGCCGGAACAAAGCCAAGAAACACGACTCCAAGTCCGAGCGGAGGACCGTGCTCAAGTCTGTGTTTAAGCCGATTGACGCTGACACCATTGATATTTATGCAAGAGCTGTATTCCCGGCTGCATTTGCTGCGGTCAATGTCATCTACTGGGTGGCTTACACCATGTAAACACCGCTCCCCTCCCCCATACCCCGATTCGTTTACACCCCCCTTCTCTTTGCTTCTCCCCATCTCCCAGCCCCCGCCTTCTCTCTCCTTCTTCCTCCCCCCACCTCCTCCACTGACAGACATGACCACACAGCGTCGCTGCAGCAGAAACACCCTCCCTCTCCTCCCCCCACTCCCAAAAACCATCCATGAATACACAGAACTCATGCATGAAAGCCACCCCCACCCCCCCACCACCCAACTTTGGTTGCCGGGGGGTTGGGGGAAGGGAGGGGGTTCATCTTAAAAACAAACCCCTTAAATTAAGAAATGGTCTGGTGTCTCGGTACGAGTATACTATACAGCTGTAAATAATAAAACACGTTGAACTTATCGGTGTAAAAACCACCTGAGTGTTTGTTTACTGGCGAGCTGGGGCTTCGCACCTCACCTTTACAGCAAGTCCGTATCGGCGCGTCCGGAGGTCCTGATGCTATTGTGCGCCGGCGGCGGTTTAGATAAGCGTCATTTGTTCGGGAGTCGTGGGGTGAATAGCAGCAGCGGGATAGTCGCCGAGGCTGCATTTTGATTCAAAATAGCCGACTTCCAGGACGTCAGGTCACCACCAATGTCACGTCCTGTTCGTTACTTCCTGTGAGAAATGGGGCATTTGGGGGACAGATGGGGCACAAATGGTGCCGAGGAGGGCTGGCTTTACGAGTTCCGGTTTCCTGCCGGTTGCACTTGCTCACGTCCCAGGGACAATACACACACAATAGTTGGGGGTGGTGGGGGGGGGGGGGCGTGGGGGGGGAAACGAAGCTGTACGTCTAGTGTTTTCTTTTATTATTAAATACATTCTCTCCCAAATGTACAATCGGTGGTTCATACCACGAGTCCACGTACAAAGAGCACATCAAGCTCTCCGTGCAGCGAGGCTCTTTGAGCGTCGAGTGCTCGCCTCTCCCGTCCGTGTGTCAAGCGCGCGATCAGGGAACCAGTGCACGCACCCAGCCTTAAATCCATCTTCCCTTCACGACGGCGTCCATAGGGCGGGTGAGATACTTGCAGTAATCCAGCTGTGCAGAACAACAGCGACAACAACGACTTAACATTTACACAGCGGCCTTCACCCGGAGTAGTGTTCAGAGCGCTTAGTGATGGTGTCGTTTGACGTCAAGAGGGGAGAAAGGTGGGGGGTGGGGGGGGGGGGGAATGGTGGTCGTAGGCGCTGTCGAAGAGGAAAGTCTTCGTGTGCGATCTGAAGACGGGCAAAAGTAAACGAGCAATATTAAAAAGAGATGGGGGGGGGAAGGGAGAGAGGGAGGGGCAGCGAGCAGGAGGATGGGGTTCAAGCCAAGGGCGGTGCAAGGTGGAGAGGAAAAATCCCACGCGTCTCATCCTTACCGGAAATCCGCACGATCCCTCCTCGTAGTCGTGCCCGAGGCAGGGATTGCCGCTGTTCTCCGGAGCAGGGTTGTTGCACAAGCGGGAGCGTTTGACCACACCGATCCCACAGCTGGACGGGCAGGGAGACCAGAAGGTCCACGGAGACCAGCCACCATCAGCTGAAACCAAGCAAGAGACCGGGCAACAACAACAACACATTACATTTTCACAGCGCCATTCACATACACAGCAAGTAACAAGGCGTTGGACAGTCAAGGATTTGCACCCGAGCTGGGGGTTGCTATCAGAAGGGTTGGAGGGCAGAGAGGGCAGCGGTGGGAGAGGATTGGAGGGGGGAAAGGAGGGAGAGGTGATCACCTGAACTGTTAATGGGGGGGAGGGGGCGGGTTGCGGAACTATGCGAGGAGGGGAACGGATGGCATTGAGCGGGGGCCGGAGAGCGAGGGAGCGAGCGAGAGAGATACAGAGAGTGGCCGGGCGGGCGGTTACTTGGGCAGTCGCTGTGCCGGCAGGCCAGGTTCTCCTCGAACGTCCCCGTGCACGGGAGTCCTCCGTGGGCCGGGGCTGGGTTGTTGCACACTCGGATTCTCCTGGTGATCCCGGAGCAAAGCTGCGTACATGTGGACCAGGGGGACCACTCCGACCACTTGCCCAGCACTGTGGGGGTAGAGGTGGGGAGGAGGAGTTCATTTATTAATATTAATATTGTACTAATATTTCACCCACAAACACACAGTCGCTATACTGTGAAGCGATCTGAGAAGTTGTGATAAAGCCCTGCATCAAATGCAAGGATTAATATTATTATTATTATTTATTATTATTACGCGACTCATGAGGGACGCTATACAATTGCAAGTTATTGTTTAACTAAACTAATATTGTTTTTACTATTGAAAAAAAATCCATGAAATCGATTTTATGGATTTGCTTTTAATAAAGTGAAAACTTTCGCATTCAAAAAATAATAATTAATTTGATTACATTTTGAATTTTTAATAGAACTTAACAAAATCAAATAAATAAAATGCAATCTAATAAAATCACATTTCATTTATTTATTTATTTATTTATTTATTTATTTTTGTTTCACGTAAAAACGTTTGCATTCAAACAAATCCCATCAAGAAAAAAAGAATTGAACCAAAAGAAATAAAATCCGATTTTGTTTTTGATTAAAATTCAATAAAATATCTCGGTTTGCGGAGAAAAAGGGTTTTATTTCAAACAAACCAGCGGGAGGCGAAAAAAGCGCCCACCCAGGGACACATCACGTCACCGAGAGCGAGGGAGAGAGAGAGATTGAGAGAGAGAGAGAGAGAAAGAGAGATACCGTGCTTCACATCAGGATCATTTCTGGATCAGGATTAGCATAAATTTCTAAGTAAACAGAGGCCTATTTATAAAGACGAGTTGCACGGCTCCCATTAATTATTCAGTCACCAATTCCGTTTAAGGGCAAGTCTCTCTGAAAAACTAGAGACGTTACATAAATCCTGAGCGCTGGGTTCTGCTTCACCAAGTCACGGCTCTCAAAGCTCTCTGGTGACTGCCGTAGTCTTTACTCAACGACGACGACAACAACAACAACTTGTGTTTATATCGTGTCCTTTCACGCAGGGAAGTGTCCTGGAGAGCTTCACCAGTCTTTACACCTCGACGGTAGCTTTCAAAAGGGAATTGGACAGATACGTGAAAAGGAAACATTGGCAGGACTATGGGGTAAGAGCGGAGGGGAGGGGGGGGGGGGACTAGTTGGGTAGCTCTTTCAAAGACCCAGTACAGACCAGATGGGCGGAATGGCCTCCTTCTGTGCTGTAAGATTCCACGATCCTAACCCTAACCTGGATAGAAGCTTTAAAAGCGGGGAAGGCTCAGGAAGTGCGCCTGCAAGATAGGGAATAAGCGTTGAAAGCCGCAAATTAAACGTAAGCAAACACGGGTGACATTGTAAAGAATCCCACGTTCAAGTTGCAAAATAAAACCGCAAATATTTTCTTATTTTGGTTTATGGTTCAAATAAAATCTTTCCCGATATTTGGAGTAAAAAAGGCCATGCATTCAGGAGCCTGAAGTCAACGTAAAAAACAAACAAACTCCAGCGCCTGGAGTGTCCGGGAACGCAAAGTCGCGCCTAAAAAAAAAATTTGATCTGACCAAATCAGTTAACCTCCCCTTCCCCACCCCCTCCAGCTCGCTCTGCTCTAGCCGCCCCGACACCTGTACGCAGCCTCCCCCGGGGTGGCTGGGTGCGGTGGGTGCTGTGTGTGGGTTACCTGGGCAGGGGCTGACGCTGTCGCAGTGTTTGAGCTGCACCGAAGGCCCCTCGCAGCGCATCCCGCTCTCGGGGTGGGTGCACAGCCGCACACGCATGGTGTTCTGGACCCCGCAGCTCACCGTACACACTGACCAGGGAGACCAGGGTGTCCAGATACTGCTCCCTGTTCACACACCAATGCAGAGAGGGTCAGAGCACAGGCACACGGCTCACTATCTCTATTAGATACATACACACACACACACACATACATACACATACAACACACACACATATACACACACATGCACACACAAACACACACACACGCACGCACACACACACACACACACACACATGCATACACAAACACAACAACAAATTACATGTACACAGCGCCTTTCACGTCAGGAGGACGTCCCAAGCTATTGGACAGTGAAGGGTTTGCACCCGAGCCGGAGGTTGGAGTCAAGTGGGGTTGTGGTGGGACGCGGCCAAAGGTACGGTCAAAAGAGGAAGGTCTGGCGATGGACCTTGAAGGAGGACACGAGCTGTAGAGTTCTGAATCATCTGTAGCTTGTGGAGGGGAGAGTTGGGAATTCCAACAAACAGGGAGTTTGCATAGTCTTGATTAAATGTTTCTATACACACACACGCCCCTACACACACATTCCCCTACACACACACACACGCCCCTACACACACACACACACAGTTATTTATGACATTGAACACCTCCATGAACTACGTCAAATCTCACCCACGGAATCTATTCACCGGAGTTGGGGTGGGGGGAGGGGGGGACTGGGGGGAACGGGGGTGGGGGGGTGGGGGAGAGGGAGCCTGACCCACCTTGACATTTCATCCCGTCCCTAAAGTAGCCGTTCTGACAGACGCAGACGTAGGAGCCGAGGGTGTTGACACAGAAGGCGTTCTCGTCGCAGTTTCCCGCGTTGACCATACACTCGTCGACATCTGTCGATGGGATATGGAAACCCGCTGGCGATCAAACCGTGACTCGGGGGAAACCCTCCCTGACCAATGAACTCTCCCCTCAAGCTCAGCATAAACAGCAACCGTGCCCCCCCCCCCCCCCCCACCCCGAGAACAGGTTTTCCCATAAACATCTTACAACGACGTAAGAATGGGGGACAATTCGTAAATCCCCGTCTTAACTTAGAAGCCAGTTCTTTGGAAGAATCGTGGCCGGAAAAAACAGCGCAACTCTTGGCAGGAAAAGACTCTTCCACTGCCCCCCCACCCCCCCCATGCCCCCCAACACCATCCGTCCATCCATCAACTCCCGCCTCCCCTGCCACCCACCCTGTCCATCAGACTCCCCCTTTCCCCTGCTGACCCCCCCTACCCCCCCACCCCCAATCCCCACCGTGTTTCAAGCGCTCTGGGACGTGACCCCGTGTGAGGGGGCGCTATATATATGCAAGTTGTTGTCGTTGCTGTTTGTGGTACCTATACAAGAATACAAGGCATCTCCTTCATAACCATCCGGGCAAAGGCATGCGTAGGAGCCGTACGTGTTGATACACTTGGTGTGCGGCAGGCACTGCAGAGGCATCCCCTGACTGCACTCATCGATATCTGCAAGACAAGACCAACAAGCTGGAATTAAATGGCAAATGATCTTCTTGTAGAGTCCTGTAGTTCAGCGGTTAGAGCGCTCGCTTTGCAAGTGAGAGACCTGAGTTCAATTCCAGGCAGAGGGCGAAACCTTGGGCAAGTTTCCTTACTCCACACAGAGCCTAATAATAATCCCTCCAAAACCAAACAATAATAAATTGGTCATTTTCAATCTACGACTGTTTGTGGGACATTGCTGTGCGCAATTGGCTGCCGCGTTCGCCCACAAATATACAGTCAATTCACTTTACAGTGTGTTCTGTGAAGCGCTTTGGGACGTCGAGAAGACGTGAAAAGCGCTATATCAAATGCGAGGATTATTATTATTACTCCCCCTCACTGACAGTCACCCTGTGCTGGAAGGGGAAGAGCTTCACCCGCCTCCTCCTTCACCTTGAAGAGTATGGCTGTGACGCCACCTGGTGGCTGCTCTGGGTACGGCGGCCCATATTCGTGGGTCAGAGCATTCGCACAGAGGAGCCAACGCTTTCTTCACCGCACAAGTTACTGACCTCGTCGCCCAGGGACAGGAAGAGGCCATTCAGCCCGTCAGCCAGTTCAAAATCCTGGTCCTCACCTACAAAGCCCTCCATGGCCCTCGCCCCACTCTGCGACCTCCTTAACCCCTACCAACCCGTCCGCTCCCTCCGCTCAGCCGGCTCCGACCTGCTCCACGTCCCCCGACCCACCCGTCCCACGATTGACGGGAGACCGTTCAACCACTCTGCCCCCAACCTCTGGAACTCCATCCCTCAATCACTCCGCCTCGCCCCCCCCCCCCTTAGCCTCCATTAAGTCCCACCTCAGGACCTTCCTCTTTGACCATGTCATTGGTCACCCCCTTCCCCTCCCCTCCCCTCCCATCTCCCCCCTGACCCCAGCTCGGGTCTGAAATGCTGTACACTGTCCAGCGCCTTGGGACGTCCTCCCGACGTGAAAGGCGCTATACAAATATAATCTTGTTGTTGCTGTTGTTATTGTTGTTGTTGAGACTGAATTCAAGAATTTTCCAAAGTTCTGCGGGATCTCAAAGCTTTCGGGATCACCGAGGAATTTCCGATGTGTCCGACTAATCTTCGGCTCGCGACGTCCCTGCGTGCAACCCCCGAGGTTCAGGAATACTCGCCAGTGCAGTGGACTCCGTTCCCCATAAATCCCTCGTTACAGATACAGTGGTGAACGCTTCGTGTTCCGTTGCATTGCTTGGAGATGTCTGGGGGAAAAAAAGGGGAGCTCGCTCGTTAATCTTACATTGAGCAAACGAACTAGCGAAAAAACACAACAACCCTCTGATCCGGAGACAAAGTGCCTCCGCCTGCCCCTTCTCTACCCCCACCACCCACCCACTCCCCTCACAAGCTCTACAGGTGTCAGAAATGACACCTTTCTGGAGTCCTGTAGCTCAATGGTTAGAGCACTCGCTTTGCAAGTGAGAGACTTGAGTTCAATTCCAGGCAGAGGGCGAAACCTTGGGCAAGTTTCCTTACTCCACACAGAGCCTAATAATAATCCCTCCAAAAACAAAACAATAATAAATTGGTCATTTTCAATCTACGACTGTTTGTGGGACATTGCTGTGCGCAATTGGCTGCCGCGTTCGCCCACAAATATACAGTCAATTCACTTTACAGTGTGTTCTGTGAAGCGCTTTGGGACGTCCTCCCGACGTGAAAAGCGCTATATCAAATGCAAGGATTATTATTATTATTATTATAAATGTACTCAGCACCGGCTACTGAAAAACTGGGCCTTTAGCCCCGTTTATTGTTATAATTCAGACAGAGCAAAGCCCGGCTCAGAGACGCGCTGAGAGAGGGAAGAAAGAGAGAGAGAGAGAGAGAAAGGGGTTCTCTCTCAAGCGTGAAAGAGCCCTAACACAGCCAGTAACTGTGGTATGTGGGTGTGCGTGTGTTTACATTGCTTTCACCCGAGTGACAGACTCCTGGAGTCTGTGGATTCCGAGAATCATTGGATTTATGGCTCACGAGAGCACTTGCAGAGCAAGATGTTCAACAGGGCGGAGGCAGCAAACAGATACAAACGATTCCGCTTAAGATTACCATCTTTTTTTCTCTCTTAAGAGTTTTGAGAATCACCCCGTTTCTTAACTGAGAAATTCGCGGTACATTGATAACGGGGCCTTATCGCGTCGTCGTCGAGACGCGCAGCACTGAGGAGTTCTCAGGAAAGAAATGCGTCCGTTAAGGGACGCAGCAAATTAGATGACGTGAAGGAAATGTGCCTGAGGCAACCTGCCAAACAGTAAGCTTTGTGTCGGTTGTGTTTCCCAGCTTCAAAGTCCTGGTGTGAGTTAGAGCGACGTAGACGGGAGTGTCGTAAATCACACTGATATGGATTTAGCCTTTGAGCTGCACAAGGGCAGAGGAACACCCTGCGTACCTTTCCTGATTTCAAACAGCCTCTGTGCTATCGCCACTCTCCCGGGCACCTGCTTAATAAAGTCGTACATAATCGCTCGGATGTTGCCAAAATCATCCTCTCTGGAAGAGATTAATGTGTTAAATCAGCAGGATCCGGCCTGCTCCGGGTCCCCAGCCCTGCCTGCCCCACTATCGGCAGTCGGTTCTTCAGCCTTTCCGCCTTCACCCTCTGAAACTCCATCCAACAGTTCTTTCGCCGCGCTCCCTCCCTTGCCTCCCTGAAGGCCCGTCTCACGACCCTTCTCTTCTCTTCGACCGTGCCTTCGGTTCACCCTCCTACCCCCATCCTCCCTGCCCTCCACCCTTGCTGATCCCAACCCCCAGCTCGGGTCCAAATCCTTGACTGTCCAGCGCCTTGGGATGTCCTCCCGACATGAAAGGCGCTGTGTAAGTGTAAGTATGTTGGGTTGTATTGTAATACAATGTGTCTTACTGAATCCCATCGATAATGATGCCCTCTGTCTTGGTGGCCAGAACAATCACATCGTCACTGTACAGGGTCGGGTTCCAGGACTCCCTGATCCACTTGATCAAAGTGGTGCTCGATATGTTGAGGTAGTTTCCCAGGTCGATTTGAATCACGTCGTTCAGCAGATACTCGCCAACGTCTACAAAAGACAGAGAGCTTTTGATAATCTTATTTGATAATGATAATCCCTCCAAAAATCCAAAACCAATAATAAATTGGTCATTTTCAATCTACGACTGTTTGTGGGACATTGCTGTGCGCAATTGGCTGCCGCGTTCACCCACAAATATAGTCAATTCACTTTACAGTGTGTTCTGTGAAGCGCTTTGGGACGTCCTCCGGACGTGAAAAGCGCTATATCAAATGCAAGGATTATTATTATTATTATTAGAGCGAGTGAGCACTCGTTAAAAAGCCAAGCAGCCCACCCACAATGTCGCCCCCACTCCCCTCCCCGTCTCCCCCATGCCCCGAAATTCCATCGCCTCAAAATTCAAGACCGCACAGAATGTTTGGAAAATTCGGGTCTCGATTTGGAAGCGGTTCTTTTCTGAAACTGCAGAAAGATGGGAGAGAGAGAGAAAGAGAGAGAAGGGGGGAGGGAGAGTAAAGGTAGGTGGTGGTGGTGGGGGGGGGGCGTTGGGGAGGGTGAACAGAGACATGCGACTGAACTCGTTGCTCAGTTGCGTGCTGTTTCTGCTGCGAGGTGGGGGTTAAGGGGTTACGGAGGGAAAAAAAGCAGGAAAATGGGATTTAAGAGGTTCCGCCGCGATCTAATCAACTGGCAGAACAGGCTGGAAGGGCTGAATGGCCTCCACCTGTTCCCTCATTGGGATCTACCTGAATATGGCCTCGGTTTAACGTCTCATCCGACGGACAGCACCTCTGACAATGAAACACCCCCCCCACCCCCACACCGCGCTGCATTGGAGCATCACCTTAGACTAGGGGATTCCAAGTCTCGACGCGTCCCAGTTTCAATGCGGGGGGGGGAGAGAGAGAGAGAGAGAGAGAGAGAGACAGGAGTCCGTTCTTGCCTATTGTCGGGCTTTCAAGGATGAAGTAAAAGCGAAGCTTGGACGGGTTGAGCAACTCGAAGGCAGTGAAGTCGTACGGCTCCACTTGCTTCTTCAGCTCGTCCAGGATGTTGGTCTCCAACTCGACCCAGAAGGAGTTGGGGTAAAAGTCGTCCTCCTTGATCTTGTGCAGCTCCATCGCGAGGTTGTCGTTTTTCCATTCATTCTTGTCCAAAAAGTCCGGGTGAGGTTTCAGCCGCCTCCTATAACTGCACAGAGAGCGCCGTCAGACACCCGACTCCAGAGCAGCACATGATTTGCGCTTACTTGCGCTTGTGGAGCCCTGTAGCGTAGACTGTGCAGCGCCTTGGGACGTCCTCCTGACGTGAAAGGCGCTTTATAAATGGAATCTTGTTGTTGTTGTTGTTGTTGGTTAGCGCGCTCGCCTCACAAGTGAGGGGACCCAGGTTTGAGTCCCGACCGGGGGCAGCGCGAGACCTTAGGCAAGTTTCCTTACTCCACACGCCTCTGTTTACCTGGCACTAAGTTGGAACCTGGTTGTTAATCGATTGGTGGGTCACTTTCCGGCGGTAATACTCTCTCCCAAAACAATAATAATAATTTGGTCACTCAATCCACGACTGTTTGTGAGACATTGCTGTATGCAATTGGCTGCCACGTTTCGACCACAAAATATACAGTGAATTAACGTCTCAATGACGTGATAAGGTATTATTACGCCTTGAAAATCTCAAAGCATGAAAACCTGAGCAAGGGCTTCCCACCATTTACTCTAACATGTCGTGACCATCCGGTTCATTTGGTTTGAAAATACAGCCACCAATTTGCACGCAGCAATGCTTCTTCACAGACATCCACAAAGCAAATGACCAGTTTACTTATTTGGGGAATTGTTTGTTGGCCGGGACACCGGGAGAGTGAAACTCCCTTTTCTTTCCAAAAAGGTGCCATGGGAATCTTTAACGTCCACCTGAACAGGTAGAGGGGACCTTGGTGTAACGTCTCGTCCCAAACATGGTACCTCTGACAATGCAGCACACCCCCAGCACTGCATTGGAGCGTCAGCTTAGACTATGTGATTCTAAGCCACAATCTTCAGACCCAGAGATAAGAGCGCTACCAACTGAGCCAGGCTGACTCACAGGCAAGGGGGCTGGCAGTAATTGATTCAAAGAGCTGGCACAGGTACAATGGGCTGAATGGCCTCATGTTGTGCTGTCGTTAAAGAATTTAAGATTTAAGGATCATTAAAACCGGTTTCTCTGGATGTCCTGATATAAATGTCCTCAACAGCCACCAAGAGGAGCCAGTGTGCTAATTTGCAAAGAAAGCCACACTCATCACAAGGAACGCACCGCAAAACGGTGCAAACTTCACCCCATGATTGTCCTTGAAACTTTTTTCCCCTGAAATTACCTCGAGGTTGATGAAGAATGCACATATTTGGAGAGAAATTCTCCTCGGCTCTAGATTTCCTCCATTTTTACAGAGCGTTTCTGAGCCCGGAAATTGGTGAATTGTTCAATTGGGTCTTAACTCCAGCTGAATTCTGGGCGGATTAAAATGCTAAATAAATGTGGCAAATCCAGACTCGGATGGAATTTCCCACCTGCTGACTCCCCACCCTCCCACCCGTCACCTCTGGTTGGCTGACTCGGGCCTCCTGCTTGACCCTCGTCCCCTCCACTCTGCTATCGGCGGCCAGGCTTTCAGCAATTACGCCCCCGAAACTCTCTCCCTCAATCCCTCCACTTTGCCCCCTCCTTCCACATTTTCAGATCGCCTTCCTCTTCGAGCGTGCTTACGGTCACCTCCTCCCTCCCCCCCAGCTCTGTGTTGTGCTCCGCCACTGTTAAGCGCTCCGAGACGCTACCTGCGTGAAGAGCACTATATAAATGCAAGTTATTGTTTAATCTCAGTGCCACTCAGATATTCCCCATTATATATCTGACATAACTCCCACTGAGGGGGGGATAAGCAATGACCAATTGATCTCTTTCAACTGATTGCTCCACAATAACAACAAATTACAGTTGTATAGCACCTCTCGTGTCAGGAGGACTTCCCAAGGCGATGAAACACAAGAGCGAAATGGAGTCAAATTTTGGAAAATGGAATCTGAGCCTTTACAAACGTGGAAAGACAGGTTAAAAATACACACGTCACTGATTCACAATATAAGGACCTCCCTTTAGCCTGTCCCCAAGCTCAGCTGCCCTCAACAATGCGAGGCACGTGCCCAACTAATTATAATAATATTCCTTTATAAATAATAATTTTAGCTTGCAATATGGTGTGTATTTTATTCACCTGCTATTGTACAGCCTTTGTACCTGTGATAACTTGATCCTTCAGCTGAATAAAACTTAAACCATGCAATCTGCTTGGGATTATAATCACCCGTGATCGAAATATTGAATGTGACGTGTTCTCCCAGCGACTTTGTGATGAGGCAAGTTTGGGTGCCTTGTGCACTGCAAATCCTTTTGTCAGAGATTTGGATCATCTCTTCAGGTTCTTGACAGGAAATAAACAAGATGTGTTAGTCAATTTCTTGAGATAGCAGATCATTTCCTTTCGCCAGAGTGAGAAATTTACTGCAAAATAATCTGCTTTTATAGCATCTTGGGTCATGCCTTAAAGCGCTTGGCTGGAGATATTACCATGGAGCGTGGCAAAAAGTGATGTCATTTTTCAGACAACAAGATCCCACAAACAAAAGCGAGAAGAGCAGCCAGTTAACATGAAAACCTCCCCGCCACCCCCCCCCCCACCACCCCCCACACACACAGAATTAGGTGCAGGTTGGCAAGAGTCAAGCCTTAGGGGCCCCAGAGTGTACGTTTGAATAACTGCTGGAGTCTAACCAGCAAAAAAAGCATAGCCTGCTCATTGAGGCCGCTGGCTGGCAAGCTTTTCCGCTGCTTGTCCAGCTAGGACCACCCTACCCGTTAGGGCTTTGGCAGGGTTAACAGGAGCTGAGTGGGATGACTCTCTGCCCCCAGTGACTGGTCTGGCCTTCCAGTTCCTGCCGATGAGCGAGGCTGGGCTGTGCTGTCACCAGCAGTGCCCTGGAATACCATGGACCTGCCTGGCTCAGGAACTGGTCAAGAGACCTTCATTGAGGATTGGCTCGATTCTGACATTCCATTGCCAAATATGTCACATTGGAGCTAGTTAAGATTTACCCCTCACACTCCCTCGAACCAACCCCCCCCCCAAAAAATAGTCACTAGTTGGTCTTCTTATAAACAAACCCTCGTATAACATGCACCTCAGTGACTTGGCTGCTAAGTGTTCTTACCTTGGCAGTTATTAAGGCCATCGCCAGTGTATCCAGGAAGACACTGACAGTAAAACAACCAGCTCACAATATCCAGCCTGCAAATGGCCCACTTGTGACAAATTATTTCCCTGGATTTACATTCATCTTCATAGGGATCTGCCAAAAGGAAACAAAAGATACAAACTGATTACAACATTGCTGCCGGAAAAGTTAATTGGAAACCGTTTAAACCCTCTTCATCAGAGACGGGGTTAGTTAGTATTAACGTCTCAGTCCTGTACACAGTCACTCCACTTTACAGAACATTCTGTGAAGCGCTTTGAGATGTCTCAATGATGTGATAAGGCATCATATCAAATGCAAGGATGATTATTAATATTATATTGGTACCAAATAAGTCACTGGGGCCTAGTGGTTCTCGTGTCATCCTGTTTAAGTCCGTTACTTTAAAAACTAGATTCAATCACTGCCTCAGCCCTTAAAATTGAATGGATAAATATTATCTCGCTGTCTCATGACATGTTACCTCTTTGATTACGCTTTCGGTCAACTTCCCCCACCCCACCCCACCCCCCCCGCGCCCCCTGCCTCCTCTCGGGGGGAGGGGATCACTCAGTTGATCTGCATTGCCCTGTCAAGCGCTCCGAGACGTTGCCCCACGCGAAGGGCGTTTTATAAATGCAAGCTGTTGCCGTTATAATAATGTAAACCGTATGCGATCGAGGCACAGGCTTCAAGAAAGGGCTGAGGGCGAGGCGGAATTCTGGAGACGCTGAACTCTACCACATATATATAAAAAAAATGGAAAAGAGCCACGTCTCACCCCGTATGGACGTGTCGAACAGGACCTTTGATTTCTGGGTCAACAGCGTCAGAAGGACGACTCTAAGGCAAAAACGCATCTTCCATATCAGAATGCGCTTTCGCATCACTTCGCTCTCTGAGAGCGATGACAGCAGCAGCGCAGGGGGTCAGGGCTGGAGGACATTCATTCTTCGGGAAGCTGAGTCTCTATGGGATTTTCTGTGCAAATGTGTGTGTGTGTGTGTATGTGTGTGTATGTCTGTGTGTGTGTGTGGTGTGTTGGTGTGTGTGTGTGTCCCTCTCTCTCTCTTCACTGGAGTGCAGGGACCACCTGTGCTGTTGATTTCCAAAGCTGTGACCATTCTCTGCCGTTTGACTCGTCACAAACCCTGAGGGAGTGGAACTCGGGGGCAAGTGTCAAAATGGATTTACCCATCAAACGCTCTGCGGATTAAAATACAATTCAAGGTGTGTGTGTGTGTGGGGGGGGGGGGGGAGGGGGGGGGGGGTGAAAAAAATTAATAATTAATAATAATAATGATGATGATAATGAGAATGATGCGACAAACAGGAGAGAGGAGAGAGTCACTGAGACATTTCACATCAGCTGAACAAGGGACACGCGGCGCATGCGCAGGGAGGGAGCGGGCAGCCGGAGCGCGGCCCCGCCCACTCGACGCCGCTTGTTGCCGGGCAACGGGACGCTTGTTGCCGGGCAACGGGACGCCACCCACCAGCTGTTGGGCTGTGACACAAAGCACAGAGATTCCCTTCCCCCTCCCCCCCTCCCCCCCCCACCCACACCCCATCCCCCACCCTCACCCCACACCCCACCCCCACCCCCGGCGCCATTCATTCCAGAGCAACCCTGAGCGAGGAGGAGGAGGAGGAGGAGGAACAACAACAACAACAACAACAACAAGGGCACAGACAGACACCGCCCCCACCCCCAGATGCCACTCCCTGACCCCCTGCGTTCACTGGTGCTTTGAGTCAGAAGAACCCGCCCCGACCTGGATAGATCTGCTCCCAAATTGGCTCACTAGTCTGTCAATCATCCACCTGTCGCCTTTCCTTGTCCCCTCCCTCCATCCCTCCCTCAACAACAACTTGGATTTACATAGCGTCCTCCACCCGGACGGCGCCTCAGAGCGCTTCACAGTAACGGATCCCGGGGCCGAGCCCAGGGGGAGGGGGAGGGGGAGGAAGGTGTTTTTGTTCCCTCCCGCCCCTCGCTTCAAGTGTGTTTTGACTTGTGGCTGTTGAGAGAACTTACACCTTTCTTCTATCTTCTGAACTCAACCCCCACCCCCCCCCCCGTCACCCCCCCAACCCCAACCATCTCACAACCCGCTCACACACACACACACTTCATGCCTACCTCAGTCTGGCTCCGCTGGTGCACTGCGGTCTTTTGTGGGTTTACGCCCCCACCTTCCGGGCTTCAAAATGTGCTCCAATACAGTGCTGGGATAGGGTCGGGTTGGGGGAATGTGGTTGCTGCAACAACAACAACGAGATTACATTTGTATAGCGCCTTTCACGTCGGGAGGACGTCCCAAGGCGCTGGACAGAGTACAGCATTTCAGACCCGAGCTGGGGTTGGGGGGGGTAAGGGAGGGGAATGGAAGGGGGGTCGCCAATGGCATGGTCGAAGAGAAAGGTCTTGAGGCGGGACTTGAAGGAGGCTATGGAGGGGGCGAGACAGAGTGACTGGGGCATGGAATTCCAGAGGTTGGGGGCAGAGTGGCTGAAGGCTCTCCAGCCAATGCTGCAGTGTCAGCGGTGCCGTCCTTCGGATGAGACGTTTTACCAAGTTTCGGTTCACCTGTTTAGGTGGATGTTCAAGGTGTCAGATCTTAAGATTTAAGTTAAAAACTGCGGACAGACGACTTCCAAATTAAGATTGTGTTTAATACATTTCTAAAATCCCCCCCCATGTTAAATGTTGAGATTGACCCTAAAACCACCATAAATTTCTGGACCAGCATTTTGTCCAATGAGAATAAGAAGTGTAAACTGAGTTTCGTTGCAGGAGAACATCACCTACAGTCTGTTGCGCTTGTAGTCAGAAAAAAAAACAGGTGAATGAATGAGAGGTGCTCTCACTGGTTAGTAGAATTGTTAGAATTATAGAAAATAGCTTTTGTAACTAACGGCCTCAAATACCAATTCTTTGCTCTTTCCCTGCGCCTTTTCGTATCCTTCCTCTTCAAATGTTTTTTCGCCAATTCCTTTCTCGAAGGTAAGTCATTCACAGGGGCTTTTTCTACAAATGTTGAACCTTTGGAATAAAAGGATACGTTTGCAACCTCTCACTCGCGAGGCTATTCAAAGTGGTTGTTGCTTCCACACGGGTGAAAGTGGGCACTTGCAAAGGTACCGAGTGGCGAATGACGCACTTTATGTACCACTGGATGGCATCATCGAGTCAAGAGTTAATTCTGGATGCATTTGGCTGACATAGGATATGAGGATCAATTCACTGTCGCTCTCTTTTCGTCACAGGATCTTGATGTAACCTTGGTCCCTGGGAGTTACCAGAAAGGAAGAGGGAAGAGAGCGTTCTGAAGATGCAAGGCTTTTATGTTCTTCAAAGAAATGACCGCAGGACACAAGGATTCCCTTTCAGACCATCATGCGGAATCATCAAGAATCCAGATGTCGCAACACAAACAACTGAGACGACTGTGGCAAGTGCATTATCTCAGGCTTTGCAAGCAGATGGATTGAATGTGGTGAATGTACGGAACTCACTACCCCAAAGGGCTGTTAACGCTCAGTCCTTGAACATATTCAAGACTGAGATAGAGATTTCTTATTGCAAAAGGGTTTAAGGGGTATGGGGATAAGGCAGGGTCAGGCTATTAGCTGGAGTTAGATTAGGTCAGCCATGATTGAATGGCGGGGCAGGCGCGAAGGGCCGAATGGCCTACTCCTGCTCCTACATGTTATGTTATGTTAATTGTTTCGTTACTGTTTCATCGTTTTAATTTCCTTCCCTTGCACCCACTTTCAAAAGCTATTTCTCCACCATTGGCTCAGGTGTAATTAGATACAGTTACAATGCGCTTTGTTAAAACATGCATTTGTTCATAGCCTTGATTTACGTTGTAAATTGAGTGTGGACCTCAATTCAATGTCAGCTGGTTCATGGGTTGCAAAATGGCTGACTCCCAGACCAACCCATCCTGCAAGGAAGAGATGTCAGCAGTGAACTGATGCCCCGGAAGTCAGCTATTTTTAACATGCAGGAACTGTATGGGATGTTAAACTGAGGTCTCGTTTGCCTGGTCAAATGCACATTACAGATCACAGGGCACGATTTTGAAAAGGGAAAGAAGTTTCTCCCGGTGTCCTGGGAAGCAAGTCTCTAGATAAATTGGTCGTTTGCATCCTATATCAAATACAAGGTGTATTTCATTACCAAACAAAGGCCTCTGTAACCAGATCAACTGCAGTAGGTTTAGCCAGTGACGAGAATAATAAAAAGCAATTTATATTTAGAAAGTGCCTTTCATGAACGGAGGCTGTCTCAAAGTGCTTAAGAATGTAAAGCGCAGCGTGTTGTGTCCTATTATAAATGTGGGACACATATTCTACATGATTTTGAAATCATGATAATGACTACTGTTTGTTTTTGGCTAGTTACAAGATCAAAGTGTTTCAATAACTGGTAAAGGTGTGAGAGTTCCAACTGAGAAGTCACAGTTGCCCGAACAAAGCTCACCGGAACAAAGCCCACCTGGTACGATGTACAGATCTCAAAACTCTGGTGAGATTGTATTGATTTTCTAGTGCAATGATTCCCATCCTCACCCAACTCCATTAGCTCCCAGCACCTCAGAGGTTTTAGTTTTATAGAACTGGAGCCTGAAATTTCTTCCATTCTCAGGCTGAAGCTCGATGCCTTTAAAACACTTAAGATAAAAATCTACTAGATATACATTCAAAATATATAAATATTGTTTTCACAAAGAGACGATTAACAGTTGTAAGGGGTGACATTGGACCCATCTATGAGACAACTTAATAATAATAATAATCCTTGCATTTGATATAGCACTTTTCACGTCGGGAGGACGTCCAAAAGCGCTTCACAGAACACACTGTAAAGTGAATTGACTGTATATTTGTGGGCGAACGCGGCAGCCAATTGCACACAGCAATGTCCCACAAACAGTCGTGGATTGAAAATGACCAATTTATTATTGTTTGTGGTTTTGGAGGGATTATTATTAGGCTCTGTGTGGAGCAAGGAAACTTGCCCAAGGTTTCGCCCTCTGCCTGGAATTGAACTCAGGTCTCTCACTTGCAAAGCGAGTGCTCTAACCACTGAGCTACAGGACTCCACATTACACTTGACGTTGTAATTGGACGATGGTAGGTCGGGCACTCTGGATGCTTGAGATTAAATGGGCCAAAGGGTTTTCTTCACCCCAACCTTTCTCCCGATCTTATGTTAAGTCAGATAAACTGCACACCACTTGCAGATTGTGAAATTATTTCTGTGAGCTTCCAGCAATGACATTGCCGATAGTCCACTGAGACCAGTATAATATAATAATTTGTACTTGAGGGGCCGAATGGTCTGCTCCTGTTCCTATGTTCCCATGATTTTTTTTTGTTTGTTTCCTTTTACCTCCCATTTAGAGTTGAAGAGGGTAAGACAGTCAAGTTCAAGCTTCATGCAGCAGCCCTCAATTATAGAATCAGGTAAGGCAATTTTGGGAAGAGGCCAGGGGAAGGAAGAGGGGGAGTTGTGGGGAGGGCGGAGGAGGGGGCAGTGGGTGGTAGTCAACGACACCAAACAGGCAACACAAAAGCTACCTTTTGTTTCTAAGCTTTTGAATAAAATATTGTAAAGCCAAAGTTCGAGAAAAAAAAACCCACAGAGTTTGGCGAGCACAAATTTTCAGCCTAAACACCAATATCTCTGATAATAATTTACGTTTATACAACGTAAATCGTTCATTCAATCCCACTGCATTGCCCTATAATATTAATCCTTGCATTTGGTATAGCGCTTTATCACATCTTTGAGACGTCTCAAAGCACTTCACCGGATATACTATAAAATGAATTGACTGTATATTTTGTGGGCGAAACGCAGAAGCCAATTGCAACAGCAGCGTCCCCACAAACAGTCATGGATTGAAGTGACCAATTTTTTTTAAGGAGTTATTACCCCGGAAAAGCGATCCATCAATCGACCAACAACTGGGTTCCTACTTACTACTAAGTAAACAGAGGCGTGTGGAGTAAAGAAACTTTCCCAACATTTCGCCCTGTCTGGGAATTGAACCCAGGTCTCTCGCTTGCGAGACGAGTGCTCTAACCACTGAGCTAAGGGACTCGACTATAGAGAGCAAGTGGGGCAAGCATGCTGGAGGTCTTAATGAGATCTGGTTTGGTCACTAAAAGGTGGTCTATTGTCCCTCACTGCACAGTTTACCACATCCACTGCCCTGGGTCTCATTGAACAAATTCTATCTCTTCTTCTGCCCCTCATTCAGTCTCCATGAATGAGCTTTTGTTGACCACTTACTCTGGGAGGTCATCCATTGCCTCGGGCAAGCAACCTCCAAGTGAAGCTGGCATCAACAGGATCCCGTGGTACATTGCTGCGCTTCATGAAAAGGCGAGTACATCTGCAACGTTAGTCATGAACATTTGTGTGTCAGAACCACAGCCTTGCTGGCAAGGGTTTGGAAGTGAAGAATCTGGGAATGTTGGCATCAACAATGAACAAAGTGGTACAGTTTTATATTATAATAATCCTTGCATTTGATACAGCGCCTTATCATGTCTTCGAGACGTCTCAAAGCGCCTCACGGAATATACTGTAAAGTTAATTAACTGTATAATATGTGGGTAAATCACAGAAGCCAATTGCACAAACAGTCATGGATTAATGACCAATTTATTATTATTATTTTTCTTGAAGGAATTATTACCCCCAGAAAAGCGATCTGCCAATCGACTAACAACCGGGTTCTTAGTTACTGCTAGGTAACCAGAGGCTTGCGGAGTAAGGAAACTCGCCCCACCCGGGAATCAAACCCAGGTTTCTCGCTTGCGAGGCGAGCAATCTAACCACTATGCTACAAAGATGACAACATATGTCATGCCTTTGTCCTTGCCAACATAATTCAATGGGCATTTTCTTTAAAAAAAATCCCACACAGGAGCAAAGTATTTTGAATCTGGAGGATAGGATAAACAGTCTCTCAGTGTTTGAGGTAGAGTCTGCAAGAAAGGACCAAGTGATCTCAGAACTCCGGGCAGACGTAGCTCAATTGACACACCAAGCAACAGAATCATCAATCAATAATATCATCGAAAAACAGGTACAAAATCGTCAGAAATCAGCTGAGGAGCTCACTCTTCCATCTATTGTTCCTCAATGTAACTTCAGAGAAACTTGGAAGAAAATGTATTTATCGCAACCTAATAATTCCTCCATTCAATGTAACAGTGAAAAGTGCTTCACAGGTAATTACTGTCAGGTGAAGTGACCGTGTAATTGTAAGCAAAGACTGCAACCAATTTATGCACAGCATGATTCCAAAAACAGCCCTGAATTAAATGATAAATTAATCTGAAAGATTGTTGGCCAGGAGACGTGAAGAAACACCCTTCTCTTTTTGAATGGCTTCATGGGGCCTTTAGCAACCACTTGACCGGGCAGACGGGACCTTGATGCCTGGTTTCAGTGTTCCTGGGTTGGGTTAGAGAGGGCAGAAATCAGCCCAGCTCCTGCTCCTGGCACCCAAAAGCTCTTGTCGTCTTTGGCATGAGACTGTTACCATCAAATTTAAGATGTGAATAATTTTGGAGGGGGCAGACTAAATTTGGAAGCTGATTTTCCTCTGTTTCTTTTGTTGCATTGCAGAAAATCAGGCTCTAAATTAAGACCTCAACTCGAGATTGTTTCTCATTCCAAAATTTTACACGATTCGTACATTTTAAGATCATGGACTTAAGCCCGAGAAACTGAGAAATTTGTGCTCAATTCTGGTCTCGATTGCAGAATCTAAAGAGCCCCCCCCCCCCACCCCACACGTCTTCTCTGACCCCCTCCGTGCTCGCATGTGTGTGCGCGTGTGTGATGATAGGCCACCTGTGATTTTGTATGGATCTGCCACATAGATGTTGTGTTCGATTCCTCTGTTTTAGACTGAAATAATTCTTACGCTGCAAGATAAGCTAAATCGCAAGGAGCTCTTTGAAGCCGAGAGTAAGCGGAAAGACGTTGTGATCATTGATCTGAGGAAACAGATACACCAACTGAAGATGAAAAATTGCCACTGGGATGTTCAGCAAATAAGAGAGATAGCGACAGATACGTCACTTCTGCCACAGGATGAAGAGATAATCCTTCACATAAAAGTAAACTAGACTCTTATTCTTTAACTACATGGTTAATAATAATAATCCTTGCATTTGATTTAGCGTCTTATCACATCATTGGAACGTACTTCACAGATTATATTGTAACGTGACTGTGTATTTTGTGGGCAAAACGCAAAAGCCAATTGCGCACAGTAGTGTCCTACAAACAGTAGTGGATTGAGTGACCAATCGACTAACAACCAGGTGTCTACTTAAGTAAACAGAGACATGTGGGGTAAGGAAACTTGCCTAAGGTTTCGCCCCGCCTGGGAATTGAACCCGGGTCCTCTCGCTTGCTAACCACTGCAGAACTCCATAGTAAATCCAGCCCCATTGTGGATCTGAAGTCAATGTGGATATCAGGTCTTTACTGCTAAAATCTATTAACCCAAATCTTCTTCTATCAGATGTTATATTTTTATGATTGCTTCTGACCGTTTCCTTAGGATTATGAGGCAGAAGAGCAGGCCCCGATAAAAAGGGTCAAAATTCTGAAGGCTCGGAAAACTCGGGATGCCCAGAAAGGAGAACAAAGGTACAGATACGAGGAAGAATCGGAAGACAGCAGAGATGAACTGGAAAATGTGGAGAAAAGTAGCAAAGAGGAAAAGGAACAAGAACAACAGGAAGAGGAACATGTTGAACAAGAAGAGGAACATGTTGAACAAGAAGAGGAACAGGTTGAACAGGAAGAGGAAAGTGATCAACAAGAAGTGGAACAAGAGGAGGGTAAAGTGAGGGCAGTAATGTTTCATGCCACTGGACAATTTGGTCAAGATGTGTTACAGCATGATGAAGATCTCATTGAGCAGATCGAGCAGCTGAAGGAGCAGATTGACATCCAGCTGAATCATAACGAAAAACAGAGCCACGAGCTGCAGAGTGCTATCGAGAATTATAACATTTCCATAGGTAAGTAGGAATCTACTTTCTAGGGGTAATAATCTCTCCAAAACTCAATCCCTGACTGGTTGTGGGACACTGCTGTGCACAATTGGCTGCAGTGTTTCGCCCACAAAATACACAGTCAATCTACTTTACAATATATTCTGTGAAACACTTTGAGATGTGATTTACCGCCCCCCCCCCATCCCCCCGACAGGAACAATCATCTCTTTAAGGAAGGAACAGTCAAATGTAGATAACCAGCTGCGGAGCTCGAACGCGGAGGTGGAGAGATTACAGAAAGAGCTGCAGGAAAGAACTGTTCAAATCCAGGCTATGTCCAATAAGGTAGGAAGCAAAGCCAACTTTCAGAGACCCAAAATTCTTCATCATTTTAGCCTTAAACCCATCATCGGAATATTGTGGAATCCTGTAATGTAGTGGTTAAAGCACTTGCCTTGCGAGTTCAGTTCCTGGGCAGGGCAAAACCTTAGGCCAGTTTCCTTACTCCACACACCACTGTTTACCTAACAGTAAGTGGCAACCCAGTTGTTAGTCGATTGGCGAATCGCTTTTCCAGGGGTAATAATCCCTTCAAAAATAAATAAAAATAATTTGGTCTCTCAATCCACAACTGTGTGTGAAACACTGCTGTGCATAAGTGGCTACTGCATTTTGCCCACATAATACAGTCAATCCACTTTACAGTATATTCTGTGAAGCACTTTGAGACGTCTCAACGACATAAGGCGCTGTATCAACTCCAAGGATTATTATTATTACTTATAAAGGCATTACAGCAGAGAACTCTGTGACTGTGACTTTGCTGTAGAGTTTGTGTGAATTGGTGGCTAGGTGTTGAAGATTAATCCTCAGAGTAACTATGTCCCATGCTCTTCATCCAACTAGTTTTCCAATCTCAAGGAGGAAAAGAAACATATTCAGATTATGGCAGATCTGCAAAAGGAAAACTTCAGACTAGAGGAGGTAAGGCTGGATGTACATGGATGGATTTGTCTATTATTTAATATGACATTTTATCTCCAAGTTTTGTCCGAGTAGTTGTTGATATCCCTATTGGCTGCTGCTTTATTCCCCCCCCCCACCCCCCCGTGTTGATTCTTTCAAAAGCAAATGAGATATATTTCTGTCAGGAAATAATATCTTGGGATACAGTATATAATTTGGGACATGATATGTGCAAACAACTGCCAGGATGGTGGAAGGCAAACTGGATGGTCTTCCAGTCTTGGTCTTCTTTTCTCCAGCAATTCTTATGTTCTTAAAGCACGCACGGTTGTTTAGTATCACGGTAAGCCATGTGTGGCTTTTTTTCAGCTGGTTTCTGAGCTGCAGCAGGGACTGGCTAAGAAGACAGAGCTCTCAACAGAGATGAAGAATGAGATTAATGACTTGCAGCTCCGCATCACAGATGAAGACTTGAAGTTCAAGCAATTCCAGATGGAACACAATGACCTGCTGGGGAAATTAGCCCTCCTGCGACACACTGAGCAACAGACACAAGTCTTAATCGAACACCTGCAGATCAGGGTACTGTATGTCTCTGGAGAAGTGAAGAGCAAATTAGATTTATTTTAAGAAGTAATGATATCTTGGGGTATAGTATATGGTTTGGGACATGACATGTGCATGCGACTGCCAGGATGCTGGAAGGCGAACTGGACAGTCTTTTCTCATCTAGCAATTCTTATGTTCCAAGAGGAGCTCACATTTGTATACTGTAATAATAATCCTTGTATTTGATATAGCGCTTTTCACGTCTTCTCGATGTCTCAAAGCGCTTCACAGAATAGACTGTAAAGTGAATTGACTGTATAATTGCGGGCAAAATGCGGCAGCCAATTGCGCACGGCAGTGTCCCACAAACAGCCGTGGATTGAAGCGACCAATTTATTATTGTTTTTTTTTCTTGAGGGATTATTATCAGGCATGTGGAGTAAGGAAACTTGCCCAAGGTTTCACCCTGCCAGGAATCGAACCCAGGTCTCTCGCTTGCAAAGTGAGTGCTCTAACCACTGAGCTGCAGGACTCCACAGGACTCCTGTAGCGTTGAAAGGTCTCAAAGTGCTTTGCTTGTATCTCGGTTTCAGTCTGACTCATTTCAACTTCGAGATCCTCACACGTGTGTTCAACTCTCTGGCACCTTCCTATCCCTCCGACATCCTCACTTCCCAATCCACCACCCGCTCGTCCCTCCCACCCTCCGCCCCACCATCGGTGGTCGCGCTTTCAGCCCTACGTACTGAAACTCTAGAACACTTTTCCTCATTCCCTCTGCCTTGCCCACTCTGTCGCCTCTTTCAAGTCCCGCCTGAAGACCTTCCTCTTCGACCATGCTTACGGCCACCTCACCCGGCTCAGAGTCAGGCTCCGCCACTGTTAAGCGCTCAGCGTGGAGGGCAAGTTGTTGTTGGTAGCACATTCATCTCTGGGCCAGAAGTCAGGTTTATGAAACCCACATCAGGGCTTTTGGGGGCTGATAACGTCAACTTGGAATTTCAATTCACTATTTGCCACAGTTCTCAAGAAGAAATTTTACTAAAAATAATTTAAAAAATATATATTTGTTCAAATAAAATTTAATAAAATAATGGTTTTAATTTTTTTCTATACGTGGAAAAGTATTTTTTGTTTTGTGTTGTTGTTGCTTTTCGCTCTGGTTTAAATGTTCCTCTGCTCCGTTCAATCTAGTTTGATAAAATCCGAACCAAAATAATGCAGGCTGTGCACACCTCACTGGGGACCACCCGCATCCAAAACCTCATCACCGACAAGGACATTCTCGATGGCATGCAGGTCTGTGCCCTTCTCTTTTTATCTTAACAAAAATAATTCGAGGGTGACCAATTTCATATTTGTTTCGCCCCCATTGCTGTCTGCCTCTGCTCTTGATCTGCATTCCTCTCCCAGCTAAGCCTGACCTGACTGCCACACACATACACACACACGTTTGCATTTAGTATCGCGCCTTATAATGTCGTTGAAATGTCTCAATGATATCTTAACTGAAGAGGAACCAGGTTCAGGAATCCTGGCTGATGTCCCCTGCCCTAACCCCGAGCAGACCACAGCTAATTTAGCCTCTCCACATATAGCTTCACATCCAATTGCAGTCGAGCAAATGTTACCTGTCCCCATTGCCCTGCAAATCCACGAACTGATGGATTTGAAGACAAATAGTGGGATATTGGGTGGGGTGGGGGCGAAGCTAAAATTGAGCGAGTGACCAGTTTACTCTTTGGAGGATTGTTAGCTGGGACCCCAAGAGAAGCTCCGGTCTCTTTTCAAAGAGAGTTTGTCCTGAAAACAGCTCCCTGATTGACCAACAGCCTGGCGGAGATTAGGACCCTAACTGAAGTCAAAACTAATTGCCTGTGTTTTTTTTCCAGAAAATAATCACAGACCGCATAGATTTTCATCAGTTACTGATGGACAACGGAATCCCAGTGTCGCCCCTCTTTATAACAGAACCAGGGCAGAGTCGAGTCAGTCTGCAGTCCCGGGACTAGCTCTTACTGAAATAGGAACTGTACCCCATTGAGCAAACTAGCGACGTCTGATATTCTGCTGTGAGTCCACGGAGGTCCCACCTTCTGGTTTTTACTGGAAGCCAAGAGTAAAAAAAAATTCAGTGAAATTCAAGGTTGTGTTTCAGTTTCTCTTATCGCCTGAACAAAAAAATAATAATCATGCAGCACGAGGAAAACAACAGCAGCAATAACTTGCATTGAAATCAGGCCCTTCACACGGAGTAGCGTCCCTCCACCTAGGATATTAGTGTTTTGACCACAGAATAACACAAAATGCAAACCTCAAGGTGACGTGATGTTGGTTTGAGTCCCTCTATTCAGAGGCAGCGCTTAATATCAGGCAGCTTTACTCTAATAATATTCATAACAACCTCCGCAGTTGATACAGCGCCTGTAGCCTTGAAAGGATCCAGAGCTGTTCACGGGGAATTGCTGTGCAGTTTAGTGACTGTATTTTCCTGGCATCTTTTTCTTCCCTACAATCATTTAGCACTGAATTTTAAAATTGTAGTTTTAGTTGACCATACCGCCTGCAATAATAACAATACTTGCATTTGACATAGCGCCACATCACGTCATTGAGACGTCCCAAAGCGCTTTGCAGGATAACACTGTGTATTTTGTGGACGAAATGCGACAGCCAGTTGCACGTGTTGCAGTGTCCCGAAAACAGCCATGGAGCGAGTGACCAATTTTGATTAGGGGATTCTTTTGGAGGAAAAAGAAAGTTCTCGTTTAAAAAATAATGTAACAAAAGGCTTAAACAGATATATGTCAGCTTTGTTTGTTTGTTTGTTTGTTTCTTTTTCTTTCTTTCTCTCTCTCTCTCTCTCGGGTTTGGAATGTTTTCCGAATCTCATTGAAAAAAAATGTGCAAATTGTAACTTTGTTTTTAACTCGATTTAAAGTCACCGGGAAGTCTAACCCTCCAGCTCGCTGGTGCCCAGTTAATGTTAGGCGGGGGAAACCTTAGGCAGGTTTCCTTACTCCACACACCTCTATTTACCAAGCAGTAAGTAGGAACCCGCTCATTAGTTGATTGGCTGATCACTTCTCCAGGGGTAATAATCCCTTCAAATAAATAATAATTTGGTCACTTAATCCAGGACTGTTTGTGGGACACTGCTGCGTGCAATTGGCTGCCACGTTTCACCCACGAAATATACGGTCAATTCACTTTGCAATATATTCTGTGAAGCGATTTGAGACGTCTCGAACACGTGATGAGGCGCTGTATCAAATGCAACGGTTATTATGACCTTTCAGTGGGCAGACACCGGCAATCACACTGCCGCAGTTTGTTTGCGAGGTCTCGAGTTCAGGTAATTGTTGAACAAAGTCGCAGCTCAACTTTAAAGCACAGGCTCGAGCTCGGGAAGAGGGGATGTTGGAGCAAACGGCTCAAATTTAACTGCTGTTTTACAGGGAGTTTCACCCACACAAAATACACAGTCAATCCATTTTACAGTATAATAATATTAATAATAATCCTTGTATTTGATACAGCGCCTTCTCACATCGTTGAAACGTCTCAAAGCGCTTCACAGGATATACTGTCAAGTGGATTGACCGTATCTTGTGGGCGAAACGTTGCACACAGCCATGTCCCACCAACAGCCATGCACTGCAGGGATTATTATGATCCTCACATCAGCACATTTGAGAGGGCATTGACGAAGAAATCTTTGGAGGGAAATTTTTATTCCCACACTTAGCACCAAGCAAGTGGAGCGCAGTAATGCTGTCCATTGCTATACACCCGTGTTCTCATTCTCCACAGCTCTGTAAGCCTCTGTGATGTACATTCCTGAGCTGGTGTGAGTAGCAGAAAGTACCTACCAAGGCCAGGTCACTGCCCTTTCCCATTTAACTTCGCTTGGAAAGATTAAGGAGAGGAATGGTGACTGTGTGTGTGTGTGTGTGTGCTCAGCCGTGGGGGCCGTTAATGATTAGTCAGGGGGTTGGCAGAGTTTGACCCGTTGGGTTGTTGATCTTTCCTGGGATTTTGCAATCTTGTGGCAACAAAACAAGCTTTCGAGAGCTTTCATCTACGCAGTAACTGCAGCTCTGCAGTTTTAACAATGTTCCAGGCTGACGCATTATAGTCAGTGGGAGGGGGCTAAGGTTTCATGCTCATCTCCTCCTCCCTCTCCTCCACTCCGTCCCCCTGTAATATTCTGGCGTCTGTCAATCACATAAGTTTTTGGTCGAGCCTTGAAGAAAGCTGCCGTGTCTCTTCCAAGTCCTCACATCACAAGCAAGCGCACTTGCCAGTAACCGGGCAATCTCTGAGCTCCTACAGCTCCCTGGAGGCGAACATCTTGATCTCGACTGATTTGCAAGGTGCTTGGTGAGGACACGGAACATTGAATGTTGTGTTAAGTACCATCAGCAAGCGGAGCCTGGCTGAGCTCTGGGACATTCGGTTACTGACGATGTTCTGAGTAGTTTGATTAGAGTCCACATTTTACAGCGTCCACAGAAGTACTGCAAGCGGTAAGTTGATTTTCATTTGAAATATTTTGTACAAGGACTTTAGAATAATAATCATAATCCTTGCATTTGATTCAGTGCCTTATCGCGTCATCGACATGCCTCAAAGCGCTTTACAGGATATACCGTATACAAGATATAAACAGGCAGACGGGACTTTAGTTTAACGTCTCACAGTCTCATAGTCTCATAGATGGAAAGAACTCGCCTTTTTAATAACACTTCAACACGTCTCAAAACTCTTCACAATAATTATTCTCAATGGTACAGCAGTGACTGCGTCTGTGTAGGTAAAAACACAGAGCAATTTGCAGGTAACAGATCCCACAAACAGCCATGGGGGGATTGTTGGCCAGGAGAGAGAAACTCCCTTCTCTTTTCACTGATCTTTAACGTCCTCCTGAATAGGCAGTCTCATCCAAAGGATGGAATTTCTAACAGTTCTTTCCCCCCACCCCCAACACCGCATTGTCAGCTTACACTGACTGTGAGCTCAAAGTCCCAACACGAGACTTGAAACCACATCTTTCTGATCCGGGAGGGAGTGAGGGACTACAAGCTGACTGACTTTGGCCCAAAATAAAATACGTTCAGTGCGAGTGCTTGACTGATCATGAGGCAGCGGAAACCTTACGAGCTTGTTTATTTTTGTGTGTCGACAGATCCTGTCAGTTATCGAGCCCCAACAATGCAGAGCCAGGAGACAGAGGTGCAGTACAGCCGATGGAACGAGAACTCCCACGACCAAGTCACCATCGGCATCTCTCCAATAGCTGCGTCAGGCTACAGAAAGTATGTCTCTTGTACAGTGACGGGGCATTGAGTTATAGGGCAGTGCTAACTACCATTAGGTTATTCTGAGAGCTCTGAGACGCTGCCCCACATGAAGGGTGCAATATAAATGCAAGTTGTTTTTATTGTGGTGGAAAAAGCAAGGGAGGTATATCACAAGTTTACACCCAGCAATGATCTTGGGGTACTACTTAACAAAAGACTTGACTTTGAGAGGCGCACTTAACGGCCCCAGTTTCTGCGTTGCAACAGTTGGGATGTTGAATGCCCTGCCAAGTAAGGTGGTAAGTAGGCAAGTATAAGGAGGATAGGTTTGAAGGGGCAGGACAGTTGAATTGAACGGATGGCTTGCTTCGAGAGATGGTGAGTGCGGACTTGAAGGGCCAAATGGCCTCCTTTGGAGGCGCATCCTTCTGCGCCTGTAGATGTCTGTGATTCTGGCCACACTGACAGCTCACGAGCTTTACAATTCCCACTGTGTCTTTCCTCAGGATCTACAATAGGTTTTGCACCGGAAAAGTGGGCATCGCCCTGAAGGTCCTCGGTGGAATCATCACGTTCTGGATCATCTTCATGATCGGCTACGTGACGGGCTACTACGTACACAGGTGCAAGTAGAAGACGATAAACAATTGCCCCCCCATGCCCCCAGTGCACGACCCACCCTACAGTCTAACTAATCCAAACTCTCTTAAGTCTGATCAAAACCAAAGATCTTTCGCATTATCATTTCCAGATCAGTTCCTCCAGACATCCAACAAACTTCAGTGCTTACCCCAGCGAGTGTGTTTACAGTGAGCTTACAGAAGTCAGTCGGAGTCTTCCAGTTACATTAAGAAACCGAGACGCAGAAAGCCCAAGCACTGCTTACCTGTCTTACAAACTCGTGCAGTCCCGTAGAGTAGTGGTTAGTGCGTTCGCCTCGCAAGCGAGAGGACCCGGGTTGAATTCCCGGACAGGACGAAATCTTAGGCAAGTTTCCTTACTCCACACGCCACTGTTCACCTAGCAGTAAGTAGAAACCTGGTTGTTAGTCAATTGGCAGATCGCGTTCCGGGGGTAATAATCCCTCCCTCCCCCCAAAAATGTGGTCACTCAATCCGCGATTATTTGTGGGATGTTGTTGTGCACAATTGGCTGCTGCAGTTTGCCCACAAATAAGTCAATCCATTTTACAATACAGCATATTCTGTGAACTGCTTTGCGACGTAATAAGGTGCTATATCAAATGTGAGGATTATTAGATATTAGTTTATTATTATAACCCCGGCTCCCAAGTAGAATTACACAGAACATTTTGTGTTCAAAGGCAATACATCACTCCTCCCTTTTCAAGCCATTGTAGGGACACTGCCCTCCCAGAGCAACAACAACTGGCATTTATATAGCGCCCTTCACGCCGGACGGCGTCTCGGAGAGCAAGGTTCAATACCACCGAGACAAGCAGAGAGGACACAGAACCGCAAACAAGAACTTTAAGTGAAGAAAATTCAGCCGAAGCTAAAATTCAGCAAAAAAAAAACAGCGAGAACCATTTTGAAGCAATTTTATCTGAGCTTTTTTTGTATGTGTAAAAATTTTTTTTTGATGATTGAACGATTAACAATCGAGCCACTTTAATAGGGTTTTGATTTCTGCACTAAATGATTTTCAGGAAGGAACATGAGTAATTATTGAGTTCCCCCACCCACCCCCTCCATCCCCTCCCAGCAATGGAATTATATTCTCCGTTTTGATTTGTTTCCTGATTTGAACCTGCTTTGAAATGTGACATGTCACAAGGAGGGGTCTTAAGTGTATTCAGTGAAGAAAGGTAATGCGTAAAGAGACGGCTAAGTATGAAAATAAACATCTTCCACTGTCAAACAGACCGTGTGTTGTATTGTCCTGCCCGTGGTGGCACTTTCACATGGGAATCACGTCAGGAGTGAATCAAATCAATATTTCTGGGGAGAGAAATTCCACCCGAGTCTCGATTTCCTTTATCTTAGTCGATTGGCGGATCGTTTTTCCAGTGGTAATACATTTTTAAATAATAATTTGGTCACTCAATCCACTACTGTTTCTGCGCAATTGGCTGCCGCTTTTCGCCCACAAAATATACAGTCAATTCACTTCACAGTATATCCTGTGAAGTGCTTTGAGACGTCTCAAAGACCTAATAAGGCGCTATATCAAATTCAAGGATTATTAGGATTATTATTATTATTATATTTTCTCTTTGAATTCACAGCCCTTTAGTTTCAAAGCCGGTTTTCTGTAAAGTTTCTTTTAAGTACTGCGGAAAACCTGGTTTTAAAAGTTAAGACTGAATTCAACAAGTCTGGATTCTCTTGAAACGCTACATAAGTGAGGGTAGCAGAATTGAGCTGAGCATAACTGAGTCATTTTTCCACACACAGGGCATTTTCTATGCCCCTAACCTCCGAGCCCACCCCCACCATCTGTCTTTAAATTGCACCTTATAACATCTCTCTTCCACCAGACCTCCGCCCCCCCCCCTTTCCACCAACGCCCCTCTTCTCCCTTGCTCAGCGTTTAACCTCTCATTGTAAAGCAGCAGGAAGCTTGCTGTAACAAAGAGAGTGGGTTTAGCTGGTTAAACTCCAGCAGTTACCCAGGAGAAGAGATTTGTTGTTCAGGTGCTCCATTTCAGTTCAGACAAAGGAAAATGATCACACACATAGAACTCAGAAGCTTGGTTTGGATACCCTTAACTGAGACACCTGCGACTCAGTCTGCGTGAGTCAGACACCGGGGAAACCAAGAAAACAACAACAAATGCACAGGACAAACTGCACCACATTAGCTTCGATGGAGGGGAGGTGGTAGTTTGCAGACAGGCTGGTTGCGTTTCAGTATTATTTAATGATGAACTCCACCAGGTGGCAATGTGATCTCAGCGCTGGGTGCAACAGTGCTGCAATACACAACCTTGCATTAAGCAGCAGCTCAGACACTGACCTGCAACACAGCTGCGAGGCGCAATGATCATGGTAGAGCCTCAGAGAGTCGACGTGCTCCGTCTGAAGCCTTTTAATCCTCTCCGCCTGCCGGGGAGAAACGATCAGGGGAGGAGTGGCAGGAGGCTGTGGCTATTACCTTCATTCTCGGGCAAAACCGACTCCAGAACGCAAGAGACTTTCACCTTCCCATGTTCAAGCAGCGGAGAGGCCAGGCGCAAGTCACAGGAATCTCTCCCTCCGATTCCAGACTCCCGATCGCAGCCAAACCCGTGTGCGAGACAGGTCGGGAACTCTCTTCACCAAAGACGATTCTCCCTACCCAACCCAGGGACTGACTCACTGGGCAACAGAGGCTTTGGTTTCAAGGTGGTGAGATCCAACAAGGACAATCCTTCTCAGGTAGGAAAGGATCTGGAAGCAGACGGCAGATTTCATCCAAGGGCGACTGCGTGCAAAGCGGTGGGTAACATCGAGAGACGGGCCAATCCCGGGATTTTTAATGGGGATCAGAAACCGGGATGGAATCCGGATCCCAGTAAGTGCAATAGGGATGGGAAACCGGATTCAGGGAAAGGTAACAGGAATGGGACTGTCACCAAGAGGCTGGACGCACGAGAGGTGAAGAGTCGGGAATTGGCCTCGGAAAACCGTACGTCGGGAGATGTGGCAAGGGGCAATCACCTGGAGGAGCAAGGGTCAAGCAGAGAGAGGGTAATGGTGTGGCTGGTGTCCGTCAACGAGTTTCTGTACAAAGATTCACTCCTGGGAATCAGCCACTCACCAGAGACCGAACAAGACACTTGCATAAAGCTTGTGTATAAAGGACTGAAAGTGGCTCGTTTTGAGACCATCACAACTGTTTGTGGGACGCTGCTGTATGCAATTGGCTGCCGCGTTTCGCCCACAACACAGTCAATTCCTTTTTCCAGTATGTTCTGTGGAGCACTTTGAGACGTCTAGAAGACGCGATAAGGCACTACATCAAATGCAAGGATTATTATTATCATCATCATCGTTCACCTTTAGATAACTAAGGTTGTTGTGTAGCACTGAACAGACCTCAGATCGTGTGGGAATGTTAAACTGTTTTACTGAATTGGCTGTTAAACCAGCGATGGTTGCAGATTTACCAACTCGGCTGTACTGGGAAAACCAGATTAAGCCTCGGTAACTCAACCATTAATAAATCATTCCAGTCCTTGCTCTCTGTCTCCGTCGCCTGCAAAGGCAAACGGAACATTTGATACAACGCTTTACCATGTGTCGAAATATCTCAAAGCACTTAGGAACAGGAGTAGGCCATTCAGCTCATTCTATAAGATCAAGTCTCTTCTGTACCTCAACTCCAATTACTCACCCTTGCCGCATATCCCTTAATACCTTGACCCAACAAATATCTATTCACCTCAGTCTTGAAAATTAATGGATCCAGCATCCAAAGCTTTTTGGGCGGAAGAGTTCTAGATTTCCACAACCCTTTGGGTGAAAAACTGCCTCCTGATTTCACTCCTATCTCTAATTTTAAGATGAGTTTATTGACCAGGAAAGAAAAACTCCCTTCTGTTTTCCGATAGTCCCGGGGGTATTTAGACTCCACAGGATGTAGACAGGACCTCGGTTTAATATCTCATCCGACACCTCTTGGCAATACAGCGAATCCCTGGCACTGCTCTGGAGTCAGCCTGGCCTGCGAGCTAAAACTCTGACAACGAGCTCTGATGTTCTTCGGGAGAAGCTTGGCACCAACTGAACCGAGCTGAGGACCCATGAGGGTGCCTGATGCTGACAAGGAGTTCCTAATAGGAAAGATTTCCGTCATGCTCCTGTGACTTTCCAGGCTGGCAAGAATCCCACCCGAGAGAAGAGATGTATATTGTACCTGTTTGACAGTTGAAAGAACTCAACTTGACTCATGTAAATTTCAATGTTCAGCAGAAATGAATCATCTCGTGGTTTCAATGGTAGTTTATTCATCTGGTAATACAGTCCACACAGGTATGGATGTAGATGTACAAACATATCCAGTATTGGAACTTTAGACAGTTCATTTCCCCCCCGCAGCCAACTCCCTTCCCATCGTTCCTGTACATCACTGTCTTATTCCAACAGCCATTGGCGTTGCTCCATGAGTCATCCTTTTAAGAGCCTCGCAATCACCATTCAGTCTAAGACGCTTTGTGCAATGATCCAAATGGTAGACCCGAGTGTTATTGACAGACGTGATAAAAGTATTTCAGAAATTGGCAACTTAACGTATAAACTTGCTTATAGCTTGCTGCGAGAATAAGGGCAGAAATTTGCCACTTTTTTTTAAGAGCGTGTTTCAGTTATGAATCCAGCGAAAATAAATAGCGGACACTAAAAATAAAGCTGACATGTGGGTGTGAGCTTTATTACAGCCAATAAGATTTGGATGGTCACTGAAGCCTCCCTTGGTTTTATCATGCATTGCCTTGTGCTAAACAGGCCTCTGGTAAATAGCTATAATACAGTATATCTGTCTACTGTTTAGCCAGACAGCTTCCTGCTGCTGTGTTAATTGTTTCACATTTCTCAGCGATTCAGATAATTAAGTATATTCAGGAAAGACTTTGCAGGCACAAGTTTTCAACAGCAGGTTACATTAAGAGATGCTTAAGTCTTTTTGGGGGAGGGGGAAGATTTGAGATCAGAGCTCGAGATCGCTCACACCCCAAGCTGTCATGAGAGGCAAACAGCAAAGCTGAAGTGGGGAGGGCGTGTGGGGAGGGAGAGATGGGAGGGGAGGCATCCCCGGGTCTGCCATTCGCCTCTCGTGGCTGGATTTGGGGCAGCAGCGAGGGTTAGTACAGTATAGAACGACAGGCATCAGAAACGACTGATGTATTGGGAGTCTTCCCCTCAACTCGGGGAAACGTGGACTTGAATTTTGCTTTTAAGCGGGATGGTGAGATGAATTTTTTTGAGAAAAAGGAAGTCAATTCCTGTCCTGCAGTGGAAAGGTTTTCCCTTCGATGGGTTGTCAGCTTATATTTTATGTGAAGCTTTTATCTCCCCCTCCCCCTCCCCGCCGGCCCACTCAATGTACCTTTGGAGAGGCTACAAAGGGTTAATCTCTGAGCCGGGACGTTCCTTGCTGGCACAATTTGGGAGTCGAGCAAAGAGGACCTGGAGGACAGAGAAGCTTGAAGGCGGGAACAGCGGACGGAGGAGTGAGCGAGTGAGGTTACCGGATGATGGTCATGTAACTCAGGTCCACGTTTAAGTCGGTTTTGGCCGGATAAACCACCTTCAGGTTACCCTCGTTGTCTACCACACGCACTTGTTTCACCGTCAGCTCAGGGCCGGCCGGGGTGGTCTCTGGGGGCTCAGTGACCGGCTCCTCCAGGTTCTCCTCGTCCGACACCGATTCCTGCTCCTGACTCTCACAGGTGAATTTATTCAGTTCGGCCATGCGCTGAGAGGGAGAAAATAACACATGTTATTCAGGCTGTCTTCATTGTAACAGAGAGGGCTGAGAGAGAGAGAGAGAGAGAGAGAGATTCCTCATGGTCAGAATATGAGCTCACAGCCCAGGCAGACACTCCAGTGCAATGCTGGGGGAGCTGCCCATCGTCAGAGGTGCCGTCCTTGGTTTAAGACTGAATCTGAGATCCCGACTGTCTGTTCTCTAGTTGGATCTTAAAGAATCCCCCCTGATGCAATTCGCCCACAAATACAGCCACTCCACTTTACAGTATATTCTGTGAAGCGCTTTGAGACGTCAGGGATATGGGGCAACGACGGGTAATTGGAGTTGAGGTACAGATCAGCCATGATCTTATAGAATGGGGGGAAACAGGCTTGAGGGGCTGAATGGCCTACTCCTGTTACTGTGTCCCTATGATTCTAACAGGATTTATTTTTAATAAATCTCGCAAATTAGAACCCCCGATGTCTCAAAGCCTTGAACGCTTGGGCGTTCAGGAAGAGTCGCAGCGGGGCTTTCAGTGAAGAAACAGCTGCTGGCCCTTCAGCGAGACATTTTGATGCCAGTGTGCAACATTATACAAGATTACACTCTGCACAAATAAGACGCAGACAAAAGCGGTCAATGCCATGACAATTAACTCCTGTTAAAAAAACTGAACAAGTGTTTGTTTAACAACAGATTGAAGGTTAGAAGTATACACACAGCTATTAAGTTACTCCCAAGGTTTCTCCAGTTTTGGATTACACCCAGCGATGGATTAATACTTACAACAAAGGGACTCGGTTATGAGTGACTGGTGCAAGTGCTTTCTTTCAAAGTTCTGAATTGGGGCTCAATCCCGCAACTCTCTGACTGAGCAGAGCAGGTAAGTGGGAAGGAGAAAGGAAGTAACAGGGAAAATGAGAAAGGACTTCACTGAGCTGCGATGCTGTCCCACATGAGAGGAAAGGTAGCTTGATTCAGACGAATCCCATTGACGTTCACCACCAGATACACCAGAGCAGTACAGTATGGCAGAGTGCGTCACAGGAGGGATCAGGGTTAAGGGTAGGACGTCAAGAGATAATAAAATACTCACTACAATCAGGGTGTCCATGACTTCCTTGCAGATCTGCAGGCTTGCGCAGCTGGTGACTTCAACAAACAGCTGACTGGTGTCTTTGCGGATCTGGTGAGAATGCGATGGCAGGTAAACGGTTAAACCAACGGTCAGCCATTCACACCTCACAGCATCTGCTCACGTCGAAAGTAATAAATAGATTTCAACAAAAATTGTAACTATTCTCCCCCCAGCAGACGGGAAACGTTTCAAAACACACTGAGCACAGAGGCTAATTATCTACCTACAGTTTGGCTCCGGGACCGAATGATGTGGTGCAGAGCTGTGTCAGTCTCCATAAAGCATCATTGCTGAACGTACCTTGGTTTTATCGCTGTTGGTGATGGGTGGGAAGGAGATGACGTGTTCCTCCGCGTCCACTAAACAGGGGTAGTTTGTTTTGCCGTTGAGTAACTGCAGGTATCTGGGGATCAGAAAGTACGGACATTTAAACCCTGTCAGTATCACACGGTCAATTCCACGCCAGACTTTTAGTCCAGCCCATCACCGTGGACGGGTAAACAGATGCGCGTGTGGAGTAAGGAAACTTGCCGTCACTGAGCTGTGTAGGAAGCCGGGCAGTCAGAGCCGGGGAGTGGAACCGGCTTTTGTTGTGAAGGCTCGTGGATCGGCCGCTGGCACCGAGCAGAGCGATGGACAACCTGACCTGAGTGTAGTAGGTCTGGTTGAGCAGCTTTCTCTGCACGGACTGTGGCTCCCTGGCACACAGTGACCGGCAATGGCGTGGGCTGGGAGGGTCTGACTTCCCCGACTGCAGGGATCGAGCTGGTTTGCTGGCACTGAGAGACAGCGCAGGGCGGTGTGATTGACCGACTTACTTGTGGAGCCCAGAGACGTTCTGTCGTTTCTTCTGCTTTCTCTGCTCCTCGGCCTCGGCTTGGAGCTGCCGGATCAGCTCAGTCGCCTTCACCTCCTTCGCCCCAGTGGGATGATCTGCAGGTACAAACAGCGCTGAGCAAACATGAGCAAGCCTCGGGGCTCCACACCCGGGGGGTGGGGGGGTTGGGGGGGAAGGTGATCAAAGGTGAGGTGTCAAAGAAGAGTCAAAGAGCTGTTAACAGTGTGATCGGTAATGCGATGGATACCTTTCCCCTTTCAGTCTCTGATAATAATAATCATCCTTTGCATTTGAGATGTCTTTGAGACGTCTCAAACCACTCAGAATATACTGTAAAGTAAATTGACCACAAACCATTGTGGATCGAGTCACCAAATTATTATTACTATTATTTTTTGAAGGGATGATTATCCCCTTGAAAAGCAATCCGTCAATCGACTAACAAATGGGTTCCAGTTTACTGCTAGAGGTATGTGGAGTAAGGAAACTTGCCTAAGGTTCATCCTGACCGGGAATCGAACCCAGGTCCTCTCACTTGTGAGGCGAGCGTGCTTTTCACTACACTAGCAATAGCCTGAGATGACACACCCTCGGTAATCGCCGTCTCTCACCGTCATCATTGCTTACCTTCAAGGTGTGGCTGGGTCTGGCGTCATACAGCAACGGCCCCTTCACCAGACGCAGGTCGTGGGTGGCGATGGTGGCCAGTGTTCTCTTCTGGCAGATGTCCTCGTGCAGCTTGGTCTGGAGTGTGTTTTGGGGGGGAAAGCATTTGTTAAAACCCAGCCACAATCAATGGACTGTCAAAGGGTTACCTAACGTGTGACTAATGCCTGTCCATCGATGTCCACCCTTGGGAGCTCGAGCAGAGTTTTTCCCCTCCGTCCCTCCCTCCCTGAGACACGCTGGGGATTGGCACTCACCAGGTCAGTCAGCCGTTACACACTGGGCCACGGGGATGCAGTGGGGTTTGAGTACTTTGAACTATCTGGGGATGTGTCTGGCAGGGGAGCTTTGCCATTCACACACAAAAGGTGAACCGTGCCCTCAGGAGGAACGCCCCTCCGCGCTCTCAGGAGTGGGGTACGATGAGCAGACAGCGTTCCCTCGTGTGTAAAGGGCACAGCTCCACTGCCAGCCCCAGCCGCGCTACACCCCCACATGGGGCACCTTGGGACGTCCTCCCGACGTGAAAGGCGCTATGCAAATGTAATCTTGCATTGTCTTGTAAAATATTCAGTCACTCCACTTTACAACATACCCCGTGAAGCGCTTTGAGAGGTCTCGACAACAAATGCGAGGATTATTATTAGCATTTTTATGATTACCTGAGCGTGAGAAAGCGTTTCAGCGCGTTCCCCGGCCTCAGCTTCATCCCCTGCACCACACAGCACACGATGTAGGGCCTGACGTCCTTCACCTCGGCGGTCACCCTGACCTGCACGGAGGAGGCGGCAGTGCTTTCGGACACGTGCAGCACCCGGACCACCAGTTTGTTCAGGTCCTCGACTCCGTCCGTTTCCATGGCCTCCTTCTTCACGGCCTTTTTCCTCTTGCTCCTCTCGTTGCCCTCTGTCTTGCCCTTGCCCCTCCCCCCCGACCTCAGGTAGTCCAGGATAGACTTGGTCTGACAGCCGTTGACCATTTTCTCCAGACGCTTGTCCTGCAAGGGGTTTCCCTTCAGGTTCAGCTCCTTCAGCTTGGGGCAGTCAGCGAGCTCCAGGGGGATAACACTGAGCTTGTTATTGGAGACGTCTAGCACCTGGAACATAAAGAGAGACTGGATAAGGGAGCGCATATCCCACAAAATACAGTCAAATAACTTTACAGTATATTCTGTGAAGCGCTTTGAGACGTCTCGAAGACGTGATAAGGAGCTATATATCAAACGCAAGGATTATTATTATATTATTATTTATAAATAAGTTTGTTTGGTGAAAGAAGATCGAGCTCCAACTAGTTCGCCTTCCACCATCCCGATATGTCGAGTCCCAAACTATATACCGTCTCCCCAGATATTATTTTCTAGAAGAAATCTATCTATAAATTGTTCTTGAAACAAACTGCTTCTGCTTCTTGCTTCCAACGTCTCCCTAGGGTGCCTGTCCCATACGTTTAACTACTCGCTCACTGAAATAGCGTCTCAGCAGATTTGCTCTGAATTTACCCCCCCTTCAGTCGCAGGCCACATCCTCTGGTTCTACTGTTCAGTACAAGATAAAACAGCTTGTCGGGGTCTATGTTATGTAGTCCCTTCGGAAGCTTAATGATCGTAATCGTATCGTGCCTCAACTTTCTCTTACTGGTTTACCTAATTCTGGAAAGTATTAGGTGCAGGTTGTCAAGAGCCAAGGCTTGGGGACCCCAGAGGGTGCGTTGGGGTAACTGCTGGAGTCTAACCAGCTAAAACCGCAGAGCTTGCCCTTGAGAGCGCTGTCTGGCAAGCTTTCCCGCTGCTTGTCCAGCTGGGACCACCCGACTTGTCGGGGCTTTGTTTTGCGGGGTTAACTGCCCCCAGTGATTTTGCACACAAAGTCCCACACAAGGTCGCGAAATGAATTACCAATTCACCCAGAGAATTGTTGATTAAGACACTCGGAGAAACTGTGTAGACGTTTCTAACCCCTTTTTTGTTATTATCTTACATTTCTGCCGCATTTTGCTGACCAGTGGAAATGATCTGTCACTATTTGCTCTGTTATAATAATTCCTCCCGGAGCGTATGTGAAGCCCTGAGCACATCCCTTCAGCTCGCGTTTCCCTCAATAACTGAA